GTTGACCGTCGTTTTTCGTCGGTAATCATCTGCTACTGATTCAGGATACCATGGCCTTTTTTCAGCCAGATTCCAAACACGGACGCTGGCGACTAGTCGGCCTCCTCGGCCGGTCGGCTTTAGGGATGCAAGTTCAGGTTTTGGCACCGTTTGTACAGCTGTACATCCTACACTACCTACAGCCCAGCCAAAAGTGCAGGGCAACACCCACCTCTGCTGTACGGATACCTGCGCCGCATTCAATGACGCCGTACAATGCTCGCGCCTTGGCTCCATTACATTCGGGGCCCCGAACATGGGAATGATCAGCTCCACCCCATGCTTTTTTCGTCGTCTGCCCCCAAGACTCGAGGGCCGGTAGAGATGCGCACGCAGCAGTCCGGCGTACCTATATGGCGCCGTGTGCTCTGTAGTGTAGAGTACGTACACATCTGTCCCTCTCTGCCAAATTTGTTCATCCCCCATAGTCCCCCGTGTGCCGCGACCCTGACCATTCTCAATTTGACCTCTCTTCCGCCAATACCAATATAAATAAATCTCCTCGGCGGGGCCTAGGGGACTCGGTAGATGCTGATCACTCAGAAGAGCCCTTGGCTAGCGCTTCGACTGATTCAGTCCACCTTGGATGCCGATGGCTCCCTTCTATGCTTATTTCTCGTTCTTCCACGAGTTCGACGTCCAGACGTTCCAGGTAGCTAGACTACAAGACACGTTGTCGGCAATAACGCGAGCGGCGAACGGCGTGTTCTTGGTCACGTTCACCCATGGGGGCCGCGAGTACTGTCGTCGCCACGAATTCCATCCCCTGCCTCTGACGGCCATCGCAGCCCATCTACAACCGTTACGCTGGGTCGTTATAGGCTGAGAGAAAATTCATGAGATGCGCGAAGACAGGGAACGGTTGTTCGGGTGCTACGGCGCAGTTCTGGGACCGACAAAGAGTGTTTCCACACTTTGGCCGACCCAAGCTCAATCTGAGGCACGCAACAAGACATGACGTCCGGTGCTGGGGGTGTCAATGGGACGAAGACAGCCAAGAGCGATTGTCCGAATCCAGAACTACCTACCCATGCTACATAGCTGGGAATGGAGCAATAACGACCGATGGATGCTTGAGGGGGCCAGCACTCTACAGCGCCCGCTTCAGCCAGGGCCGCAGTTACGCGCTCCGATGGTGGGCCGCCAGGCATGCCAGAGACCACCCTCTGATCAAGATTCATATAAGCAAGCCGGCTCTGCCATGTGTGGACAAACGGCAACAAGGCCTCGAGACGTCTTGACATGAAGCTAGAGCGCCTCATGCGCGGTATATACGGATACGTGCGGTGGGATCTGGATTGCGACGCATATTTGAGCCTCTCGATGTGCCGGCCGAGCGCGTGACACTACAGCACGACACACCCCTCTTTGGTGAGAGCTTGAGCTCGGGCAACGACTGACAGACCGGACGGTATGGTGCGGTTACAGAGAAGAATGGCAAGTCTGGGGTAAATCTCATTCGCTACGGTCTGCGTGGGCAGATGCGGCAAAACGCTCGCGTTCCTTTTCCCTTGGTACACCAGAAGCATGAGCGGGCTGTTTCGAGAAGTCGGCCTGCCTGCTCAGTGGAAGCGATGCATCGCAGCGTACGCAGAATGTCTCACCATGACGGGCGTATTTTGTTTGTTTTTGGGCAGCACCAGTCGCGCGGTGCACAATGGCCTGCGCAACCTGAAAGCCCTCCACCAATACTACCACCACGAACTTGATTGCGCCAGAGAGGCGAGCAAGCAAGCATATCGGGCCCGTGAGAGTCGCCCCACCTCTCTCGCACTGTAGTTGCAACCCCAATGACAGGCCCCCCCCCCGAGCAAACAAACATCTCCCATTGGCACCGTGTCAGATATCCCAGCATCTCCGGCTTGGTTAGCATCTGGGCACGAACCAGACATAGCCTGGGCTGGGGGCAAGCATGGGTGACGGGCAAGGTCTGGGACGGACCACGGTACGGGATTGGCCTGTTCCGCCTCAAGTGGATACATCTGTGGATGAGAACAACAAATGGCAGGCCTGAAGTCATTGCTCGAGGCACATTGCGCGAGTGTCAAGAGCGGCACAATGGGCCAAGAAGGCTGCGTGGCTGCATCGAGGCCGCGTCCTGCGAGGGGAGGGGGTAACGACTGCAAGCCGCAGCAAACCAGCGCCTTACAGTAGCTGCAGATGCAGCAGGGTATGTGTGTAGGGTGGACAAGAGATCCCTGAATTGGGTGGGCGGGTTTGGCGGGTAAGGGCCGGGCTCGGGTAACTGGGAAAGGAAAGAGGAGAGCTCCCCTCCTATTTTTCATATTCCTCGTCTACGAAGTGCGCATGTTCCTGCCCTGGCTTGCTTGGTTAACAAGCAAGCCGACCAAGACTAAGTCTCGTCGAAATATCCGGAAAGATTGGCGATGGCTGATTGAAGGCTCAGACGTAATTTTTTTTGTGCACAAGACTCGCTGCATTCGCAGGACTCGCCCGGACGTCGCTCGAGCTAAGAATACCTACGACCACGAGACACACTCGCAGACTCACAGACGTAGGCTCACAGACTCACAGTGTCAACGACAGCTTCTTGGGCAGATCAGCCCTCGAGATCGAACCCGAGACTCCGGCTCTTTGTGCATTCTTGGGTTCGTACCGCACTGTCCTTTTTTTTCTTCCTTCTTCCCTTTTTTTGAGCACGACGGAAAGGGGGGGGGGGGGGGGGGGGTAAAAAAATAAAAATAAAAAGGCCAAAAAGCAAAAGTCTCTGCCTGCCCAATGACTGATACGTACATGCGCTCGCTACCTCTGAACCACGACACTGGGAAAAATGATCAGTGGTGATCGCTGATGATTGCCCAAAGCGTTCTGGGAGCCGGTTAAATCATCCCACCCATTACACGAAGCATCAGCGGTACGGACACGAGAAGGGCGCAATAACCTTTCCATGTATCCCTTTCCTTGGGTTTGATCTAGGTTCGGCGCTGATGTTGCTGCGGTACTGGTGAAGGCAAACCAAGAGAAGATTACTCAAAGAACAGACGGGCATCGTCCCTCTCTTTACAAATGCGAATGCTGACTAGCCGGACCCACAAGCCAGATCTCGGGTTCGATGCGGCCTGCAATCAGACGCCAGCAAAAGAACCCAAGCCAGCGCTTCGCTAGCATCTTAGTATCTTCGCCCCATGTGCGGGCGACGAAGTGCTCAACGGATAGGGACTAGATCTGAATCTAGCGTCCGCTGCCTTTTTTTCCTCAGTCGAGCACACACACGCCCCTCAGGCGCCTCGTACCGACTGAGATGATGTCTTGGTTCTCTCCTCGCTCGCGCACTGGGTACTAGCCGGACAGCCCATGAATAGGCGCCTGTTGCAGGCGTCCGGATGGGTCGCTTCTCTCTCTCTCTCTTTACTCTATGACAATCCCGTAGTATGGCCGGTCCTGGACTCGGTACGGATAGTCTGTTTCTTCCCTTCCTTCCCCCCGTCTGAACTGCGCGCTGTCTTGCTTTGGAGTTTCGTGCTGGTGGCAGAGTTGAGCGGGGAGAGCGCTCAAAGCAGTCATGCTGGTCGATGGTCACGACGTAGCGCATTTTGCACCTTGCCGTCTGGCCTGCTCTCCTCCAGCAGAAGGTGGAACGAGTGGTTCCTTGATGCGTCCCGACATGTCCTTCGTCATACCGCCTACCTCACCGTCAGCTGTGAGCTGACGATGGTGGGCTGGTATGATGTAGGAGGGAACCATTTGCCTCTGTCGAGTCAGCTCGGGTCTAGCTTTGCAACAACGCCGTCAGCGCCCCAAAGACCGACGAAGGTTTCCTAAGCGGTACACCATTCGCATAAAAGTTGAGCTGGAGGGCTGTACAGAATAAAGCAAGGTCTTGTGAATCAGACAGAACGAGGGGAGGGGCTCAGTTGGTTTCCCGGTGGGTTCACTGAAGGAGGACTGGAAGGACCGGGGATGGCTGTACGTGGTACGTATACTCCGGGCTGTTCTGAGTTTGGTCTTGGAGCGGCCATGATTTTCATCTGGTCCCTACCAATTACCGCCGAGTCAGCTGGGGCCCCAGTCCGAGGCGTTGGGTCCCTCTCTCGCCCACACCCAGTGCCAGCTCACGGTGGGAGGTGCACACCCCCGGTGTGTGTCTCTTCTCTTCCAGTTCTTTGCTCTCTCTCCTTCTCTCTCCACTGTCGTCCGCCCTTAGCTGCGCCAACTCTCCCAGTCCCAGTCCTAGCTCCCCCCAGTTCAGTCCCTTGTTCGTGGTGGCCCCTTCCTCCCACAGGCTCCTCCGTATTTCCGTTTTGCACACTGTCCGCCGTCCCTCAGTGTCTGTCACCCCTTCCTCATCTTCTTCCCCCCCTTGGGTTTGGTCCCAGTCGTGCCAATCCAAACTCCCCGGTCCAGCCAAGTTCCCAGCCATCAGACACTCTGACACCCCTCCAAAGCCAATTGCGTCCCTTCGCTTCCCACTCTTTTCTACCCACCCCGTCCCACTCTCCCATCGCTCTCCTTCATCAAACCCCCATTCCCACCCGTCGCTCTCTTCCCCCTTCCTCCTGTTCACCAACCGCACCAAGCCGCCTGCGATATTCGACAGCCTCACCGTCGCAGTCGTCATTGTCGACATCGCCGCCCCGATTCTCTACAGCCTCGATACCCGACCCCGTAGGAAGTGAAGGACTTGCTATTGCTAGGGACGTCACCGTACCGTGCTTCTGCGTGCTTGGTAAGTAGGTCACCGCTGGTGGAAACGGCCTCACGCCCTGCGTTCCGTTCCGTCGGGGCAGCGTCCAGCTTTTTTGGATTCTCCCTGATACAAGAACAGTGCAGGCGTCGTAGAGGCCTACATCACGCATGAGCCACTGGGCCGGCCACTCGGTTTCTAACGCTCGACCAGACTGGTGCACGGCTGTCAATCGAATTCAGTCCGATCTACGCAAGGCCAATTTCATCGTCAATCCACTACGACCACCCGACGACTATTACCACCGCCGCTCACAATGACGCCCATAGTCGAACACCGTCCCCCGGTGGACACGATTGGAGAGTCGGAGACCTTCACTGACAGGCCGACGAGAAACGGCTCGAGAATGTTCTATGAGCTCAAGGTTCTGCAGCAACCTGAGCGTGCGCGTGCTTGTGGTTCTGGCCAAAAGTGTAAGACACCTTGACGTGCCCGTCGTACTATTCGAACCGCCTTCTGACCTTGATGTCCAGCTGCCGCTGACCGTCGCCCTGTCGACCCCCCTCCCGTCGTGCAGCTGCACGTTTACGAGGGCCCTACCAGAGAGGAAGCCCGAGATGTCACCTTCAACTACAGGGCCAACTTCTTCCTGTACGCCGAGCTCTGTCCTGCTCGTCCCATGGCTCATGGACGCGTCAACACTCCCGCCGCCACCTCGGCTCCCGTTTTGACAGGCATGCCCGTCTCTGGAATGGCCTACCTCGACCGACCTACCGAGGCTGGCTATTTCTTGTTCCCCGACCTGTCGGTTCGCCATGAGGGACGTTACGTTCTGGCCTTCCATCTCTACGAGGACATTAAGCAGGAGGAGGACCGCGACCCTGATGGCGATGCGGCCGATGAGGCTCTCAACCCCGCTTTTATGTACAGGTTGGCCGTCAAGTCGGTTCCTTTCAACGTCTTCAGCGCCAAGAAGTTCCCGGGTCTCACGGAGAGCACAAACCTCAGCAAGACCATCTCTGAGCAGGGTTGCCGTGTGAGAATCCGCCGCGACGTTCGCATGAGGAGACGGGACGGCAAGCCGGCTGGAAACGAGTTCGAGAGCAACCCCGAAAATGAGTACAGGAACAGCAGGAGGACACAGACGCCCGAGATCCGCAGCAACGCCGATCAGTTCCGAGCCCGATCGTCCAGCAACAGCAGCGAACACCGCGCTGCGTACCCGCCTGCCCCCGAGCGGAGGCCTTCCGCAGTAGAGTCGTTCCAGGCGCCACCGCCGCCGCCGCCGCCGCCCATGGCGTACGGTCCGGCACCGTCCACCAACGTTCATCTGCGATTTGGATCCGATGCTTCCAGCGCGCCCTACCCTCCCCACCAGTACGCGCAGCCTTCAGCGCAGCCGCCTCCCATTTCGCCCACGACGGCTTCCTACCAGTCGAGCCAGCCGTCACCGTACCACCCAACCTCCACCTATAGCTACGCTAGCCGGCCGAGCTCTCAATATGCCGCGAGCAACCCGCCGCCGACGCCCCGCGATGTGTACGACAGACGCCCTTCTGCCATGGCGGTGCCGCCCTCTCCCTCCATCTACGGCTCTGCTCCCGCCCCCAAGGACATTGACATGGCCCGACGTGAGTCCGATTATAGGAGAGACTCTTTGCCCCCAAGGCAGTTGGCTCCCGTGTCGGATGCTCCTCCGCAAATGGGCACCAAGCTGCCGCCCATGCTTCCCTCTATCGAGAGGCTCACTGCAGTTCCTTCTCACTTGACCTCCCGCACCGACTACATTGAAGCGGCCCCCCCTTCGGTGTACAACCAGCCTCCCGAGACCGCTCGTGCAGGCGCCAAGCGCGTCTACGGGGAGACGTTCGCTGAAGACACTCGTCCTCTGTTCGACAGACAACGCCAACAAGATGCTCACCACGGCGCCCTCTACACCACCCGCTACTCGACAGCTGACTCCATGGAGTACAAGCGTGCTGACGGCTCTTGCAAGCTTCGGCAAAACAACTCGTATTTGCCCTGAGCTGGATACGATGCATTTTGCTTAATGGCGTTTTCGGCAGCTTTTTTTCTGGGAATGGGTATATCCGGCACAGGCGTTCTTGGGCATCCAGGTATTTGGATGGATGGGGGCAACAAGTTATCGAAGTGTATAAACCATTTGGAAGACCATTAGCGGCATACTTTGCCCGCCTTTCCTATGTTTTTCTACCCACAACATCTCAACACTCTCTATGATCATGACGGCAGTTTGTTTAGCCGCGAACGATCACACTTCTTTCCTACCATGTTTTATTTCAGCAGCGAGGCCTCGGGTGACGGGTCCCCTTGCATGATGCGAATTGGCACTGAAAAGGAATTGATTGTCGGGCTCATGAAGACATGGTCACATTCGATTTAGCTGTAATGTGTCATAGGCTTGCTCTCGCCTGCCTTTTGCTGTGTGTGTGTGTGTGTGTGTGTGTGTGTGTGTGTGTGTGTGTGTGTGTGTGTGTGTGTTTGGGTATAGGTATTTTGACAAATGGCAGTGATTTGCCCATGGGCCCTGAGGGCAGAGGGACACTTGGATACTTATTTTGTGTATGAAGAAAATGGAAAGGTTTCAACGCTGAAGGCTTGGCTTGTCGATGAAAGTGAGTGTGAGAAGTTTGCGCGGATAGCACCGTGAGGAGTGAGTGTTGGTTGATGGTGATCATGTCCAAGCTGGGAACCCCTCAGGTTTGCCGATCCGAATCCTGGCTAGTGTCAAACGGACGCGATTTGTAATTTACCTGGACGAGGAGAATACCGGTACAGGCGTGAATCGTGTAGCGCGGCACGGAAACGCTAGACTGGCGAGAACGATGTGTAAACGGATGGAGTTCATGGACCAACAGGAGGACTGGGGGGGGGGGGGGGGCCAGAATGAGGATGAGTGAGAGCGTTGACAGCGAGAGTGAAGTGAGGTGAGGTAAGGTGAAGAGCAAAAGGTCCAAGCGTCACATGGCCAAAGCTCGTGCCAGTTTTTAAGGTGAGGGATGCCCAGCGAAGGGCAACACGCCAAGTGGAGCGTGGGAGGGTCGCGTCCAGGGGACGAATGTGGGCGTGTTTTGTTTGCCCGAGCAACGGGCAACAAAGGGCAACTTCCCCAGTTCGTCCCTTTGCCCGGGGCCGCCAGGGCGAGCGACAGTGGCAGCAACAGCAACAGCAACAGCAACGGGCGGTAGCGACAGCAGCAACATCCACCACCAGCGGGTCAGCAACCAAACCCCCCTCAACGCTCTGTAGCCTCCCCCCCCCCCCGTTTCCATCGTTGCCCTTCCAATCCCTCTAGTCCTACAAGATCAACACGCATCCAAGCTTATCACGGCCAAGGGCGACGTTTACCACCACCGCATTACACTTTCCGTGCAGCTGTTCTCTCATTATAACCCTCCTCTTATTCCCTCTCACCCCACTCTACAGTCTTTTATTCTTCCCTCGTCGCCCTGTTTCCCCAGACATCGCTTTTCCCATCCGCAGCCGTGCAGGGAAGAAGCCCGCGACGCCAAAGAGGTTGCTGTACGTGCGCGGGTTGCGGAGCGTGCGGCAGATGTGACGGCGGAAAGTAAACAAAACCCTTTCGGCTGCTGCAGCAGCATCACGTCGGCGTCGCAACCTTCCTCTCGCCTTCTCTCTCTCTCTCTCTCTCTCACACTCATCAGGGTCGGACGACACTTTGCGCCTCCCTTTTGATAACATCCGAGGGGAAACGAGAGACGTTGAACCCCTTGAGTTGACCAACCGCCAACATCGTCATCGCCATCATTCCACAAACAAAATTTCCAAGACATCGGCGCAGACCATCGCGGAGCCACCAACAATGCTTATGGAGGAAGGCACATCGGCGCCGGGTCCGCTGACCTCCCATCCGGTCATGGGTCCGCCATCAAACACCTCGTCGTCGACTTCCAATGGCCAGCGGCCTACGGCGAAACGCGCAAACTCGACACAGCGCGCCAACTCTCGCTTCGTCGAGGGGTCCATGAACGACCGCACCTCGGCCGCGCCGCCCATCGACTTCCTCGGCCCAGAGGACTCGTCCGAGATTGCGCGCCGCTTCCACATGGACTTCTACGTCGATGCGCCCGACGCCGGGGTCTTCTCGCCGCAGAAGCCTCAGCAACAGCAGTACCACCAGCCGCTGCACCAGCAATCCCAGCCGCTCCTGCACCAGCCAACAGTCACCTACGCCGAAGTTCAGAGACCCGCCAGCTCGGCTAGCAGCCACGTCGGCAAGAAGGGCTTCTGGGGCGGCCTGCGCGAGAAGCTGAGCTTCGTCAGGGACAAGGGGGCTAAGCGTCCTCTTAGCCTGGACGGCAGGCTGTTTGCTCAAGGAGGCGGGGCTGGAGGGTTCGACAGCGGCAGCAACGCCGGTGCCGGCGCGCCGCCGGCCACGACTCCGGCGCCCAGGGTCGCGGGCATGCCCAGCAGAGAGGAGATCATGGCCAGCTACCAGCAGCTGATGAAGGACGGCTTCTTCGACGCGCATGCCATCCGTTCCACCCGCCAGCCGCCGCCACCGTCGTTCAACCCGTCCACCACCGTGTATTCGACCAAGCCTCCCGCGGATAAGAAGTCCTTTGCAGAGCGCGTCTCGGGCCAATGGCCTCTGCCGCCAACGGAAGAGGTCCAGCCGCTGCCAGACTCCCGCGACGGAAACAGGAAGCGTGGTTTCCACCAAGAGGAGGGCTTGTCTGCCGTCAAGAAGTTGCGCAAATCCACCTCACACATGTCTGTGGACCTCTCCGCTCCCGGCCTGCGGAAGCAGCGGTCCCACGTGCAATCCGCGTCGGAGTCCATGCCTCCGCCGCCGCCGCCCAACTACATGCCTCCTCCCCCACCCCCTCGCGCTGTCGGCGGCGGCACCGTCTTCATCCGCCGGTCGTTTAGTAACTCGACACGAGCAAGCAACAAGCTGGTCAAGCACGCGCCCTCGTCCTCCCTGGGCCCCATGCCCATGGACACCGACCTCCCACCCCCGAACCCGAATTACGCGGCTAGTACCCGCAGTAGCATCGACTCCAGCGACTCCCGGCGGTCATTTGCGGAGGCCGCTCGCGCGTGGACCTCGCGCGCCGCTCGCAAGGCGGCCGAGCCCCTGGGGCTGAGGCCCAACTCCAACCACGGTGCGGCCATGCAGTGCGGAGCCGAGCAGTTTAAGAGCCGCGGTTTCGGTTGCGAGGGAGAGAACCACATCGCCGTGCAAGAGCGCGAGTTGCCCAGTCGGTGGAGGGGCATGCGCTTCACATAAGGGTGAGCAGAGCGTTTGCCGCTCTTGGTGGACGTTGCTCTGGCAGGCCGACAGCGAGTGGTTGTTGTCATTACATTTTCCATGGTCTGCCAGGCTTGGTAGGTTACAGAGGGAGGATGGGTGCCGACCACAGCACACCGACTTCCTGGATGAGCTCACGACTTTTGACGACTTGAAACGACCTTCTTTTTCTTCTATAAAATCAGCATCGACCGCGCAGTACGACTTTGTTTTATTTCCTCACAACGAGCCCGACGCATGGAAGAAACATAATCTGGTTGCCCCGGCAACGACGCCGCTCTCGCGGCGACGGGACGCGGGACACCCATCAATGTTGAGTACTCCACAGAAGAGGACGCGAGCGAGGGGACGATGGACTCGGAAAAGACGATCAACGGTGTGGAAACAGAAAAAAGAAAAACGGGAGGTGGTTTGGGGGATCGGCGAGGGTCCTGCTCGACTGGATCATTGCTTCCCCTGGTGTTTTTGCGTCTTCTTGTAGAGGAAGCTTATTCTTTTTCCTCCTTTTTTCATGTATGTAGTGGACACTTTTTCTGTTGTCTTCCTCGCTCGCGGCGTCTCTGGCACCGAGACACGGGTGGAGGGAGGAAGCACACGGGTGGCCCCTTTGTGCCGTTTGCGCTGCTTGTTGTCGCCGCTGCTCTCGAGGAGAGGTTGCGCGACCCGCGCAGCGTATCGGACCCGGATGTGTCGATATGGGATGGCCGGCGCCGAGCCGCCGTATCCGCTTGTTGGAGTTGTTCTGCTTGGAAAGGGGGGGCTCATGGGATTGCCGTCTCTGGGAAGAAAGAGGGCGGGTCGACAGACGGAACGACGGGGAACCCCAAGATAGGTGCGTGGTTAGCGAGGTGCGAGCCCGGGAGGGAGAGGGAGGCCCAGCAGGGTGGTGTCCTCCCTCCCGACGCCGACGCACCGCGAATAATCCAAGACTCTGGCCCGCTGGTGCCCGCTTTGCCCCGTTTCTGTGCGTGACTGGATCCGTGTGATGTGTTTGCTGGGGATGTGTATGGGCGCTCAAGGCAAGGTTTCGACCTCTCGTGTTCCCGGGGGGCATCTGCGTCGTTGCGGCCGCTGACCTGGATGGACGGGGAGCGTCTGCCTCTGCGTCTCTCGGGGTGGGCTTCGGGGCGTTGGTCCCCGTGGGCGACGTGGCCGCGCTCGTAGGACTGGGTTCGCGGTCATTGGAGTTGTAAGAACCCCCCTTTCTCGCCTCCACGTCCCCCCGTGTTTTTCGTCGTCTCTTTTGTGGGTATGCATCTGTGTTTCGTTGCGGGACGGCGACGGAGGTGGGAGGAGGATCCTGGGTGTGCCCTGCTTCCCTCTCGCAGTATGGATACCTACTCCCTGCGCTCAACCTAAGTCGTCTAGCAAGCAGGTCTGGGAGAAACGTAGCAGGCCGGTGTGCGAGAGATCTTCCTCCAAAGCCTTTTAGCAACTTTGTACCCAATTTCAGAACCGGGTGTTCCTCCCCCTTTGGTGAGGGATAAGACGGCAAAAAGGGAATCACCTTGCAGCTCGTGTTACTTTGGGGCAGCGCCTGACGCCGTGCTCTCAACTGTTGTTGTTGTTGTGGGATTCCTCGATGGCTGGCCTGCTACAGGATGGCGGTCTGCCCATTGGCGACTTCTCAAGGAGACTCGGGTCGCAGTGACGAACAGTCGCGTGAGCCCATGGCCCTGTTTCCCTGGTAGTCTAATCCCTCCCACATCCCTTCGGGTGGGAGGTTTGGCTGAATGTTACTGCGGCAGCGATGACATGTGAGCGCATTAAAGAAACCTTCAGTTTCTTGATCGACTTCGCCGGCTCGCTCGGCCTCTCCTTCGCCCACGTCAGGGTGACTGCAGACGCTTTGGAAGGCCCTTACCAGGTCGGTACCATCTCTGGGCCGGTACGCTCGCTGTGTTCTTGGTTTCTGCTCGCATGGATTTAGATACCATGAAAAGGGCTTGCTGCATGGCTCTCCTCCAGTGAGTCTTCTGACGCTGTACTTTGGCAGATGGGAGAACCAAGCTACCTTGCGAGGCATCACGGAAGGGATCTCTGTAGCTTGCTTAATGAAGACCACGCGCCGTGTTTCTCTCGAGACCCTTATAAGCCCCTGGCGCTGCGTGAAGAAAGGTCGCGCCAGCATCGGAGCCAGGCCAACTGCGAGCTGTACGTTGCAATCCGTCTCCTCCAGATGAACTCCCAATGTTTAGAGTAAGCCTTCCAAGGATCGATGTGACATCCATTGGGCGAGCATGGTTTTCGTCGTGTATGGTCATTGGGCGTCCATGGCCTAGTGGTTGTGTACGAATATAATGGCTGGCAGAGTGGTCTCCAAAGGCAATGCGCCAGATTGTTCGCGCGTATATCTGAAGACCAGAAAGTATTAGCGGACTCGAGTCTCGTCTTCAAAGCTCACTGGCATTCGAACAGTTGGGTGGCCGTATCCTATGCGACGCAAGTAATCAGCAATATTGCCGTAATGCAATGTGCTATTATCACGAACAGAATGGGGCTTCCATGCCATCTCGGAAGAGATTGTTAGCGTCCACGACCAGATAGAGATCTGACTCCGAGGTCTTTGGGCCCAGGCACCTTGACCTGGATGAGCCCTCCTGGAAAAGACTGACGGTATAAGAGAGTGCAACATTGTGATGTCTTCCGAGGTCGGGCGCCACTGAGATAGATACTTATGCCCTTCATAATCACTGGGGTGCACCTCCAGTGCCGTTTCAGACATTGGGCTCTCCCCTCTTGTCTCATCCTTTCTCGCTTGTTCCACGGGTGTGTATATGTTCATTGGCAAATGCACCTACATAGAGGACCTGCATCTTAAGGACGTCTCAGCACTATAATCAATATAGAATGTTTGTTTGACTCCGGGGCTGCCCTTGAAGTTGGAATTGTTCTGGGTCTAGCCGAATCGCTCAAGTTATCTGATAGTTGCATTTGTGTAAACCATACTTTTCGTATCATGAAAGGCGACTTATCCATTACACTTTCGGTCTCCGTTTGAATCCATTACATTGAGGACGCGTCGTACTGGAAGCTCCATCCGAATTGAGGGCTATATTGATATATCCCGCTGCGGTGTCGTCGCTCGTGAAGGCCTTCTGCTTCAAACGGCAGACCACGCCCTACCCCAACGCATTTCCCGTGTCTTTAACCATTAGTTCGTCAGCGTATGGTGCTGAATATTTCGTGGAGAGTAGGCGGAACAGAAGAGTGAAGAATGACAGGCGTGTGATAGAAGATATGAGTCAACATGGCGTAGAACATGGAGGAAACAAACCCTTCTTCTGTGACATGTACGCCATGTGTGGTATTCAAGGCGATGCAGTAAAAGTTGAACAGGTATCTTAAAATGTAGGACCTACAGTTACAAAACAAAAAACGACATCTTTAGCAAAGCCGCACAATCTAATCTAACAAGACCACGTCAACCACCCCCAGAAGCTCCTCCGGCGATGATCATCATCTGCTGCACCCTCCTCCGATCGACCTCCTTCTTCAACATGCACACACAACTCGCAACAACAAGCACCTCGACCGCGTCTCTCGCACCGTCTTTCAGGTCCGCCCACCTCGCCAAGTCAACCATCAACCTGCCCCCGTTCCCCGCCGTGCTGCGTCCGGACCCCTTCGTCCTTGTCTCCGCGCCGCGCACAAACTGCGCGATCCTCGTCGTCTTCTCCTCGGTCTTCTTCCCGCCCGCCAGCGCGACATTCTGCACGAGCTCGCAGATGAGGAGGTTGTCGGCCCCCGTGACCGCGGCGCGCTCCCGGCGCGAGGCGTAGCGCCATCGGAATGTCCCCAGGGGCGTCTTGAGGACCTGGGTGCGTGTCGTGAGGGACTTTGACACTATCTGGAGGTCCAGTCCCCCGTCTTCCCTAGATCCATCGTCCCCGTGCTGGAGCTCGCTTGAAGAGGACGCTGGGGACTCGGGAGAGGCGTGCGGAGAGACGAGCGACTGCGGCAGGCGGAAGACGGGCGGTTTGCCCGGCCCGAAGCGGTAGAGCGTCGTGCATACCGGCACCTGCGATTCGTCGTCGCCTCTCACGAGGTGGCAGCTGTTGTCGCTGCGGGCGAATCGGAGGGAGACGTACGCCGGGGTCGATGCCGGGGCCCAGGATCCCGCCTCAACACGGTAGACCGGAATCGGGTCCGGGCGGGTGCCGACGGGCAACGAGAGCCATTGCTTTCCCAAGGTCTCGATTTGGAAGTGGACCGTGGGAGTGAAGGATTCTCGTGGTGGTTGTGTCAAGCTGCTGGCCGTTTCGTCTCTGTCTGCCGAGGCCGAAGCCGTGGCGGTGGCGTCATCGTAGGCGGGCGGGAGGCTGGAACTCGATGTCGAGGGTGAGATTTCAGCCAGTTCGACCTCCGTCGCGTTCGAGTATGCGGGCAAGGAGGAAGTGCTGGGGATGTTGCGGAACTTGTCTGCGAGGGCCGACATTGTGGATTGATAAGGCCGCTGGCCGATCGACTGCAGCTTTGAGAGAGAAGTGTGGTATGGCAGTTACTCTACAATTAAAAGTTGTAACTTTATCTCGACAGCGTCGAATTTCTTCAGAGGCAATAGAGGTACTGGTGAGGATTCCAAGTGCGGGTTGCTGTAGGTAATACCAAAGGACTTGATATCGTTGCGGCCTAGCTATCCTATCTCGACCGAAGGAGAGGAAGCGTGCTTTATAGCCTTTGCTTCGATATAAGCTGAGCTCAGTGCGGAGAAAGTCGACAACATCAGGTCTGAATAAGAAACACAGCCCCGCAGAACCACGGATGCGAGGAATGCGATGCCAGAAACGCCGGCGATCTGTCCTACGCCGCTTTGCGCATCCCCGCCATTCGCTCTTTCGTCCTCGTCGTACTCTCGAGCGCCGCCAGGCCAATCGAGATTATCGCATCTGGAGGGCGTCAGAGGCGCAGCAGGCTCGACATCAGGCCTGTGGCTAGTTTGGTTCTAGGTGCTCGAGATAAGGCAGAAAGCTTGGCCTGTCCCGCCGGGAGTGAGAAAAGCGTGTTTAAGCTTATGGGTCCCCTGGGCCACATGCCTCGCCCACGCGCACCACGGCACCGTATTGCTCGCATGTCTTGCTTTGGCAGCGGCTTAGTACGGAAACGGATTCGCGCAGTCGGTCGTCAGGGCAAGGAAAGTGCACAGCAGGAGGAACAACGCCATGCTGGCTGGTATGAGACGGTCACGCGCCCCGAAGTGTCCCATTGGTCAACGGCCCCACACCCGGCCGCCGTATTCCTCGTTTTGCCGACCTCGACCAATCAGATGCGTCGTATCCGGGGAGGCGGTGCGCTAATGACGGCGAGGGGCGGTGCCCCGGGCTCGGGGGATGGAGTGGGGTCGCAGCGCCCGACAAGCACCACGGCTGCACTCAGTCCACTGAAGAAAGGCTCGAGAGCCCCACCTATACCCCACGCCGGCACCGAGATCGTCAGCTGTTGATAAGGATCAGCGAGATCTTGACCAGCGATCACTCCATGGAAGAGAATGCTTGTCTTTCTTGTCTCGCTTCTGTCGGAAATGACGCACATTGTCGGTACCGCGATGATGCGATCGGGTGGGAACCCCGTGGGTTGGCCAATTTGCGTAGGGCTAGACCAAGACGACCTGGATGCATGTCGTGTTGGGACTCGCGGATACAATGCAAAGTGCTGTGATAGCTCGCGAAGATATTGACCAGGGTTATATTCTCGGTACGATTCGTTACCCAGTGAAGCACTGTACTGATTTGAATAGCTCGACAACACCCCTACAGTCACGACGTCGAAGATTAAACCAAAGGCCGGCGGGATATCACGTTCATAACCTAGCACTCAGCATCCGCCCTTCTATCGCATTTACAATCTCAGTATCTCTTCCCAAAGAATCCCAAATCTTGATCCAGCTGATTCTCAACCCACAGCGGCCACTGGTTGTATATGAGGTGCTCGTGGTCGACCAGCTTGTTCAGATACCCCAGCCAGCGAATGATGCCCAAATCGATGGCGCTCTCCCGCGGCGGCGCCTTCTCGCGGCACTCGTGCTCGGCGTTGGTGATGAAGGCCATGATCTGCTTCAGCGCGATCCAGTGGCTCGCCAGGAGGATCATTGTCTGGTTTCCCATGTCGATGACGCGCTGGAACTTTTCGTGCGGCAGCTGGATCCACCAGCCGTAGTGCTTTGTCAAGGTTTGATATGCTGATGCGGCATCATCTGTCAGTACCGCCAATTCACATACCAGAACCACGTTCACCGGCATATAAGAGCAACTTACCTTCCCACGACGACGTGTGCAGTTTCGTCGCCATCTCCATGATGATGTCGAAATACTCAATCTCCACCACGTCCCGGCAGAGCCCCCTCAGCCCAGCAATCGCCTCGACCGCGCCGTCCGCCCACTCCTTCTGAATAAGCGGCAGGTCCGCCATCTTGGGCTCCAACACGGTGCGCGAATCGTCGCCGATGATGTTTACAAAGATGGGCTTGATGCCCTTGATCCACATCTGCGTGCCGATGATGAGGATGCCGCGGATGAAGGTCATGTACTCTGGCATGCCGTCCTCGAACGTCACGGACTGGAACGTCAGCGCGAAGCACGTCGCGATCAGCGCGTTGGCGTGCTCCGAGGTCGTGCCCTTCTGTCGGGGCAGCTCGGCGAGGGACTTCTTGATGGCCTTGATGGCCTTGACGCGGTGCGCCATGGCGAAGGCCAGGAGGCTCGGGTCCGTGTTCATCAGGTCGCAGGCGGCCATGCCGAGGATGGCGTGCATAAGAAACTCGTGCTTTGAAGTGTTAGCACGTCGCCGGCATGGGCGCGTGAGGTGACTGACACTTTGGGACAAGCACGGCACTTCGTGCGTCCAGATGTTCTCGTTCCCTATGGGGTGATGGGGATAACACCGTAGCATAAAGTGCTGGAAGAAGCGCATGTCTTGCAGACTAAACAGTGGCACCTGATGGTGCGGCTGAACACAAAAATTTAGAGACGCAGCGCATAACATGGCTGTCTTTGCGTACCTGGTGTACAATGGCTGGTGTGTTTGGGTATTCGCATTCAAGTCCCGACTTGGCACAATGGCCGCAAGACGGGTGTGTCTCCTGGCACTGCAAGCAGTGTTAGTCTAACAAGAGAACCCTTGAGCCAAGATCTTACCTTGATTCTTCTTCTCTTGCAATTAAAACACCCCCTTCGGCTTTTGGTATGTCCTCGCCTCTCGAGCCGCTGCTTCTGAGCGGTCGTATTCTGTGATGAGTACCCCTCCACAGCGTTTTCTGGTCTGGACTTGGACGCTCTATTTGGGGACGATTCTGAAAGCGTCTCACTCGAATAGGTGTTCTCGTCCCCGAGAAACAGCTCATCACTTTGGAAGAGCGTACCATAATCAAAGCCGTTCATATCTGGCGCGGCGGCGAGCAGAGAAAGTGATGGTTGGGCAGTATTCATGGTGCCGTGGACTTTGTCTCCCAAAGCGGTTCAGCTGTAGGCTTAAATCGGTTCTCTGACGACTTGGCGTAGAGATTATGCACCGCCAGAAGCTCCGGAGAACGATTCAAAGCTTGACAAAATAGTTTCAACGGCCGAGCTAGATATGACCTGACGTCGCCCTCAGCTCGATGCGGGCGCGTCGATAGCTAGACAGCCCAGTCACGTGCGGCGCCATTGACGACTGTCATCGTGGCAGGGCGTCGGGCGATTGATAGCCCGCTACAGGTCTTAGATCCAGCGATACCGAGACGTCATTGGTCGCTTGCCATCTTCAGCCATAACCGTCGTTGACTTTGTGGAGGCTGTGCAACGCAAGACTCCATGGGGATGTTACCGGCATCTGCTTTTGCTCACCGAACGAAGCCTGCGCGAACTTAGTGAAAGAGGTAGGAATGACTGGGTCGTTTGTAAGCGAGGATGGGCGATGTCGAGGCATGGATTCCTTCCGGGAGGATGGTCTCCGGAGGTGTGGATCACGGCCGGGTGTCAACCGAATGCCGTAGCCTTTGCCTTGCAACTTCTTTTCTCAGAGTCGAAAACGCTTGGAATACTTCTAAGACAAACGTAAATGAGCCTTTTGGCCGCGTCACTTAATTTGACGATGGCGATGGAGGCGCCGACAGCAATATTTTCGAGGCGGTGGGCTGAAATCCAATGTCTCTAACCCAATCTCGGTGACTTGACTTGGGGAGAAGATTTGACTCAAAAAGGTCGTCACGCCGTCACCAACAGACGTCTTCATACCTAGCATCGCTGGTGTTCAGACGAACTTGGGCTCAGAGGCTTGCCTTATTGGCTGTCTCACAAGCATGGCCAATTTCTACGAAATTGGCCGCTGAAAACACTCGAGCTTTGTGTAAACTCGACATCCCGTAGTTTGTTCAGCCAAAGTCATTCCAATAAGACTTCTGCTCCTCAAGTCCTTCCAACGACAGGCCCGCTGTGTCACAAAGCAATGCTCATTTTCTGCAATCTTGGAACTGAAAGGGCCGTCTTGTAGCGGTCACCGACGTCTCCATCCATGTTTGCCGCCAAGCCATTTACGCATCAGCTGACCATGTCCCGAAGTCGCAAGTAAAGGACACACCAACCGACAAACAACTGCCAGCAGCCCTTTGTTCAATTGAAGGGATTCTGTATAGCTCAACGGAACAAAACATGCTTAGCTGCAGATCATCCCGCAGGGCGGATTTGAATAAATAACAACTACTGCAGCTGACCTCGGGTGCTATTCCATGTGGATGTACAAGAAAGCAGGACGAAAATGATAGGGTGGGGGGGAAATGATGAGATGATTTGGTGAGAAGGCTAAAAGTGGTATGCACCATGCGGGTGAGACATATATCAGGAGTGAATGTGCAAACGTCAGCATCATTCAAGGGATTGGCCAATGCAATAATGGCAACCCTAAAGCGAGTATTATGGGACACCGAGGACATGTGCATTTTTGTGTGCCGTTGTTGCGCATAAACCACAAGCTTAAAATTGATATCGGACGAAGAACAATGCGTTCGGTTCACTGGTCGATTCCCGATGTTGGGTATCGGAGTCGCGGGTGCAACTCTTTGGCGTCTAAACAACGGCGGGCGGATTTGGTGGGGGCAGAGCTAAGCATCTGGCAATGCCGAGATGATTACGTATGTCGTAATGAATCTACTATTATAGAACAAAGGCCCTAGTGTCCTGATATTGCTCGACCTTGCGCGGCCCAGGGCTCTGAGTCGTGCGCCGCGGATATCGGCTTCAGCCTCTGAAGAGCCACTGAGCCAGGTTGAATGAGCGCCGCGGACGGTGCTGATGGCCCTGATCGAGAACAGCGGCCGGCATGGCAGCGCCGTTTGATGGAGCTGGGTGGCATTCCGAGCTCTAGCTTCGGCGTGGCGCAGTGTTGCCCTGGTTGTCGCATCCCAGCACACTCTGGTCTAGGGCTGGCTGAGGACGAAATACTATGTACATAGTATTGTCGGACCAACAAGCTTTGGATGATCCGAAGCGCTGGTTTTGTTCGGCTTTTGGGCAGGGCGGTAGGGAAGCGACGGCACAGACTAGGCGAGGGATGTGGGCGGCGCTGTCAGAAAAGAGCCAGACGAGTGGGAGCCAAACGCCAGAATAGGCGTCATCTTCTGGGATGATGGATGGGATTCGCTGGACGTCTGCCCCGTGGCGGCGGAAGCTCATTTCGCTTAGGGTTTCACAGCCGTCGCCCTGGGGTTTGGGTTGCTGGCGCTGCCGGGTCTGACGCTGTCGGACAGTCGTGGGCTTCTTTGACTCGGCGTCAGTTCCCGGGCTGGGGCTTGGGGGAGTCTGGACTGTGCGCGCGGTCAACTCGTCCTGGCGATCCATCAGGCTCCACGTAACCAGCTAAGCGCAAAAGGGGATAGGCGAGAAGCGCCGAACAAGTCAACGTGGGCCCCAGCCCAAAGTGGTGAAACGGGGGTCTCGATGGGCGGGACTTATCGCGCTCAGAGCGACCTCGCATTGGACCCATTCTCCCATGACAATGGCATCAGGCCCTCGGGTTGCCCCAAGCGCGGGGCCGCCGTCCCAAGTCAGCCGTTGTCAACTCTTTGTTCGTCTGATGCTGGCGCTGTGGGACGGGATACGAAAAACCCAGAGTAGGGCCTGCCCTGACGGCCAACCCTGCCCGGCGCCTCCAGGCCAGCTGAGACTATCTGTCCAACTTGATGGCTTCGCCAGTCAGTGTTGGGGGTCGGGTTGAATGCGGCGCCACCCAATCACCGCCAACACCCTCCTAGTGAAAGTGACTTGTGGGCTTTGAGGCTTCGTTGAGGGGGCCACGTAAGGGTGGACGAGAAGACGAGGGAGGAAGGCTTTGCCGAGCTCGTAATGTCCGGCGATGGCTCTGCCTCTAGGCATCGGTAGTAATCTTGTACGTACGTTTCCCTGGAGATGGCGTAGGGCTCTCATCATCGGGAAGAGGGAGGGAGGGAGCGGGGGTCGAGGCCATGGTGACGAGCTTCTGTGCAGAGACTTCTTGACAGGAGGCAAAAAAGAGGGATTTTCTGCAGGGGAATTGTCATCGATAGCACCGCAACTAATTCGATGGTAGAGGCACCCACCTAGGGACTTGACGGCTCTGGCAGGTTTCTTCCCCCTTTGCATGCGGCCAAGCGTCAAGTCAAGTCAAGGCTCACGTCAAGGCTCGAATTCTTACACTCGGCAACGAGCCTAGTGAGTTGAAGCCAGAACCCAACGGTTCAAGGACGAGAACGCCCTAGGCTGCCAAGAGCCCACTTCCTCCGGATGCTAATCTGTATCACGCCGACCGTTGTTACGGTTCCTGTAGTGAGGTGAGAGAGGTGAGGTATTTGCGTGCAGTAGTCCCGTCCTACCTACCATCGACTGCCACCTGTGCTGCTCGTGCTTGTTGCTGGCCAGAGCGTGCAGCAAGGTGTTGCAGTCGCTGACTGGATCGGATGGGGGCTCGAGGGGGCCGGCGGTTGAGGATAAGCAAGGAACGAGACTTGCTTGGTGATGTAACTTTTCGCAGCGATCACACCCAAAAGTTACGTGACGACGTCGTATCCAGCAACGCATCCTTGGCGCCCGGTGTTTCCAAGGTTGCGCCGTGGTGCCGGTTCCTGCAGCATTTTGCCCCCGTACCTGCATAAGCCAGGGGTCGAAAATGGCGCTTCTTGCTCCATCCGCTGCCCAGGTGGTGTTATTGTTGTTCCTCGAGCCAGAATCAAGTCGCTCTTCCCCTCTTCTTGGCCGAGAGGTCCAGGCCAGCGCCAGCGGGTGGAAGGGCAAGAAGGGCGACGAGTTGCCATCGAGCGCTAGTTGTCGCTGAGGTGTGAGTGGGCGGCACTCCAAAACAACCCAGCTGCGACTATTCGTTTCTCCCTCGTTTGGCACCAGCCAAAAGGCTATCGATGTGGTATTGCCAGTGATCTGCAGTAGACAACGGATAGCCAGTCAAGCCGAGACCCCATTGATTAAGGAACAAAGCCAAATGGCTGGGAAAAGGAAATCAGCCGGCTGCCCTCCCCCTTGGTAGGTCGACTTGGGAGACACTGGCAAGGACTACCATACATAGATGGCCACCGATTGTGAGGCGCCTTATGTCACTGTGGGTGTCTCTCATGCTGCGATTCACCGCGGCGGTTTAGCCGTCGTTTGGATTCTCCGCTCTGGGCAGCAAGTTTGGGGCATCGAGTTGGCAGAGTCGAGGAGGTCCTGGGTAATCATCAGTCATCAGGACGCAACGCCAGCACACCATCCCCGTCGTGCTGAGTGCGTCTCCCGTGTCGCCCGTGTCGCCCCCGCCCACTGAGCGCTTGCCAGAGAGTCAGTCCGGGAAAATCCAGAGTGTCCAGACCCCAGGGCCATGGAGAGGGGCCACAAAAATAACCGGGATCAGCAGAGAAAAGCATGGCTCATGAGGCGCTGATCACCCCGAGAAAAAAAAAAAATGAACACGAAATCGGACGAAGAGGGAAAGGAAAAAAAAAGCTCTGATGAACTGCCAAGGGGGCGACGGTTCCCACCCTGACCAGTCAGCCACCACTCAGGAGTCGGCTGGGAGCAACTCCAAGGGCTGCTTCGAGCGAATAGTCGACCAACATATCTGTCGACCACGACAGTGAATGGTGGAAAGGGATCCATAACATGAAGAAGGAATGGCACGTCTGGAAGGAAGGAAGGGCACGCTCCACCTGCCATGGTTGTGACTTGTAACTGCCAGGAGCAACAGGAGCAACCACTACCGTACCGCACCGCACCACACAACCACACCACTTCCTTTCCCGGAAAGCGCGATACTTCGTACGTCCGGCCCGCCCGCCCCCTGCTTCTCCTAGTGCGCGCGGATAGGCAGGTACGGAGGAAGGGGCCACCATCGTTCGTAAACTACTTTGGTCCCCCTCCTTCCTCGTGGTGAATCGCAAATCAGCCCCGTGGGATCCAGTGTGTCTGCAACCCCGACCCACCAGGACCCATAGTCCGCACCAGTTCCCGCAACAGAATTGGCAACTGCCAACTGCACCTGCATCTGAGGTCGCTTCTTCCTTCCGGTCGACCTCACCTTCCCACCTCTTCCAGGTTTGTTTCGTTCTACAAACGTCCCTGCCTTATTTGTTTCCTCCCCGGCACCCAGTCACTTTCTCTTCTTAAACTGCCTCCTTCCCCCCCCACACTCTCTTGCTGCTTCCCCTTCCTTACACCAACCGGCTTGTCTGTCCTTCTTCGGTCACGTTCACATTCATTCACCAACGGTCGCCAGCTTCGACCTTGTGTACACAAACCCAGCAGTTCGTTGTTCACTCGAACTCACCAACAACAACCGCACCACTTTCCTTATTCGCGTCTTTGACAGACCGAACAACCAGCAAGCAACTACATCGCTCCTTCCGTGTGTATCCAAACGATATATCCACCCTCATTCCAAGGCCGGAACTTCGTGACTACAAACCACTTCGAGAAAGAAATCATCAACAGCTTTTTCACAAGCACCTTCCTCGACAAACCGCCTCCTTCACACACAGGTAACAAACACCAACCGATACCCATCGACAACCGCCAAGATGTACGCCAAGAAGGCTCTTTCCGTCATCGCCTCGCTCGCTCTCGCTGAGCAGGCCCTGGGCTTTAACGCTCATCGCCACATGCACCAGGAGAAGCGTGCTTACAAGTACGACATCGTCACTGAATGGGTCACTGTCACCATCATCGAGGGCGAGTCTGCCCCTGCCAGCACTCCCACTCCGACTCCTACCCCTGCTGCTGCCCAACCTGAGGTCCAGTACACCCCGACCACCACCTCGACTTCCATCGTCGTGATCTCGACCCCCACCCCGGTCATCGCTGCTCTTAGCACTACTTCCATTCCCACTCCGGCGGCTCCCAGCACCACTCTGGTCACTTCGGTTGCCCCCAAGCCCTCTTCCCAGGCTCCCATCATTGAGCAGGCTATTGCCGTCTCCTCTGCGCCCGCCTCTTCCCAGGCTGCCGTCATGGAGCAGGCTGTTGCCGTCTCTTCTACTCCCGTCTCTTCTGCCAAGGTTGCTACTGCTAGCACCAGCTCTGCTTCCACCGGTGGCAAGCGCGGTATCGCTTACAACGATCCTACCAAGGTCAACGCCTTCTTCACCGGCTCTTGCAAGGACTGCTCGTGGGCTTACAACTGGGACTCGAGCGACAACGGCCTCACCGCTTCCGGCGTCGACTTCGTCCCCATGCTCTGGGGCCCCATCGACACCCACACCGCCCGCTGGACCGAGAATGCCGACGCCGCCATCGCCAAGGGCTCTACTCACATTCTGAGTTTCAACGAGTGTGACAATGCCGCCCAGTGCAACCTCGACGCCGGCTCTGCCGCCACCGCTCACGTCAAGTACATCAACCCCTATTCCGGAAAGGTTAAGATCGGTGCCCCTGCCATCACCAACAGCAACATTGCCGGTGAGGGTCTCGACTGGCTCAAGTCCTGGGTTTCCGCTTGCAACACCGCTGGCTGCGCCTACGACTTCTGCGTCACCCACTGGTACTCCCCCTCGGACGCCGCTTCCACCCTTTTTGACCACCTCCAGTCGGTCCACGAGATCTGTGGCGGCAAGCCCGTCTGGCTCACCGAGTTTGCCCCCTTCGGCAGCAGCGACCAGATCACCAGCTTCGTCCAGACCAACGTCCCCAAGTTGGACAGTCTCGAGTACCTCGACCGCTACTCCTACTTCATGGCCAGCGACGGCGTTCTCAACTCCGGCTCTGGCCTCAGCGCTCTTGGCCAGGCCTATGCCTCTGCCTAAGTCTGCTGAGGCAGCGTCGGTTGAGTTGCCGGTACGCATCCAACTGTCAAGGGCGGGCATCAATGTTTCTTTCGGGGGCCGCCGGGGTTTTACGGTGGACAGGTATTTCCGGAAGTGGTCGCCCGCCTCTCTCTAATTCAATTCTACTGTACATACGGTTACCTCTTTTCTTCTTCGGGACATTCGCTTTTCGCATTCAGGGGTGGTCACTCGCTGAATAACTCCCTCCTAACTGGATGAATTTTTCGAGTCGGGTTTGGCTCACAGGATACCCGACACAAACATATGGTGTTTGCGGACTTTTTTTTATTTTTAGAGAAGGGGAAAATGGGCTCAGGGACGATCCAAACGAGATCCAAAAGGATAGACTCACGAGCTACGAACACACAATGGAATACCAGGCTGCACAAGCCTAGTTATCACATTACACTTACTTTTGCTCCTTGAACTTGGCCCATTCATGCCTACGATGCTTGCAAGTGGAATGTCTTGTAGGAAACGTCACTGAGCATGTGTGACGCCGGGCCCGTGATAACATTTCCTGAGGCTTGCTTAGGTAGTCTACGTTGCAGAAGTACACTCATGTTCGGTCCTGTTCCGTGCTCCTGGTCCGTGTCGCCCGGCACCCGGCGCTTACTAGTCTGATCGGGTAGTCGGCCAACAAGGTGCACTCCAGGGAGAAGGAAACGGATGATGGTTTTGACGGACGAAAAAGAAAGAAAAAACGTCAGAGAAACGGGACACCGTTGATGACCCGGCGGTTGCGCCCTTGCCATCATCCGTCTAAGAGGCCATCCTCCGGACCCGAAACCGCTTTTTTTTTTTGTTGGTGGGGGGGGCCTACCTCGTTGCCACGTTGATTCATGCGTCGCGTGGGCTGTAGCGGTCGAACCTGTCGATCCAAAGAGGATAACTCGTACGCCGTGGTACGGGACAATACGATGGGTTGATTGGTCGGTATACGGTGGTTTAAGCTTCCGCTGGATGTTACAAACCCCGTGCGGTCAACTAGGCCGCTTTGAGATAATTATCCCCTCCCCCCAAAGTCTTGTATCGCTTCAAGGCATTGCGCCTTTTCTGTGTAGGGAGCCAAATTGCCAAGGCTCCCTTGCTACGCCAGGAAAGGATGACGAGGCGCAGCTTCTCCGTGAAGCTTCTTACGCTGACAAAGGGACGAGCTCACCGCCCTGCTTTGCTGAGTCGAGGGCAGTTTGGATGATGAAAGGGGGAAAGCCGTGGTGGACGCATTTGACCTTGTCCGTGTTTAATGGGGTAGGATAGATGCTTAGCTGGGGGAAACGCTGTTTCAAAGTAGTACGTAGGATATAGCAAAATGGTGTAGAATTACCGAGTTCGGGAAAGGACTGTTCATCTTCTCCGAGCTGGGCGATTTCAACGGTGGCGACGGTGACGTTGACGATGCTGCTGCGATGTGATGCAGCATAGAGGGGGCTGTTACTTGCGCCCTTGCATGGCTGTTCACGGCCTCAGACGAGAGGCGGTTTACTCTGACGGCGCGTTGGTCAGATTTTGCAATTCGAGGGTGCAGCTCCCAACCTTTGCCTTTGAGGCTGGAGATCTTGTTGCGAACACCGTCAAACGCTATGCTCATGAACGTTGCTACAAAGTATATAGTTCCTGTCAAGGGATTGTACAAACAGGCTTGCCTGATATTCTGATGTAACGCGCGGATGGACAGCGCAGGAAGACAAATCCGCCCAAAGGACTTTTCGTGGTGGACAAACCTTGCGGATGACTACTCTATGACAGGTACTGTTCAGAGTCATGAGCTTACTGGAAGACGTGAAAAGCCCGTCATAGTGATGGCTCGACCACGGAAGAAGCTCGTCCCGAGCTTAGGTAGTAAACTAAGGAGATATATGATATCGAGATGATCCTCGAAATGACTCCATGGTGGCGGTAGCGGTCGGCGATGGAAAGTGTGTCGATTCTTTCGACGTGTCTCTTAACAGATGGGTGGACGGTGCTAGGGGCTTCTCGTCTCGTCTTGAGCTTGGCCCTGTCTTGTCAACACCTGCAAACAATGCGCGACATTGTATGTGTGGCGGTAGGTCGTGGTGTTGGGTTCATCTTGGAGATGCAGGTATCCTTGCGGAATGAGGGCGGTTAGCGGTGGCTCTGTCTAGTTTAGATTGTTTCACACTACCCCTTTAGAAGTAGTCCTAGATTGTCTATGTACTGTACACGAGGTCGACATCCTTCAATGCAACTACACACTACGCGAACCGGTACGAAATGTGTTCAATAGTATAATGATGTATACATGAAGCTATATACGCAAACACACAACCAGTTCCTCTGAATTTGCAAAAGATACAGTTTTTTGGTGCATATGCTCGTCTGAGGGTAGCAATCGTCTTGACAGCGCATGTTGCGAGGCGTCCGTCTGGTGAGAATCGGTACATTGATAGTGGGAAAATCTGCGAAGCGCGCAAGTTAGATCGAGATCCGGAGTTGTGTGCCTCGAGTTCGCCATGTCCGACGGATGACACTATTTTCATCTTCGGCACGACCAGTTCACTCCGGGATCTAACTCATTGAGACGCCGGATCGTTAATTATCTCAACTGATAGGAAAACTTTCATCGCCGACAAACTAGTGCCGGACTACGAGCAGATGACGAGGCGCCGACGAACTGCGGCCAATGCGATACAACAGACGACGTTCCTACCTTTCACTTGCTTGGAGGATGTAGTATTCGTACTCTGGTGGAGGTGTGTGTGAGTGGGATATAGATGGTGTGTTTGTGTACGTGTCCGCGGGGATCGGCCAACTGGGTATGCCGAAGGATCCGTATTGGTAGTAAGCTACATGAACTAGGACGAATCACAACAGACAGCCAACGTAGGATGGCTGGAGAAACAGACGACGTATCAAAATGGAGAAAAGACGGGACAGTCCCCGCGGGAGATTGGACTGAAAGAGTAGTGGTATGGTAGGAGGGTGACTTATATGACCATTGAGGTGAAAGCCAAGAAAGGGAAAACATGGTTCAAGAAACGTCCGTCACCGACAAAAAACTGCCCGCACCTGTCATAACCTTCGCCTCTCCTCTCGGCGTCAACTTCCGGACCCAATGAACCAGTCGTCGGATGAAAGAGAAAGCTCAATGGAGGGTGTGATGTCAAATCCTTGCAAAGGAACAGGGACGTGATGGAGAGGCTTGGAGCGTTTCGACGAAGAAGGTTGAGTTAGGTTGGGGGTGGGCTAAGCCGGGGAAGTGGGGGTTACGGCTCGGTTGAGCGATGAGGGGCAAGTCGAGAGGCGACCCCGGAGGAGCGACGTTGTGGTGATGAATGAGTAGAGCCCGATAATGACTCAGGACAGACACAGTAACTGTCGCATGAATGATTGTTTCCTCAACGTTTGCTCCTCGACTTGTTGCCAATGAAGGAAAGAACCGAAACTCTAGATCCGATTGGGTAAATGGAGGGGGCCAGTGGGATGCAGGTCAAGAGAAGCTCTGACCCCAGCTGCGGTCGTCGTCGCGTGGTACCCGGTAACGCATACCTCCGGGTCCGAGTTGATCCGTCTGGGACTGGGAGTTGATGTTCTCGGTCTCTTCCGTCATATGGCTGTATCCTTGTTGGAGACGAGTGGTCTCGAGGAACGGTCCCCTCCTCCCTCATGGTCTTTCCCATACGTATCTTCCACGTGGACGGGTGGTGCTGCAGAGGAACCTGGTAACCTGGTATGCGTTCAATATTCAGTTAACGAATGCAGGAACATGGTCAGATCGTAGCGGTTGCATAATCAAGTACGGGGATCTTGTCTCCTTCCTTTCGAAAAGCCGTAGGGGTTAGGCAAGGTCCAAGGCACTGGAAGAAGTGCAAATTGCTAGCGGTGTTAGAAGCGTCCGAGTGAGGAAGACAAGGCGCAGAGGTGTTACGTTCTACATGTCATAGTAGGCTGACCTGACGTACGGTTATCTCTTTCCGAAATTGCTCCGTCATGCCGCTGCAATCCTACCTCCTCTTACCGGTGCTCGGTATCTCCGTTATCCTTCTTCCATGCATCTCTAGATCTCTGTACTAGAACAGCTCGGAAGGCGGAGTAGCTCAAACTCAAGTGGAGTTTGCCACACTCAATGGAAACAACATCTTCCAATTTACCCCTCCTCCTCCAGGCAGTAAGCAGGTTTCGACAAACTCAGATGCCTGGCGCAATATCTAACTAGCAGCATGTAAAAGTACAAACGGCGGGGGCATCTACAGCCAGCTAAATCGATTGTGTGCGTTCAGTTACCACGTTGTAGCCGCGCAGATCTGGAGGCCTCACCGGATGAGATCTCTTAATCCCATCTCCGCTTCGCCTCCCCTCCATCCGTCCTTTTTGTCCCAATTGCTGACTATCTAGGAATCGTTCCATGAAAGTTTGCCTCGTAAAGTGTCCGCCCATTCAAACCCATTCCGCGTGGTGTTCTATTGACCTACTTCTTTTGAGTTGGCAATTCGTGATACTGCCCGTGTAAGGTAGGCAATGTCTGTTGCGCTGCTCTGCGCCATTCAATGCTTGTTTCGACCCAATCTTCCACTTTGCAGCCTTTACATCTTAAAACTAGCCTCGAGTTGAGCCGATATCCAGCCAGACTCTCTGTAGTAGTCTTCCTATAGTAGCATCGATACCGAAAAAACAGCACAGGCCTGGCCCGGAGTGCGGTCCGGCCTTGCTGTTTCAACAACTCTGTGGGAGCAGGGACCACGGAGAGAGGGCACCGACCGAGAATGACAGTACTCCACAAGCTCATGTTCTTAATGTTGGATCAGGATGCTCTAGGTGAAGCTGTGAACCATATGCCACGGCTTTGCACGAAGAGCAACCAATGGGATCACTTGGTAAGTGCTCGGTAACGACGCCGTGAGGTGCGTATCCACATAAACAAGTGATGGAGGCAGCGACGAGGGAAACTGCGAACGATAAGCGAGGAACAAAACGGGCGCCTTGGAGGAACCAGCCCAATTCCAGTTGGCTTTTGCCAGCCAGGTGTGCTACATGCCCTTCCCAATCCCCCAATGCGCACGATTCTGCCGGTGTCACTCACCTCACACAGACGCTGAACGTCCCATCTTTTTTCCTCTCCATTATGCTATGCAGAGAGAAGATGAGCCAAGGCCTCGGTGCATGGATCGCGCGCGCGCGCGCACACACACACACACACACACACACACACACACACGCACGCATCCATGGGAGAGCTGGGGAGATCGGTGGAGGGGCGCCAGAGGGTTTGTGCGTCTCGTACGACTTGCACGTTCCAAACACCGCGCATACGGTTTGATGGTAGTCAAATCCCGAAGGGACAATGGCAGTTGGTAGAGGGGGAAAGGGGAGCCTCGTCGAAGTCTAAGTCCTATCATCCTGCGCAGCCGCAAGAGCGACGAGGTGTCTTGTGCCGCACAATAGCACCAGTCGAGCGTATCGGAGGGCAACTCGGATGGGGAGAATACAGGAAAACGAAGCACCTCCATGAAGACAAGGGAAGATAAATCATGGACAAGAGAAATCCCATTTCGACTTCCCGTGCCAGCCAGAGTCAGGAATTGCAACTGAGCCACCTTTTTCGACTCGGAGTGTTTGTCCGCTCTTCCATATAGTGCGCTATCATTCTAGGCCAGACCTATCCGCCCTACTCCAACTCTATTTCAACTCGTTCCATGGGTGATGCCTCTTTCATACCCGTTGGACCCCCTTCCACACGTGCGGTGCACAGCATCCAAGCCGACTGGAGAATCCTCTTGTGGTGGGGCACAACTGAGATGAGTATGTAAGCGGGGAAAACAGCCGCCCGGGACAAGTCGACAGGCCTCCCTGGCCTTGGCGTGGGTTTGCGGTTCAACATGAGTTTTGAGGCTGCAGAAGCAGAACCTCATGTCTATCATGGGACGTGGGAAAAATACATTGTTCATTGTTGGGTCGATCAAGGTATGCGCACCGTACCGTATGCGAGTGTTCATGTCCGAGCACAAGTCTTCGGTCTGAGCTGTACAGCTCCAGTTGTTCAGAATAAGTCAAAGGACGCGGAATCGGGCACAACGGGGGACGGCCGAGGGGATACGCGTACCAAGGCCGGAAGCACGCATGAAAGATCCCGTCTTGCACTTGCTCCAACGGCAATACAAATTCGCGGTGGACAGATCCAAGACACCGCACATGTACGCAGATGCGCGTGTGCACGCACATACATACTCCCACGTGAGCATGTCACGAATCAAGACCAAGGAGATTCCTCGCGCTAGAACAGCTATAGAAGGCTGTTCGGTCTTGCAGTGTGAGAGGCGCGAACATGATCCGGTCTGAGAAACGAAACAAACACAACACCCACTCGGTAAGGACAACCAACGTGGCACCGTGGCAATTATTCCTGAAGCGGTGGAGGATGTGCAGAAAACGTCACCTTAGCTGGAAACCCAAGACATGCCATTGTCGAATCAGAATGCCGTACTCCATCCAACTAGCCCTCAACACGGCTTCTTGACTCTTGTTTTCTACTCCTGGCAAATCACATCACGAGGGCACAACTCAGTCATCCGGAGATGGGATTATCTGATCAGCACTGTGGCGAGGGGCCCTGAGCAAGGCGGACTTTCAAGACCACCAGACGAGGACAATAGCGAATCAAGGTGTTACGAGGGTTTGTTCGTCGTGTCTTGCGATTCAACAGCTAAGAAACCACGGCATCTGTATGACACGGCACGTCGCCGATTTCTTAGACCACGCTAGCCTCGTGCGTGATTCGACGACCCATGCTTTGTCCCATTTCTACTCCGTGATATGTCCATCTCTTCTATGCAGAAAGCCAAGACCAGAATCGGAGAAACGCCGTTTCCCACAAAGCCCGCTCCCGTGTCCGCAGAAAGTACCCGCGAGATCTCAACCCAGAAGCTCATGAGTGGTATCCTGCCATGAGTTTCCGGTCTTTCCAAGCCGCTACTCCGTAAAATGTGTGTGGATCCATTGATTTGCCTCCCACCATAAGCCATGCGTAGGTATATGAAGTAAAAAAGAATAATAAAAAGCCTCCCGCCTTTTGCCAAAAGTGCCTCACGATGGGGCTCATCGTGGTGTGATATCAAGTAAAATAAGAAACAAACAAAAATGGTTCGGTTCTCTTCGTCCTAGGACCCTCGTAGGGGCAGTCCGAAACCGAAACCCAGACCGTTGTTGCGCCCCAATGTGCGTAATGTTGCCCGTTTCGCGCCGTAGAAAGAGAAAGGGCTTCTCTTGATGCGATGCCGCCTGGAAGAAATGCAGTTGGAATGTCCCCCCTCCTCGTTGCAACATAATCAACGATCGCTGGTTGTGTTTTTCGTTCATGTATCCCTAGTGTAGCGGCCGGACTCTGTCTCACGCCCGCTCGTTCGTCGGGGTTCGTTCTGCCCCGTGCAACCATCCTCAATGCTCATCTCTTCGAAACCTGCCGTCGTGGGTTTCGATTCGCGCTTAGTCGTGGTCGTGACCACGGCGCCGCTGCCAGGCACCGAACCGGCCGAGAACGTCCTGCACGCACGTTCCGCCTCGGATGAGGTCTTGCTGCTGTTGACAGTAATAGAGCGCGTCGAGCTGTCAAGAGAAATCTCGGCTATATCATCCATGACGTGCTTCTGACTTGGTGCGATGTGCGGTGAGTAGCCAGTCCCAGTCGTTCGACGGAAATCTTCGATGAATGGCTCGTTGCGGGAGCCACCACCCGAGGAGCACTGGGTGGCAACGTTATCCTTGTTGGTCACCCACTGGACGACGATGGCGGAAAATAGAACTGCAGGGGAAATTAGCATGGGATGTGAGGACGAGGTGTAATGGTCAACATACTATCACTGTTGCAGCACATGAGGCAAACCCAGCCGGGTTCGCCGTTGAGGACCATGAGTACGGTCAAATTCCTAGGGCGAGTCAGAAACTTTGAGCCTAAACTTTCCAAGGTCGGCCCGGCTTACACAATGCTGCTGGTGAGGGTGCACAGGGCACCAATAAAGGTACGGAGTGCAACGGTCCTAAGTCGAATGTTCGCGGGAGTCTTGGGGAAGTGCTTGAATGTGTACAGGCCTGCAAAAGGTTAACTTCGCCCCGAAAATCATTTTGCGGCAGCGCGTGAGCTTACTCTTGAGAGGGATGAGAAAGAGGATAGTGAGGTAGATGTTGACGACAGCGTCAAAGGAGATGAGGGGAATCATCGACACCTTCTGCATCCCAATATAACATTGCCCGTCGTCGATGCGTGTAATACGGCTTTGATATCGTCAACTATCGCCCATGACCCAATACGCTTTTGTTGACTTACAAGATAAAGTTCAGGATGGCGATGACGGTATAAACGCCAAGCATGCCAAACGAATTGAAGATGTAGAGCTTTGACCTGAGCCGCGATTTCGTTGCTCCTCGGATAATATGCTTCCATGCTGTTAGCTCGACCGCACGACTTTTGTTTTGCCGTGGGGACCCAAACACGCACTGCTTTTTCGACTAGGAAAAGGTAGATGAGCACTTTTGTCGTAATGTAGCAGATGAGGCAGAGGAGGATGGCGCCGTCGCAGATCTGGATGTTTGTGTTGACGCCGAGGGCGAACTGGAGAATCGCCGTGACGAAGACGAAGAGATATGAATCTGCGTAGACGGCGAACACGACTGGTTCTGCGTCAGCACCGCGAGCAACCATAAAACACCAAGTGAACGCTTACGCCACACCACGAATGGTATCCTCCTCCAGTTCTTCAAGGCCGGGCTCCTCTGGGCTGTTTGTCTTCCATTAGTACGTAATCCTTCCTCGTGCTGGCGCGCCCCCTTCGCCGGTCCAACGCGTGATCGTGGTCACATACCAAAGAAGCCGGAGATGATGCTGATGGAGACGAGACAGATAACAACGCTCATAATCGTGCCCCCCAAGGGCTCAGTCGTGTGCAGTCCGGCGGGGTCTGCCCGTGGAACCGCTTCTGGAGTCGGAGCCATGATGTCCCAGGACGAAGAAGTCGTTTGGTGAAGGTGGATTTCCGGTCACGATGTTCCTGACGTGGAAAGGGGTCCAGTGGTACGGGGCGCCAAGGGGAGTAGAAGAACTATATACCAAGACACAACCCAGGAACGCTAGACAAGAGAAATCGACGGGTTGGGTGTCCGAGCTACCTTTCGTCTCGCAATGTCTGGGAGGTGGAGGGGGAGAGGGACACAACCGTCTTTAAGGTTCGTCCAACAGGCGATCGAAGCGTGCGTGCAGAAAAACGGGAGGAGAAGAGGGCCAGCAGCAGAGGTACAGACAGCAAACCGGTGCTGCTACATGGATGGAAGGACAAGCGATACGCTAGTAGCAATGGGGAATACAGATCCGCATGCTTCTTTTCTCTTTTAAACCCTCCTTGGGGTAGGGTACGCATACAATGGACGTATCCAGTCGAATGATCGATAGTAAGACTAGCGCCCACTGGGCAGGAGATCAAAGGAGCTTTCAATGTTGGTGCCCTCGTGGCGGAAACCACCGAACCGGAGCCGGCTGCAGTTAGTTAGCTCGGGAAGAGAGAGAGAGCCAGAAGTAAGGCGTTGGATAGGACAAAACCAAAGTGCTGGAAGTGACGGCGTTGGAAAAGCGAATGTGTCTCAAAGCATAGCTTCATGGAGGTACGGAGAGGTAAGCCGGGTTAGCGGCCTCCACTGACGCAAGCCACCAGGGAAGAGGAGGATTTCAATAGGAAAGATTGCTGATGTCGGTAGGAGAAACGGTACCGTATTCACTTGTGAGTACGTTCACGTATAGAGATACGGTCGGTCGGAGGCAAGGGAATGGTGAAGAATTGGGGGCGGAGAGACGTGCATACACCACGCGCACGCTTGCACACACGCACCTACACAGCTTAAACGGGAAGAACTTGAAAGCAAAAACTCACAGCGGAGAGTTCCATCTGGAGAAAACGGTATCAGGGCAGGTCGGTCCTGCAGCGCTCACAGACACAGGTGACGGCTGGAAGCAACAGCGCACAATGGCTGTTCCGTCACCAAGCTCTTGTCACGGTGACGGGGCGCGTCTAGGGCGACGGAGTCGAATTGAGGGGCACATTGTTACGAGAGGGGAACTCTAATCCAATGTTGCCCTCATCCTCTCATCCTGCTTCGCGCTGGTCTTGTCTTGGGCCCGCATTCCTCGCCTGCCATGGTACAGTCCGCAAGGAGAATAGCGGTTCACCGAGCGTTGGTGGTGGTGGTTAAGGTCGAGGTGGTGGGGAGCGGAAGGTGGGAGGAGAAGGAAGGCCTATGCTCCACGCTATTGCGTCGCCTACCTGTGTTGGCCAAGAGGGGATCGAGCTTCGCTTCCGCCTGGTTGGACGGCTCGACAGTCTAAGACAGAGGTTAAATGCGACTCTGCAACGGAGCAGGGGTCCATGGTTGAACCTAGCCACCGATCCCGTCCTTGAACCAACCAGCTCCGTAACACCCACGAACCTTTGGGCTTGAATCTCCCATGCCCACCAAACTTGTAAAGAGCATCTGCCCCTACTCTGTACAAAACGCTGCAGACCATGTTGCGACGCTGACCTCTGTTTTATCGTCTTTGGCGTCGGCAGAAGCTTTGCCCCCACCTCCCTTGATCATGTCGTAGTCATCTGGATCGCAGATCGACTCGCAACTACCATAGCCCACTGGGGTCAGCGCGAAGACGTCAAAAGACGGCGGGCTCTGCAAGAGCTAAGCTCTGTGGCATGGACCCTTTCCCTGACATTCCCTGCCTTGCCTCTGACGGGCAACGTACAGCGTTGCCGCAGAGCACGTCCTCCTGCCTTGCGCCCGACTGTGCACATGCAGTCTGGTCTGTAGGAGAGCGCGGCACATTTCAATGGCATCTTCCGTTGTCAGTGTCATTGTGGTATTTCACAAGGGAGGGAAATATATACGCAGTCCGAGAAAGAAGTGCAATGCCGAGGAGTTGGAGCTTGGCGACCAAGTACATGGCGAAACACGTCTGGATGGGAAAAGCGCAGCCGTCCTCAAGCTGGTTCACCGGTACTGTTGGTTTAATGGTAACCAATAAAGCCGGACTAGAGCCAGCCGTGGCTGCTCCACGCCTCGTCGTCTGGTTTCCGTAGGTTTGTGCTAGCCGCTTGGCCACAATGATGTAGTGTCAAATGTCAAATTTTATAGCCGATTCGATCGCGTCCATCGATAGGATCGCCTGAAGATGACAACGCTCCCCAAAAAGTATGAATTCCAGGCTTTCAGAGGGAAAAATGACCGCAATGGCCAAAAATTAATGTTAAAAGCAAGACAGATTTGGAAGGACGGAAAAAACCCAAATCCTAACAAAACCAAGGAACAAAAAAATCAAACAACCAAGAAACAACCAAAACCCAAGTGTACATAGGCGAAAGTCTGAGAGCACGCCAGTCGACCGCTTGTCAGAATGACGGCCGCGTTCAGTTCCTTCGCCAACCCCGCAAGTCTGGTGGTCCGCTGCATCCCCAGATTCGAAAGAAAGTGTCACGCTCAATGCACCGTCACCGTCAGCGTTATGTAATGCACGAATAATCGTTTGTCGCATCGGGTCTGTGGGTTAAGGAGAGAAGCCCGGGCGGACGGCGCGCATCGTGAATCATTTCGAGATCTAGAGTTCGGTCGACCGTTTGAGCTGGATGCTCTGCCTGCCGAACCCTTCGCCCCCAGCCAGGAGAGCGGCATTCGAGCCTGTCGCGAGCTTCTACTTGGGCTGCCGATGCCTGCCGGCTGGCTTTGTAATTGTTCATGGTCATGCGAGCACGCGCTATGTCGAGAATGGTGACCGTGTAATACGTCCCAAGAGATTGAGATGCTTTGTCGACGGTGCGGCTGACTGCCTTGACGGCTTCGAGGCACCAAGGGTTCTCCACCGCTGTGGCGGTCGAGCGCACTCGTGGCATCCGAACGCCCGCCAATGACAATGGCGACGAGGAGAGAAGCTGTGCGGAAGCTGAGTGGACGAAAACGGCGGGAATGCTCCGAGGCAAGCCAGCCACGGATGCCGCAGTGTCGTTCTCGAAGTGGAAGGCATAGCCCGCTGGGTGGTTATGTGAGACCTTCGTCCACAGTTTTGTGTGTAGCGGCACGTCTTGCGCAAGGCCCTCTGACAAGGCAAGGTGAGTCAATACGCGCGCACTTGGCTCCAGTAGACACCCAGTCGAGCTAATCCAGGCCATGGCAGACGGGGTCTGGCTCGGTCTAGCTCGGTCTGATGGCTGAGATGTGGCTGCCGGCCGGGACATCACGAGACACCGTGCACTCGCGCGTTCTAGCCCACTCTCCTCGTTCTTTCGTTTGCCTGCCAGAGACCTTTGCCGCACGCCGCAGCCGTCATACGGTACACTGCTCAGCCTGGAACTAGCTCGTCCTGAGGATTCCACGAGGTGCGGTGCACATCGTGAGGCAGCAGGGGATGCGTGTAGGCTGCAGCGGAAAACAGGGGGCCTTGCCGCTGCTGCCCCCTCCCAGAAACAAACGCCCAAGCTGAGGGTCGTATTCAAGTACGAATGCTATCCATCATGTGCGGAAGGCGACTGACGAGGGCTTGGAGGCGGTAGCGCGACGCAAACCCCATGTGCGATCCGACGTGCTCAAACCAAAGCGGCTGCAGCGCGGCTGCAATTGCCAAACGGGAAGGAAACGCAACAAGCACGCCGAGGACGGGGCGTCAACCACAGGCCAAACAGAAAGGAGAAGCTGAGAAGTGTGCGTGAGGACGCAAGACCGAATACGATGTGTCCCGGGTTCGAGGCACCACAGAGAGCCAGAGAGACAAGCAGACGACAGGAGCGAGGAATAAGCAAAGATGATCAGAAGCATGCAGCTCGAGGTCTGAATCGACCATTGGGCAATTCCTCGACTGGACCAATGATGCGGCTCGGAAGCTGCCCCGTGCATTGGCGCAATACGTACTGAGTGTGTCGTCATGGATAAAGTCTTTTCCGAATCACAAGTGGGCCAATGCTACGTCTCCCACCGCATCCGCCCATCTCGAGGCCCGGGAGCCGGCTCCTTTTCGGGCCCCACCTCACGGATCGTGGAGCCCCAGAGATTTTTCCCGCGAGACGGGGGGGCCCGTGTGATGTCTCCCGGGCTAAAAGGGCAGAAAAGAAGGGGTCCCCACCCACTCGGGTTGACGACAATGCGGTTACGCCACAGATTTTGAGCCACGCTGGTGGCGCGGGGGTGGCCAGTGAGACTTCACGATGCCACACTACCGACGTTCCTGACACCATCCACTGCGCGGTCACAGCATTAGTTCAATCAACCATCGACGCCCATCTGCTTGGCAGTTGGCACGCTGCGTACGAAGCCCAATCGAGAGCCTCCCCAAACCCACCGTATCTTTGATCGTACGTGTGGACGGCAGTTCTTTTTGTCGAATACCAAGAGCGCCAGTCCGGACGACTGCGCGAGGTTGTTACTTTCGGTCCGCTTGATGTGCGGATAGCTCCCTATCCGAGCGAGATGCTTTCCACTTCCAGGGTCTCGATGTTTCTTCCGTGGCACTCCCCCTGCGCTTGGCGAGAGCGCACCCTCACGTGCAATGCTGCTGTCTAATACCCAGTTGAAACCGGATCGGCTTGGTAGCCCCGCGGCTGCTTTGGGAAGAGTTGAGTCAATCTTGTACGTGAGGATTCTTCACAGAGCTCGCGTACTCTGGCCACTGAGGAATCTGCCCAACAGTCGGGAAAAGTGGTGACATGAATGAAAAGAACGGGTTCTGCCTGGAAGACGCCACTCGGCTTGAACGCTAGCCCCAACCCGATTGGGAAGAGCGTGTGCCTCCTGCGGTGTCAACAATGCGAACACGCAGTGACTCCCACGATGGGAATCAGTTGAATGTTCACTGCCTGGCTGACCCTGCATATCCCTCAACTCGACCTATGAAACGTCCCAGCTGCAATCTCAGCGAATGGCGTCAAACACGTGCCGGTCCTGTTTATTTCTACCTGCATGACTGTCCAACCAACTGACCGAGGAACCCCAACGAGCAAGAGCTTCCAGGCACGGCGGCCACGAGGCTTCAACTCCCCACACCCCTAAGCGAAACCGAAACAGGCAAGGCTACCCTATCCGCCTTTGGATCTCGAATCTCTTTTATGCGGCCGCCTCCCAGAGGAAGAGGCTTCCTTCAAAGGTCGCGCGCCGTCTCCTTTGTCTCCCAGACCCACCGCAGGTCCCCCCTGCGTCTCCTTGGCGCCCTGCACTTCCGGCCGGCAACGCAGCGCGTCGACTCATCCGCGCCACGCTGGACGGCTTTCATGAATAGCCAACACGCCTTGTCCGGCGGCCGGGACGGGAACCACTGTATCTCGTAGCCTCCAAGCCAAGCCCCGTCGTCACTTTCAACCAAAGGGCCGTGGCTTCCTAGCAATCTGCCAATAAAGCCAGCCAGCCCGCCCGCCCGCCCAACCCAAGCAGCCCGAGGCAGAAAACCACCGAGCCGCAACATGCACTAATCTCACATGTCGACAATGGCGTCCGATGCCAACCAGCGTCGATGGCCCCTTCACCTCCCATTCAAGACGATCGACGCTTCCGGCATCCGCCCTGCCGCAGTTGGGCGGCCCAGCCGCATCGTATCTCCGGCCGCCTCAAAGATCAGAACCCGCGGCGCCATAGCTCCTTCCGAGGGGCGCCCATGCTCGACAAAACGGATTCTCCGTCCTCCACGATCGTGGAAACCTCGCGCTCTCGCTTCGCCCGACTATCAACTCCTTTCCGCCCAGCTGCTCGACCCTTGAGGTATTCGCCGGCGGAAGACCGCTTCCCTAGTTCTTCCCTCCCTTTCCTCATAGTCCTCACCCTCCCCCTCCTCCTCCTCCATGTCACCTCCACCGCCGGCGCCGAGGTAACGAGAAAAGACTGACAGTAGCTGCTACTGGGCATTCTCACAGACTAGCAGGCCTAGCTCCATCATACCACCATCCGGGAGGCTTCGGTCGACCATGGACATGGCTCGGCGCTAGAAGCCCCCTTTCCCAAGCCACTACAACCATAGCTTGGCCGTTCATCGTCGTCGGCATCTGCTAATCGCGTGGTCTCGTTACTTGGGCGGCCTGCCAACTTTTGAGGAACTTTAAGCGTTGCCGAGGAGTACAAAACGCTGCATATCGCCGGGCGCTAGTCGAGTCAGGTAATTCAGGTGGTCATTCAACTGCTGTCTATGCTATGTAATGCTTTCCCTTGCCCCGATACCATGATTCTTCCTTGATTGGTACCTCCACGTGGTTTGTTGAATCAGGTCCTGTGGTTCTTCTGTACCCTGTCATGACGAACTGCTGGCCAAGACTCCTTTGTGACGATCTTGGCCCATTAGCCAAGATACTAAATGAGCTCCATGCGTTCTCAATGGTTAACTAGATGTATAGTCCCTGTTGCTCACGGCCGAAAGGACCGATGTTGGCCAGCGACAGGAATCCATCATGCTTTCATATCCCGCCTAACGCCATGCAATGCTGTCCGATGTACCCCGGCCCAATATGTGTTTGTGCCCTTAACGCCAATGTCTATCCGCCGAGAAGTGAAAGAGAGGATCCTGGCCCACTCTGGCGCCTGTGCCGCCCAAGACCTGCTATCGTCCATGCGTGTGTTGCTATGCTGTTTTGCTCATTGTTGTTTCGTTCCGTTCGTTACTCCTCTGGGATTGGGAGGAATTCATGTGCCCTCCGTGCTCTCCTCTGCGTCGCTTAGCGCGGTGTGGTGCTGACTCAAGACTGCGGTCCAGTTCGAATCCGGAACTTGTCGCGCAACTTATCGGCCAACCTGGCCCTACGACTCCTGTCATTCCTCTCCTCATGCTCAACATCAGTTGCGCCCGCTGGTGCGCCTTGATCTTGGTGTTGCGTGCGGTATTGTCGAAGGGCTTGGATGCGCTCCTCCGCTGAAGCATTTCTAAGTCTATTAAGGTCGAACAGCCGTGTCCTCCGCCCTTGCGTGGTAGAAGACCCATCGCTCTCGTGCCCATCCAACTCAAGGGGCGGCGGGAGCTCATCACTGCCATTCTCGGCACCACCCTGGGGGCGAAGATCGAGGCGGCTGGGAGTACATGTTAGTCTTGTGTTCAAACAGACTTCGGAGACGCCTCTAAATCATGACATGGTTTTCAGGACGGGGTGGACATCAGCGACTTACCACAAGGGGCATGTGCCCGATACGTTAACCAGCCAGGGATCAACGCAGTTGGGATGGAACTTATGATTGCAAGGCAATACGCGCACGTCTTCGCCAACAGTGAAGTCTTCCGTGCAGATAGAGCAGCCGAGATTCTCATCCTCCTGCTCGCTAGATTCATGATTACCGGAGCCGGCCGTGTTGGTAGCATTCGCAGCAGAGGCAGCGACAGCACCAGCAGTAGCACCAGCTACGGTGCCAGTTGCGATCGCTGGCCCATTATCTACCGTCGTCGCCGTCGTCGTCTCGGCGTTCTTGGCGTTGACTGGGGCAGGATCCAGTTGCCTATCCTCGCTCCGGCTCTCGACGCTTCTGCCGGTCGTGGGAAAGTTTGTAGCGCTCTCCAATTCCATATTGGGATCCGGCTTCGCCTCTTGCCGTTCACCAAACTTGACAATGGGCAGGGTGTCTAGGACAGCACGGGCGAGGCCCTTGGCACGACTCTGGCGAGGACGGCCGTTGTAACCGTTCCTCGGGCCATATCTCTCCGGGTATCGGTGTGCTCGTACGGCGCCCGTGGCAATGATGATCAAGAAGAGCAGCGTGATGAGACCCGTAATGCTATACAGAATGCTCATGGCGACGGCCGAATTGTTACCACTTCCGCCACTACCCCCATCGCCAGTGTTTGCTGTCGCATTTCCAGTGATGGTGACGGCAATCTGATCCGCCTCGTTCGTGCCGTTCAGGATGCGCAGGGCCTGCTGGGAGTCTCCCGCATCCGCCATCGTAAATATCGAATAATAGGGTAGGTCCGTGTCGGATGATAACATGCACCAATTTCCGACGGTGCTGTACAACACGACTGCTTTCGGTTTGTTTTCCATCAGGGTACCCAACATCATGTTCGGGTCAATAAAGCCGCTGCCGTTGGTAGTGTCGCAAGAGAGGTATGCGACATCGCCCCCGTTGATCGTGTTGTAGTTCGAAGAGGTAGCGGGGATCATGGTACCCTCGATCCGAATAGCCTACAACTAGTGTTAGCAAAGATGCGAATTTGCCCGGACGGATAAGCCAAGCCCGGCCAGCACGAGGATTGCAATCATACCCCGCGAACGATGTCGGTCTGATTGAGACCCAATCTCTCCGTAGACGGCATGACGATGAAGGTCAGTGGAACGGCTCCGCCGGCCGTCGACATGGACATTTGCATGGCCGACTTCTCGCTCCACCACGGGATTTCGTTCTCGGGGGCGATTGTTACGGCCTGGGCCATGGCGACGGCAGCGGCGCACGCCAGGGTCCGTAGTAGCATCATCGCCATCTTGCCGGTTCCTTCTTCTCACGTTCGCACGACGGTCGACGTCGCTGCCTGCAGAACGGAGGGAAAAGATGAGAATTTCGGATGAAGAGAGGAGGGGCAAAGTAGGAGGAAATGCCGGCGACAGAGGTCGGAAGGGCGAATGCAACAACTATGTGGGTGACGGTAGTGGTGACAAAGCGCGAGATGGCATGCAGTGCGATGCGGTCGAATGCAGGACAGGTCGGAGTGGTCGGAGTGGTCGGGCTCGCTCGCTGGCAGGCCGTTGTTGGAAAAAGAGGGGGATTTGCGTGTCACATCTCCTCGGAACCGTGAATATCAGATGGACACCTCCCTTCCCAAGATTTGCTCGTCGGGCGCCCCAGCGGAAGGCGGTCGTGGGAAAATGAGCCTTTCTGGATGTGAGAACTGCGATTGTGCGGGTTGCGTCCTTGTCGTGATGTCTTGTATGGTGGTTTCGCCGTGGGATGCGGATGGGAGGATGGGACAATCGTTGTTGTCGGCAGCGGCGGTGGTGGCGGGTTGAAGGTGTGGTTGAAGGAGGAGAGGGACGAGACAAAAGCGACCGGATGGGATGGGAACGGCAGTGGCGGGTCACTCAGAGGCACGGTAAGTGAGCCGGCGGTTCAGAAGTCGGTACTTTGCCGCTTGGTGGTGGGAGACACAGCGAGGAAAGTACCCGTGGCCCCCCTCGAAAGTGGAGGATTCGCGAGCGCCAAGACGAATGTGGATCGATGAACAGCGGAGGTTGGTCTCAGTTGCGGCAACACAGGCCAGCCCGGGCCCCGGGGTTGGTCAGCTGTAGCAGAACTGGGACAGGATAAGGTGCCCTTCTTTGCCGATGCCGGGATGTGGTTGCAATCAAGTCACCGATAAGGCAGGCAGCCGATTTCTCCGTCTGACAATGGATGCATGGGGAAACGAGGAGGAAGAAATTACGACGACAGTGGTCAGAGCCGCAATTGAGGCACAGCACGTAGGGCCACAGGGCGCACATCCGCAAGACACGGCAACAAGCAGGCGCTATATTATATGCATGCAAGATGCGCATCGTACAGTCTCCTTCTACTTTACATTGGTGCACGAGAACAATAATACACTTTGACGACAGCAGCGCAAAAGCCAACAAGACCTGAGATGAACTTGATCCGATTCCTCGCCGTCCGCGGCAACGCGAAGTTAAAGGGTCCCCACCAGGCCCCCCCAAAAGGCCAACCATTTACCTAGTCATGGCCATCTTGTCGCCTTGGCCCGGATGCGCCCAAGTTTCTGCTCACGGCAAGTATCAAACGAGGTGCACCTGCCGCTGCAGAGTAATGGGAGCCCATGTACCTGCACGCCTAAAACCGGGCGAGGAGATACCTACCTACCCTACCTGACGGGTCCTGACACTCCTCAGGTCCAGACTTCTAGTTTTTCGACACACTTGCCCGGTGTTTTGACTTTCTTAACCTTTTCTTCTTTAGACTATCAGGCTTTACACTAGATATTTTGCTAGGTAGGCGAGGCTCGCTTGTTCAACTATGCCACTTTTATCTTTCTTCTTTTCTTCTCTTCGCGACAAGCTGACGAGGCCGGATTGAACCATTCAAGTCGCTTGCTATTGTGAGCTTGCCATTGTGATGTTGGGAGCAAACAAACCGAGTTGTGCTGACGAGAGGAGAGTCGTTGAACATCTCCCGTGTAGGACCCGGCAACGCGTTCCCGAATTGGCGTGTTTCCACTGGACCAGGCCGCTTCCCTCAACCAAAAGACACGGCCAAGCCTGGACGTTTTGCTGGGCATTGGACACAACACGGCGGCAGCAGTGTGTCTGACGCCCTTCAGTTCGGCCGTTCATAGAGAGCATTTCAACCAACCAAGACAGAAGCCACGATGGTACTGCGTCAAACAGCCATCCACTAGTGACCTGTCTCCAACTCTGACTCGGCCAACGTCCATCCGTCTCCGAGACAGCTCTTGTCGGTCTGACAGCGAAAAAAAGAAAAAAAAAAGGATGGGAAGAACCGCTGCACGAACCACGGCGACTGTCACGACTGCATTGCATTGCAGCTTGTTGCGTAAGCCCATTCACCGCTTCACAACAATAACAACGTGAACTGCGACGACTACGGTAATCCAACACAGCTGCAAAACCAGACCCATGCCGCCGGGGCCCCAGCCTGCTCTCGGCTCCCTAATGCGAGACGTGTCGGAAGAGACCCCACCCCCAGAAAGAGCCTCAGCTTTTCGCTACAGTACACACGGAGGTAACCGGACACCTCGACACGAATCGTGGCGGGAACTGGCAGACCGGGGCCTTTGCTTGAAGAAGAGCCGCTTCACGCTGTGGCAGTGTCCCCCTCTTGGAACAAACGGGGAGACAGACACGTTCATGAGCAGGAGAAGATTGCGAATAAAAAAAGATGGGAAGGAGAAGGAAGGAAAGATGGACCGAGACAACGCGCCCCAAGTTACTTTCTGAGTGGCCATGCACAGATCGCCAACACATCTGATGCGACCGTAAGACCCGGTCTTGGCGGCGCTTCGAGACCGCCCTGTGACGCCTGACAGAGAGTGAGCTTCAAGCAACCTGTTCGCACGAAAACCTTTCGCCCTTTTAGCCTTACGGATAACCCGGGCGGAAAAGAGGTTGACCAAGGGCACCACATCCCGTCTCCCCCAGAACCCGTACACACTGGACTCCTTTGGTCATCGGGATCCCTGCCTCCCGAACCCGACCGTCCCGCCCTTGTCAAAACTCCGGCTGGCCTCCCCTCTCTCCCCTCCCCTTTCGTCCAGAAAGAGGCGCAACGGTTTCGGCACAAGCCACCCGCACCCCCACAAGATGAGGAAAACCTCCGACCACGCTGAGACGGCGAACCCCGTTTGAGCGCAACTCAAACCGATAAAGCTCAATGCTATGTCGTCCATCCCGACCCGTTCTTGCCTCTCACGCGAATCGCCCATCGCGGCAGTAAGTCTGTTCCCGCCTCCCCGACAAGGCTCGCATCGCTCTGCTCTATTTCCAACTGCCTCGTCCCAGGCCAGCCCAATCATGCCAGGCACCTAAACTAACAAACCCAGCCGCGCGACTTTGTCCTTCGTCAAATCTAGACACGCTCGCATCACGCCGCTATTCACAAATGGCCTCAATTGCGGCATCAACCCTGCCCACCTATCACAGCAGGTTCCTAACGAGAAATCCCAAGACGGGTCGGCCTGGTGGATCATGGGCCTTCTCACAATTTGCGGACCGCCTCTCGGTAGTCCGGCACTCGTCTTCAAGGTCCAACCATACTCAGCACTTGTCCCACGAACTCCTTTACATCTGACAACTGTCACCGCGAAGCCCAAAACGGGACCCGGTCCGTCAGACCCAGGAGAGAGGAAGAGCGGAGGCCTCGGTACGGCCACTGGATCCAATTCTCCTGTCGCTCGTCTTGTCAGGTGACACTGTCCTTCCGGTCGGCTCGGACGCACACCCGCAACGCGGCTCTCATTTTGACTTCCGCATAAGTAACCCGCAGACGTCGTCTTCGCCTTTTCCTTCCCCCCTTCTCCTCCTCCCACGTGGTTGTTCGTCCTCTGCTACATGCTCTCGCTGAACCTTCATTGCCGTGCGAGAGTTTATCGCTGTTCGGGACAATGCTTCGGGCACCTCCTTGTGGACGAAAACGTTCACAATTGCCTTTGCGCGCATCTTGTTTCGTCAGCCTAGCCGAGCCAAAAAAGTCAATGAGTCTACGGGCGCCTGGTGGTGTACTACTGAACTGCCCTCCGGATTTGTTTGTATGATCAGCAGAAAAACTTCCGGTGTCTTGCGGCCGCAAAAGGCTTATCCTCCCGCACAGAGTGTGGCTTGCCTTCCTCGCCGCTACCTCGTCAAAAGGGGGGGGGACACATTGTAGATATTGGGAAGGCCGATCCTCCGAGACTGAGACGGAAGTCGCCGGTGAGTCAGTCTTTCCCAAACACCTTTGTCAGGGCCGACCTCGGCGTTCGGCCTCCTATACCGGGTTGGTCCTCGTTGGAACCTCGCGAAATTGCTCGCAGGACGACGACAAACCCTCCTCGTCCGTCCGGATGCCCGGTCAGTGACCGCCCATGCCGTCCGGCACATACCTTCAACGTCAAACTTCAAGCTCCCTTCGTCATTTCCATAGACGAACTCTGGATAACTCCGTGTAGGGATGTGCGATTCCTTTTGATCCCAACTTTCCCACACAACCCACGACGCTGCATTGCATGCATTGATCCCGCGCCCGTCTCTGACTTGCCTATTCACTCGTTCTTCCAACCAGCCTGACGAACTCCATGCCAATGCAAACATTGTTCGCAGTTCGCCCCGCCCACCCATTCGGCTGCGTCGGAACTCTCCTCAGTGCTTTTTGCTTGGTGATCGACCCCCGTGCAGTCTCAGGTGCCAAACTCGTCTCCCTGTTATGCGTGCGAGAGAAAACACCATCTGCGCCATCTCCCGACCCCAAGCCTCCCCCCTGAAGAACTCTCTCTTCTACACGGTCAGCTTGGTCCGTAGCCGCACGTTGGGCTTCTGAGACCGGACTGATTCACCAAGCCCTTCAGGTTTGGCGTTGAGGCTGTCATATAGGAATAAGCCGCGAAGCCACAAAGAGCCGTGTCTTGAACGCTGTGCGATGTGAGGACGGGATACGTGGGGAACGGAGAATAAGTAGTGTATGTGAAAGGTTGTTGCCTGTCGAGCTGCGAGCCACACTCATGCCTTGCGTGAAATCAGGCCATATGATTGCAGTTCCGGCTCAAACACTGCTCGTGCTCGAGCAGTCTGCTCATCCCTGGACCCATGATTGCTGACCAGCATCCAGGATGCCGAAGCTTCCCCAGATCAACCCACGCCCTACCCGCTCTCCACATACCTGAGCCTTAAGGCCACCGCCAGCACCAAAAGGCCGACGGACGGCTGGGTAGGATTCCCGCCAGAAAACCTCCCCTTCTCCAGAGTCGGCAAGTCTCGGTGTTCCCTGGACGACATTGGTCATGAGCCTGCCCTCGTTCATGCCAATTCCTGCGCGTAAGCTTTTTGAGCTCTCGTTTCCTCCTACACCCCGCAAACTCTCCCTTTCTCGCCACGATCGGGTCACTTCTTGGGAACGGGCCCTGCGAGATGAGATCACTGACACAAAACGGTATTGCCCAATCTTTGTGGAAGAGGATTTTTTTGATTTTATATTTTTTCTGTTACGGGTTTGGTCGGGGATATCAATGCAGGCTTTGCGGGGCAGGTCCCAGGAATGCCCTTGATTCTCGAGGTTTCCATATGTGTTCCTTGACGGCCTGCAGCTTCAGAAAGTGCCCCCTTCTCTGTGACCGTTTTCTTGCATAGGGAACCCTTGGATGGGAGGGGGCATGGGGGATCTGCTACCCACCACTCATCCGACCCAAGTGTTTGTTAAACTCGGACCTAGACGGAGTTCGCCAATAACTTGGTTGGTTTCGGACGTCAGGACCAGTGAATGAGCATTGTGCGCAACGACCTGGCTCATGTAGCAGCCCAGTCACAGAACCAGACATCTTCATGCTGGCGAGCCCGGTGCAAAGGACTTTCCTGGTGAGTTATGACATTACAATTTCTTTTTTTGAATAGGAAATGATACTTCAGATATTATTTCTCAAAGGCAGGAAGCGAACCTGCCTGCGAAGGCGGGTTCATCTGAAGACGTGCCGAAAACAGGAGAAAGCAACGAGGTGTAGAGGGAGATAATGGACTTGGACACCGTCCGATATTGATGATACAGATCTGGTCTGGTCCTTGACAACACTGTCAAGCCGACGGTTTCGCACACAGGGCACAGTACTCGAAAGAGGAAAAAGCATCGAAGGTTCGTGTTACTGCGTCGACGCCCCATCCCCGAGTTTGCTGATAAATCCTGGTCAGTGAGCCTCCGTCGCAACAAGTTGGGATACTCCATCAACGGCTCGTCGAATTTTCAAGCTGAAGTTCGTCCGATTTGTGTGTTCGGACTTTGGGCGGGGGGGAACGTCGCGCAGGAGAATCGGGGTTCGTTGTCTACACCTAGCATCAACATGAACTCCAAGCGCGGCAACAGCGGCGCCGAGACGGCGCCCCTCTTTCCCACTAGATCTCTTCCATGTCTTCCAGGTCGTCCAGGACCGGCCAATCGCCAACCTCAACCCGCTCGGGCCTCACAAAGACTCCATGCTTCAACGCCGACTCTTCACCCCAGTACCGCGTTCCGGCGATGCTGCCGTCGTTCTTCCCAACGGGCTCGTCGAGGTGGACACCGACCCAAGGACCCAGGCCGCCAGGGATTTCCTTGACATCGCCAACGTACTTGACTGTCCCTCTTCGCGAATCCTCGCCACCGACACGGCATCGCTTGCCAACCTGGATGCCCTTTTGCTCGATTTCCTGCTGGAGAGCAGCAATCTTGGCCTGCTCATGGCTTGGCGCCTCGGGATCGAAGCGGCCGAGTTTCTGAGCCTTCTTCCAAGCTAGGACGGAGTCGCTCTTTTTGGCATACTCTTCCTCCGGCATGACATACTTCTCGACACCCGAGGTATCCGTGAAGTTCGGGCGGGCGCCCGCTGGCCGAGTGTCGGCCACCTTGACGGAATGATTGTCAGCCATGAGGGATTTGGGAGCAGACAAGAAATTGGACATTGTGTTGCCTGAAAAGCCACCATCTGGCTACGACGCACACAATGCAGAGAAACGGCCCCATTCCTGCCACTTAACACTGGGTGGGCACAAGATATGCCCGTTTCATCGGTTGAAAACATCATCTCGGTCAGGGAAGGGACGCCATCGGGCCGCCTTGGGCAGGCTGTGTGGACAATATGGAAGGGAAATGGTACTACTTACATGCAGCTCGGCGTAGGGCGCCAAGGGAAAAGCTGTCAAGCGTGCGTTATCTTCGTCGGATGCTTCAATCGGAACACTCCCCGAAGCCGTCTTGAGGCTGATTCTCTGGGACGAGGGCGGGATGCCAGTGATAGGCTCCAGCTTGGTCCTCAGCTGGCTGATGGTCCATGATGGAGTGATGCGGCGCTCTGACGCAGAGTTGTCGGAAATGACCTGCAGAGGGATGTCGGCCATGATGGGCGAGTTGAGGCTATGTCCTGGAACCGATTGGAAAGATGTTTGGGCTAGTCTGAGGGGACCACGTGGGGCCTCGCGGAGGTTGTTGAGTTTCTGGTTCCGGGGAAGAGGGGACCGGAATTTTCGTCGAAAGAGGTTGCCGAAAGGATGACGACGGCAGGGTTCAGGAACCAAACGATTTAGGTGTCAACCGGGCAATATCCTGTTGGCCGAGGAGAATGCTACGCAGTAGGGCTGGAAAGACCCGTTGGATGCAAGTCAGATGCACAACCCAGGAGGTTTGGGTTATTGGGCTGTTCTGCCGTTGTCACGTACCTTGCTGCGTGGGTGGTGCAGAGCAGACTAGTGCGTGGGTTAAGATGTCCGGTGACGTTAAGCGATATCGCGTATTCTGAGATGCGTGGTCCTAGTTTAGGGATCAGGCTCCAAGAATCGAGGTTGCGGTATCGAGAGAAGTTGCCTCACGTCGTCGTTGTCGTGTACCTAAGGGTGTGTGCGGTGTGGGTTGAAATTCCGTCGACAATGTGAACAAACGTGGAGGCGGCGGTTCAAGCCTCACTCACTACGGGCACCCAGAAAGTGGGTAACGGAGGGGGCGTGTATATAGTGCTCCATGGCATTGGTGCAGGCGTCGGCTCATCCTCCACTCCAGACCCCACCCGCCAGCTCAGGCTCACCTCTCCAGCCACAGCCGGTACGTACCTCCGTACATCCGGTCACCCTCCGTACTCCCGTAGTTCGTACCTTCAGCCCCCAATCGAACCAAGCGAAAGGGAAGGATCATCTGTACCTTGCGAATGTGCCCTTCCTTGCCCGCGATGACTTGTCAACCCATCCACTTCATCCTCCGGCTCTCCCTCCTCACGCACCCTCTCCTCTTCACCCGATGTATGCTCCCAACTGCTCACCGCCACATGAGGATCCGGCGAGGCGGAGGGCGAAACAGGATTCGAGGTCACGCAAAACGCATCGTCAGCCATGGATGGTCAGGCATTCCCAGGCACGCCCAACGGGCATGGCAGTCCAACACTACTAGCATGGTGGCGGCAGTCCGAACCCAATCTCACGGGGTGAACCACGAGACGACGAGATCGAGATGTGTCCGTCCGGGTCTCTCTAGTCACGGCCAAACCCTGCCGCGCAAAATAAGGATCTTGCTTTATGACATTGTCGCACAAAGTCAGGCGCAGCCGTCCGAGGCCGCTTCAGACAAGTTTAACCTTCGGCTGGTGGGAACAATGCCATTGATCGTGATTGGCGAGTCCCCGTTTGCACTCCTCAATTACGGGAACCGTTTGGTCGGGAAGCACAGCATGACAACAGCGGCATCGATGCAGTCAAACGCCAGATTTCGCGCATGCAAACCTCCGTCTCGTCCACTCCGCTCCGGTCTGACCCACGGCCCAATTCTGCCCGCCTGGTCATCTATCAGAACACCACATCAGCCAGCATCGCGCAACAAACGAGTTTGACGCACGCTACACGCTACTGCTGGGAAAGCCAAGTGGTGGCGTCTATGGTCGGACAGAGGCATACCGTAAATATTGCGATACAACGGACAGTCCATCCCTCTCGATCCTTCCATTGTGGGTGTGCAGCTGGCCGACGCCGATACGACAGTAGCGAGACCGAGGGCGCATATTCGCCCATTCATGATTGGGAGTCTCCGAGGTACATTGCTCCAGGCGCAAGGCCACCAGCACCACGAGGATCTGGCAATTGAAAGGGCGGACAACGCAAACGGATGGGATGAAACGTCCATCATCATGTTCGTTGCAGAACCACGATAACCCACCCACACCTGCGTGCGCGCACATACACACCTCCATCTCACGCTCCTATGTGGCTGGCTGCGGCAGGCATGGGACAGTCGCTCGCGCACCCGTCGATAGACCATGACAAGCACCCTGTTCGCCTTTTGACTCGGGATGGACAAGTCCATTGGCGTGAAGCGCTTTCTTTTCTGGAACAATCTTTACCCTTTATGATGAAGGCAAGAGTCGCTTTTACTGTCCATGCATCGCCGTCACCAACCAGTTTTTGCGTCCAAACTAGACAAACCCCCACTAAATCACCAGTATCACATCTCTGGGCGGGTGTTGGAGCGAGAAAACACCCGAAAGACAGGTTCGGGTTGCTAATCGCTAGTCAACAGCTCCCAAGAGCTGAGGTACAAGCGACATTGCATTGCTGGCTCTGGGACATTGTTTAGACGTCAACGACAAACTACCTCCACTGCGCGTCAGATCTATCCTTTCTACCCGATCCGCCAGTGGATTGCCGCTATGCCCAAGAAAGATCCGGTTCTGCAATGCTGGCTGCCGTTCACCGCCACGTTGGGTTTTCTTTGTGTCACCGATAATCGGGTTGTTCTGTTCGAATGGTAGGAACCCGAACGCTCTCGCCCTTTCGACGCGGGAGGAAGCACTAGCGCTAGAGGACGAAGGGCAAGGCGAAGAAATACCGTTCTAGTCCAGCCAAACCCAATGAAGACAACCACCAGACGACGACAAGGGCGGAAGGAGTGCATGTATCATACGAGCAGCTTTTCTGCCCCGAGATTGCCCAAGCTTCACCACACGCTGACCAACCTAAAAACTGGCGATGTACGGAGTGCTACCCGCCCATCTTTTTTTTTGGGCAAGCCCTGGGATCCATCCGTCCCTCTGAGCAGATCGCTTCATGACGTCGGCGTCAGTCATGGCGCGGGAACAAGTGGTGAGGCAGCTCCGGGACAGGGGTTGGGGTTTGGACAGGTGCATAGCCAGCACAGCGTATTTGGGCTATAACACGGCCAGTTAAGGCGGTCGGAAGGCCTACCGACAAGGAAAACGGAAGCCCTCTCGCCCGTCGTTACCCTTGCCTTGTTTCCAATCTATTGCCGGGCTACTATCGTGGGGCACGATGTCGCCATACTACGTTCTCTCAACGGTGACTCGCCACTGATGTTGGTAATGATACGAGGAAGCGCAAGGCTGGGCTCCCCTGAGACGACCTGTCACCGAAGCAGGCAACGCAAGGCCGCGATCCAAAGTCAGCAAATGAATGGAAATTTCCCTAGGGGCGCGGCGAGGGAAATTTGCAACACCAAACCCAATGAAAGCATTCCTTTTGAACGTCAGCCCCAGGATAGAATGCAACCCCAGTCAAGCGGCCCCTGGTGGGTTGGCAGGCGGCTGCTAATCACATCGAGAGGCATTTGATAGGCTCTCGGTCCATAGGAGACCATCGGCGTCGGAGTCGACGTACAGGTGCTCCAGCTCACTTGACCTGCTTGGCTGTGGTGGAAGAGAAAGAACGGCGGTTGTGCTACGTTGCAGCGGTCCTGGTGGCCAGCAGATGATGACTAGGATTCCAGCCGTCGCGAACCAGGGCAGATTGAACAAAGATGAGAATGGGATTGTGAAGATGAGATTTGGTTGGATCTGATCCGCAACGAAGGCGGGTTCGATCCATTGATGTGGAAGCAAACGCTACAAGAGACGATGACATGAACACACACGTACACAGACACAAAGCCGGTTCGACCGGGCGTTGGGCCATTCGCATCTAGGCCATCTTTCGGCCGCGTCTCGGCGGAGGGCTGATTCCAGGATTCGACTCTTCTAGGCTCCGCATGCGTAGTATAGAGCCCCGGACCATGATTGATGAGTAGCTGGTAGAGCCACCCCGTCCTGCCCCAGCCGCCAGCCGCCAGCCGCATGTATGTCATCTACCGAACGAAACGCAAGGGCCGAAGCGGCGGGCAGGAGAATCTAGGGTCGCTGGAAGTTCCAAGTCACCCTACTATCGACGCAACAAGCGACTATTGCCAGGGCTCTTGACGATGTCGTTGAGGGAGGGCGAAGTACTGTACCTCGTCCTAGATAAGGACGTGGAAAAGCCAATGCCACATCTAAGCGGCGGTGAGGTGTCCTAGTCACCACGTTGGCCTCCAAGCGGCTCGCCTTGGGCATGGGTAAGCTGTAAGTGGTGTTGGAAGACGGCATCACTAGACCGCTACAGAACAGCAGTTTTATTTTATTAATTCACGTCCGCTCAAAATACTGCCAGCTGACCGACACGTCTTCACCCTCGTTGCCCACGCTGTTCGGCAGTTTGGGTACCGGCAGTCATTTTAGCACAAGCCTAGTTGCTAGCTAGGCTAGCTAATGTGGTAGCGCCAGGGTGGTTTTGTCCGGCTGTGACCTCCCGAGAAGTTCTAACCAGGCCAGCTAGGTAGGTAGGTTCCTTGCGGTGCAATGCTGCCCTCCCGTGGCTTACTAACCCCATGTATCTAGAGCAAGGCAGGATGCTAGGTAGTTTAGTCTGGTACGGTATCTTTGGAAGATGACACGCATCGTCGTGGACGGGAATCATCAGGTGGTTTGTCGGGCCTCGTACTCTATAATTGCTGCTGACCAGTTGGCGTACTCATTGCACGGCCCTCTTCTCGACCCCCCTCCATCATTTTCCGTTCTCAGCCTAACAGTCAACCCTTAGGGGGGGAAGGTTGCAAAGAAAAGGCCCTAGCACTATCGCCTTACCAGGTCGCCGTCAGCAATGGAACGTCCGCAAGAAGCAAGGAACCAGTGTCCAAGGGATGCGAAAGACGAGAAAGGGTATCTGAGAGGCGTAGACTGATGTTCTGGTGCCTGCAGAAATGGAGATATCAGTCTTCCGGCGCGGTACGTACCCAGACGGCTTATTGAGTAAGTACAAATCGGGCAACACACACAACATACACACACACACACACTCTCTCTCTCTCTCTCTCTCTCTCTCTCTCTCTCTCTCTCTCTCTCTCTCTCTCTCTCTCTCTCTCTCTCTCTCCCTCTCTCTCTCCTTCTCTCCTTCTCTCCCGGTCGTTCATGCTCACACGCAGGAAGAGCTATCTGTAGTTCGGAGATTGAGCGGAGCGGCGCGTAAGAAAAGAAACGTTCAATAAACCTTTTTCTCCCTCTTGGGAAAGATGGTACCTAGCGGAGGGAGGCAGGCGGCAGGATCATCATCGATTGACATCATACAGCATCCTCTTCTTTTCTCCCCAGAACAACAGTCCCTCGTCCCTCAACCACACGCGCACCTACGCACACACACAGACACACACACACATATACGCACGCACGCACGCACGCACGCACATAATGCCCAATGCTGGATGCCGTTCCGATTTGCTCCACGTTTTCTTTTGCCATTAATCTGCGTACAATCATGCCGTCTGTTCCCGTACACGCCAAACCCCCCCCCCCCCGAGTTGAATCTAAATTTGCTTCTTTTCTTTTGCTCCTGGCCATTAGTCACTCCCTTATGTACAGTACAGCCCTGTCGTCATGTCAGGCACTGATGCCGTGGAAGCCGGCCCGGTCCAAGACCCTGGGAGACAACAGACCATAGACAAACAGCAAACAGCCCAAACCCAAGCCATTTATGGCTCAGACAATGGACGAACGGCGGCGGCGGCGGCGACGACGACGATGTGGCCGCCTTATCGACACCGTGGGTGGGTCAGCCAGTGGGTGGTGATTACAACATGGATGGCGCCGGTGCAGCCAGAAGGGAGCCCCCAAAAGAACAACCACGAAATGGGATCCAGTGATGCCAACGGTCAGAAAGGGCTGCCGGAACGCCGCTAGCCAGCAAAGCAGCGAGCAAGCATGCCCCAAGTTTGCATGGCGATCATGGTTCATGGCAACTTGATGCAGCCAAACCCCAAAGCTCACACCTGGGCACGCTGGGCTGCCCACCGCACTGCAAACGGTACTGCCCTGGTCCTGGGAGACTTTGCTGGACGGACGCTGCAAGCTACGCCGCGCTGTGCGGTGCTGCATATCTGACCGCCAGTTCATCATCAGACCAAGGGCCAAGCCGAGAGCACCATTAGCATCAGCGAGGCAAGACCAGGCGAGGCAAGGCGAGGCAAGAACCGGTGAACAAGACGACGGCAAGGGGGACAACCACAACACGGCAACACGAGACAAGACAGACTCTGTCAGGGGCTGCTCCTGGCTCCGAGGTCATGGACATGGTCATGGGAAATGCTGGACGGGCATGAAATGCATTGATCAATTGTTTCTCAAGTCAACCTAGCACCCAGCCCGTCTCTGCGACTACCTGGTCAACCGCCCTCGACGACTCGTTCGGCAGTGGCGCATGGTCGCTGTTGTCGTTGGCTATCCGGCCTCGTCGAGACAAGCCTCATCTTACGCCCATTGTGTCAACCGCACAGACGTCAGGTCTCAATGCAACTGTTCTTCGCCTTCTGTTCTCCCGCTGCCATTGCCGCTGCCACATGCAGAGCACAGCACTGCGCTACTCGGCCGGCTCATGTTCCTTTTTCCTTTCTTTCCAGACTGCTCAGCTCAGCAAGCCAAATCGCACCGTCGACTTGTCATTGGCACTAGCACTAGCCGCGGAAGGGAGCCGCGCAAGACATGACGAGACACACATGCAGCCTGGTTGCTTGATCTAGCAGACCCATTGAACCCGTTAGGATCGGCGAACAGCATAAGCACAATCCAGCAAACTGCCAGAAGAGACGCACAGGCAGTGGTGGAGGGCCCCCCTTAAACCAGAGCGGAGAAGAGCAAAAATACAGCAAAGCATGGCACAACTGAGAGAGGGCAGTTCCTCCAAATGTGCCCGGCCAAGCATCGGAATCCTCGTTCGTGGTCCCCCCCTCTCTCTCAACTTGGGTTCTTCCGCCGCTCTTCCAGTCTCCCAATCTCCAGGCGTTTCTAAACTTCTCGCCTTCTCGGTGCTTGACTATGCACGCCGTCATACTTTCACGTTTGACTTCTACGGGCGCGTGCCGGAATCAGGATGCCAGCCAACCACGGCATCACGAGTACGAAGCTACCCGCCGCCTCCGGACTCGCGAGAAGCGACACCCATCAGGTGTAAGCCCATCTACAACCACGCAGCCTGTCGACATGCGCAGGTGCAAAGTTCGCTCTCGACTCTTCACTGCATCAGCAACCGCAGGTTTCAGACATGGGCTCCACAGCATCCGTATGCGGTTTCGTGACAAACTGTTGCCCACCACATTCCGCCCCTCCCCACGCTTGTCTTGCCCTAAGCACGCGCTCACTCTCTGTCGGGGACCCTAGGATTATGGGCCATGCACACTCGACGACCTCTCAAATTTCCTGCCCTCCCGAAATGGAATCCTACCAGCCTCCATTCGAACCGGTGCCCTGCGAGCGAAGGAGCTGTGACCATGTGTGGTCATCATACACGGACACGAACCTATCCTTAATATTCAACAGCGTGTCTTCTCTTCATCAGATGCCGTCTGTCGGGAAAACTGCCATCCAGCTCGCTTTCCACATTCACTCGGCTTTGACACCGCATTGAAGCCGCTGAGCCAGGCGTACCACGGGTCGTCGACAGTCTGCTTGAACCAGGGAAGCGATGCATGAATTCGTGGCCATGCCGTGTTAGCACCCAGCCCCGGTAGCGGCCTCTCGACGCCGCACTCGAATTTTGATGATTGTGCCTTCTTCCCCTTTCTCCTCTCTTTGGCGTTCTTATGTATGTCCAGGACCCCTCTTGACCGGAACTGCAGCCTAGGGTGTCGACATACGGGAGAACACCAGCCCCAGGCCAGACGCTAGACTGGGCAGCATGTTGAGGGGTGGGGGGGGGGTGTATATGGAAAAAGGAAGCATGGCAGCTACCTGGTGTCTGTGTGCGCTGCGGGGAGGGGGGGCGTGTGTCTTTCAAACATGTGCTCAACTCGCCCATCCATGTCGGTTCCCAAACTATGCCTGGGTAAAGCAGTCCTTCATGAGCCTTATTCGACCACCACCACCGCATCGCATTCTTCAATGAGGGCAGGGCAACAGACGGACTGTCCCAGGCAAGGCAAGGGACGGGCGGCACCAACGAGATCCCATCATCTGCCACTGGTCATCCCCTCCCTATATGCGAGCTTGACATATATGCTCTGCCCTATTACTACGTTCACTGCTGCCCACGCTGGTGCTGTTCTGCCCGAGAAAGAAAAAAAAGCCAACTAACCTATGCCCTTGCCAAACACACAGCACACACACACACACATACACAGGCTCCCCCATCCACACCACCTCGCTCTTCGCACACATGCACTCTTCCCATCCGTACTCGAACCGTCTTCTCGTCGTCTCTTACTTCTCCACTGCCGCGGTGGCTCTCTCTTACTGCTGCTGGGCTCGTCACTACCGTGCTGGGTCTGGAATTCTTCTCGCACGCCCATGACACGCCCCTCCCTGGCTCCAACCCAAGTCTTCCTCTTGTTTCTTATTCGATGACTTTCCTCTCGTCAGTTTAAGAGTCCTTTGGGCCTGGCTGTCACTTTGTTAATCAGACCCCGGTTTCCGTCCCCCACCTCCTCCTCCACCTCTTCAACCCATCACCGTCCCTCCAACTACGACTTTCTTTGGTCCATTTTAATTCTTTTCTCTTCCATTCACAAACTGCATCACCGCAAGTTCCCGACGTGGACCGGCCTGTACCTTGTTTTGTTGGCCTCTACCGACTTTCCGTAGGAGAACGATGACTCTGGCTAAGCTTCGCTTTCTAATGAAGACTTCTAGCAGCCTGGTTTGACTGACGTATACTTCCGCCGCCGCCGCCGTCCTTTCTGTCCGCCCGCACGCCTGCCTGCTTCAACACCGAGCAAGCTCAATTCCCCATCATTGGTCGCCGGCCTCTCGGATTGGCCCAATCATGTTGATGACTTCCTTCAAAACCACAGCTACGCCGCCATCTTGATCTACACTCGGATCCTCTTTTCCTTTTTCAGGACTTCCCCCTTTCCCTACTCCCAGGATTATACGAAACGGAGCCTCTAGCCAACCTGCCAACCTCAAGATCAACATCGCCCATTGCTCAGGGAGGCAGATTCACGAGAAATTCGTTACCCTCGCTACCTTCAGCGGCGAACCCATTTTCATTAACCACCCGTCGTCGTCTTTGTCGTCATTAACCCGTGGTTCTGTCCTGATCCACACGCCGTACTCCCTGCGAGCCGACTACCTGGGACTCTGCTTGCAAAGCACAAGTAAAGTCTCGACGAGCATCGAGCAACTGTCCCAGTCGCGAATTTCGGGACACCTAACCGATCATCAACCACCCGTCTCTTTTTACAACTGCCCATCTTGGGTGGTGTCACGCAAACCGAAAAGCTGGCGCGCGTCTATCGCGCCCATGACACAAGACCGTATCCAAACTACCTAGGCGGCAAAACCGTCACCGTGGATATCGCGTCCCTCTTGAAAGCTCCCGACTCAGATGAGTCCTCCACCGCTCCGCCTCAGCATACCCGATCTTCGTCAGACCCCTCCACGACCGCAACCACGGCGGCCACGGCGCCTGTTAGCGGGCTACCTCCGTATGGCCCGCCACCCGTAGCACCGGGCCTGGCTGCTGGCGGCAAACGTGCTATGCCGCCGCACGTAGCGGAGTCTCCGGCCAAGAAGCAGAGCAAGTGGTCGCCGGAGGAAGATGCCTTGATCATCGAACTTCGGGGGAGCGGAATGAAGTGGGAAGACATTTCGAAACGTCTTCCGGGACGAAGCGCCATCAGTTGTCGACTTCATTACCAGAACTACCTCGAGAGGCGGAGCGAGTGGGACGAGGAGCGCAAAAACAAGCTTGCACGGCTGTACGAGAGGTACGATCTTGACGCAGCAATGTCGAGAACAACTGCGACCCCCGTGCCCCCATCGTCGGGAAGAAGAACAAGGACTAACGCGTGAGCCAGATTCAAGCCGGAGATGTGGGCAAAGGTGGCGGAAGAGATGGCCGTTCCTTGGCGAGCCGCCGAGGCCATGCACTGGCAACTTGGCGAGGCTGACATGGCTCGACGGGCCGGTGTCGTGCCATTTTCCTTGACGGCCGTCAACGTCGACCAACCGGGAGCCGGTCACCGGCACTCGCCTTCCCGTGGCCACATGCACTCTCAGTCGCAGGGCAGTTTACCTCGAGACATCGGCGGACCTTCCCCACGATACGGCCGACCACCACCACCACCACCACCAGGCATATCGCCGATCCCCGGCGGGCGAGCCATCGCTGCCCGCCGCGAAAGCGTTCCAGGGAGACCACAGATGGGGCCAGATCCGAACGAAATGGCGGGCATGGGACAAGGCGGCCCCGGGCTAGCACCGATCCAAGGACTCCCGCCGGGCCGGGGCTCCGGGATGCTCCCGGGGGTAGCCGAGCTGACGACGGGCGTGAGTCCATACAGCACCCCGGCGTACGCGCTGGGAGGCATGCCCACGGCGAGCCCTGTGCCTAGTGCCAGAGCGAGCCCGGGACCGTTGCTCCCGGCCCTCCACTACCCACCACCCCACGAGTCGGCTGGCGCCAAGCGACGAGCGAGTCCAGGCACGGAGATGATGGGCTCAAGGGAGACGAGCCGGCGACGGCACATGGACCCCCGGCAGGAGGAGATGGATCGACGGCGTGTGGCATGACTGTAGGGCAGAGTAGGGGCAAACGTGGAGGGCGGCACGGCGAACTCGGAGTTGGGAACAAAAATTCTTCGTGTGGAGGGGAACGCACGATGTGTGTCACGTTTTCCCCTTTTGAGTTTTCATGATAAGCATGGGAAACCTCTGGAGAATCCGGTTCTTTTCTTTTTCTTCGGACGTATGCCTGGGGGACACCACACGAAACGGGAGCACAGCATGTTGCATCGGGATCGGAGCAAGATTTTTGTCTCATTTATTTCCTTACCTTTTCATACTTACAACATCGTTACCACATGGGGGCTTCTTCTCCCGAGTTGGAAATGGCTCTCCTCCTCCTCCTCTTCCTCTTCCTTCCCTCCTCTTTTCTTCTTCGTGTCATTTTACTTTTTACCTGACATTCTTCTTTTTTCTGGATCCACGTTGTTTGTCATCCAGCGGCGGCGGCGGGGGTCATGTGTGTGTATGTGCGTGTGCGTGTGTGCGCGCGCACGAGAGGAGAGGGGGGAAAAACCAAAATTCTTATTGCTGTTGGGGGTTTTCACGGTACCCGGCAGGTGGGAGGGATAGCGGAGATAGGGGAGCACTTGGGAAATTCCACAAGTCGTGGCGCTTGGGATGGGCGGAAGGGGGAGGCATGGGAGTGCGGGGAAGAGGTTCGCGAATGTGTGTGTGTGTGTGTGTGAGTGTTTGTGTTTGTGTGTGTACGCGCGTGTGTGCGTGTATGTTGGCTTCATCTGTATGTATTGTTTCTTGAACAGGGCGATCCAAAGCGAGAGCGGGAAGGAGAAAGAAGCAAAGAGCAAACGGAAACATGTCACTTGACGAAGAGATGGGAAACGGTCATGATAGAATTTCAGGTCCCTAGAACACCTCCGCCCCCACCTCCCAATTTTTTTCGTTTTTTGGTTGGCTTTTCATGATTCAAACTCTTTTATCTGGGGGGCGCATGTGCAATCCTCCTCCTCCCTCTTTGCCTTTTTCCTGACATGGCGATATCGCTCGCTGGTCAGGAGTCGCGGCCAAAGACGGCCCACCAGTTGTCCCGCTCGTATCCGCTGTCGAGCACCCTGCCTCCCACGTCGACGACGTCCTCCTCGAGCTCCCCCTCGCGGTAGAGGTGGTAGTACCGCTGGAACGTCTCGTCCCGCGCCGGCCGGTCCTGCTGCTCCTTCTTGCCCTTGGTGACCCACGACACGAGCTGGTCCTGCGCCGCGCCGGCGTCCCACCCGCGCCGGCTGGTGCCCTGCTCCAGCGCCCAGACCATGACGAGGACCCGTCCGGTCCCCGGGCGCACGGCGTCGAGCAGCGCGGCGACGGCGGCCCGGCGGCGCTCGCGCGTCGACATGTGGTGGATGACGGCGATGGAGATGGCAAAGTCAAAGGCCGCGCCCCGGTACGGTAGGGCCAGGGAGTCGGCGACCAAGACCTGGTTCCTTGGGGCGCGGCTGGGTGGCGGCGCCGGCGCCGGCGCCGGCTGTGCTGCCTGCTGTGTCGCTTCCGCCGTCGTGGCGCCCTTCTTGGTCTTGTTCTTCTTCTTGGAGCCGCCGACGTCGGCATCAAAGTGCGGCGGCTGGTAGCTCCGCGCCAGCGAGACCAGGTTCGCGCTCCGGTCCGAGGCGATGATGTAGAGGGCCGGGTTGACGCCAATGTACTTGCCGTTGCCGCAGCCGGCGTCGAGGCCCACGGATCCGGGCGGGAGCGAGAGCAAGAAGGAGGCGACGAGCGGCCACGGCTTGTAGCGGGTGGACGAGAAGTGCGGGGCGATGGCCTCGTAGACGGTGTGGACGTGGCGGGACTCGTAGGCGTCCGCGTCTTCTGCTTCTTCTCCTTGCCCCTCTGCTGCTGCTGGTTGCGGCTGATGGGGTGTTGCCTCTGTGGACGGTTGCTGTGCCGGCGACGTGCCCGTGGAAGCAACTGCCGACGACGGCGACGGAGGCGAACAGGGATCGGCGACGGGCACGGCCGGCTGGCCAGCGCCGGGTTGGGGGCCGGATGAGACGCTCATGGGGGAGGGGTTCTTGCGCCGATGGGCTGGATTAGTGACGTTGGGTTTCGGCACTCGCACTCGCACCGTAGCAGCAACAGCTGATTTCCCTTTTCGGAGCTGACCCCTTGTAGCTGACTGGGAGCTCCCCCTTGTTTTGTTCTCCTGAGGGAAATGGCTTGCCGCCGGCCAAGGGGGTGAGAAAAAAGGGGGTTTTCCTCGTGAGTGCGAGGCGGTCTGGCAAAAAAAAAATTAAAAAAAGGCCCCTGGTCTGCGGTCCCGTTAAGGTTGATTGTAGTGTGCGAGCGTTGAGACGTTGGAAAGAGTAGCGCGCGCCCGGCTCAAGCAAAAAAGAACACGCCTTTGTTGGTACGGTGGCCGTGCGTGTGCGTCTCCCCTTGACTGCTTCGCCTCGGGTTTGCCGGTAGATTACGACAGGTCACGCCCCCCTTTTTTCCATGCAAGGCAAGGAAGAAAAAAAAGTAGCTCTCGTAGGGCGGTGAAAGGAAGCGGGAAAGCTCGAGGGCCGTCGAGGTTCGTGCGTTGCAGATGCACTGCAGGACTTGGGAGCGGGCGGGCGGGCGGGCGGACAGGCGGTGGGTGTGGTTGCAGAGGGCACAAAAACGAAGAAAAAGACGTTGAAATTCAGAGAGAGCCACCGACGAAAAATGACGAAGGGGGAAATGTCTGAGCGTACGTGGGCGTGGGCGTGTGGCGCTCCCCCGCCAGTTTGCGCTGCCGGGGCTTGGCTTTTGGGGGTGGGAGTGTGTGTGGTGTGAGCCTCTAGGTAATAATAGTAGTAGGTGTGGTTGGGGAACATTACGGATCGGGCAAGTTGGGTGGTGGAGTGGGACCCGTTTCTGTTTGCGCGAGGTCGAGGGAACTCTGCGGTACGGTGCGGTGTGGTAGCGCTGACGGGCCTCGAACCGGCATGCGTTCCGGGGTTTGGGGGGCCTTGTCCGGCTCGGAGGTCTCCGAACCAAGTCCCGATCCCCTCGAACCCTTCACGCGGGTCACACAACAGTCGGGATAGCCCAGGACCTTTGCTGCTGTTCCGGTCTCCTTCGCCTCTGCTGGCCCTGCTGATGGGTTGTTTTGACTTCTTTTCCAATGGTTTCCCCGTCTCCTTGGTCAGTCCTTCTAGATGTCAGGACAACAGAAACGAGGGGGGAGAGGCGACAGGAGATTGGGATAAACTCGTGTCCAGCCGATTCTGTCAACCGCCCCCACCCCCTTCCCCTGCGAGACAATGGCACGATCACAGTTCGCGACGCTCAACCCCTGAATAATCCCCCCGTCGTTCGCCGCGCATTAACCATCGACGTAACATCTGAGTGGACGAACCGATGATGTTCGATCCGTGGGGTTTGCCTATGTTTATCCGTGTCTCGCTTTGTCTTCAAGGGCGCGGTATAGGAGGGGGAGAGGGGGGGGAGTGTACAGAGCATTTGGGCATTTGGGCGACCTGGGCCAGAGGGAGACAATGGGTGAGCAGACGCGTTCCTAGCAGGGGCGCAAGCTCGATTTGGAATTCCGAGGACTCGGTACGAACGGATGGAGATCATCCTTGGGTGCTCTCTTGCGTGATTGCCGTCAGGGATCCCCGAGTCCTTTATGCGGTTCCCACCATAGATTCACAAGCCCCCTCGTCCACCCCCATGTCTCCCTCACCGTGACCGGCCTGGCGTACAAGAACAAATAAATGAAATTGTTGGACGAATGGGGACGCCGAAAATAAGGAGTCGCGCATATGTTTGCCTCGTTTGGTGAACCGCGGGTCTTTGCATCCTGGAAACGCCTAAATACCACAGAGGTAATCAAACGGGTGCGGGGACGGCGACGAACCCGTCTTGCCCCTTTGCGGATGCCATTTGGCGATGTCAGATTCAGGTGAGCCACCCCCGTATGCTCGGTACCCTTAAATTTAATCTCCGATCGGCGGGAGAAACCGTCTGGGGGGGGGGGGGGGGGGGGGGGTGGTGTGGTGTGTGAGTGTGTGAGTGTGTGAGTGAGACTGTGTGTGTGTATGCCGCGAAGTTATGCTGCAGACACTTGTGCAAGTTTGCTCTCTGTACATATTTTTTTTCTGCATTCCGACACTCGGCCGGTCCGAGGCGGAGCGTCGGTTTCTTGGCCCCCCCAAAAAAGTCGAGCTTGTCTTCCGCGGCCACGGGCAGGATTGTGACCCGTGTGTGACATTGCTGTTGCTGTGTTTGGGAGGCATTGTGGTGCACGTCAGCCAGAGACGTGTTCGTTACCGCGTGGCACTTGACTTGGGTAAACCCCAAGAAAGTGCGTTTGGTAGGCAAGGTGCCTTGGGGAGGGGTGTGAGTAGAGCAAACGGCAACGAGGGGACGGACGGCTCTCCAGGTGTCAGCCACGAGCATCTGTGCTTGCACAAAGAAAAGGAGAGACATTGACGTGAGACGGTCGCGGACCGTAAATCGCTTAGTTCATTAGGCTCGTGGTTCACCGCCGTCCCGCCCCGATCCGCGGTCTCGGGACGGCGATCCCTGGGTCCCGAGAGTGGGTCCCCGCGCCGCACCGTCTATCTGCATCTACGGCCGGGTCACTTGTATGCATTTCCTTTCCTCCCAAAACGTTTCTCCCGACAACTCTTCACCTGGGCTTCCCGACTCAAGCATTCCCCAGGTTCAACGGGCTCTTGGGGTCGAACTTGTGCGTGGTGATGAGCTCGGGGTACTCGATGCCGCCCTGCTTGATGGCGCTGTCCATCGTCTCCATGATGACGAGGCTTTCCGACAGCGGCAGCGAGGCGCTCTCCAGCTTGCCGTCGCGCAGGCAGCGCGCGCACTCGTCGGCCTCCCAGAACATGCCGTGGCCCCACTTGCGGGCCTCGTCCGTGGGGATCGGGCAGTCGACGGCCTCGACCTCGTCGACGCCCTTCTTGATCACCTTGTACGACAGCGGGCGGAACGCCGGGTGGGCGACCTGGATCTCGCCCTTGGAGCCCTGGATGCGGATCGCCGGGGCCGTGTTGCCCTTGCCGTCGGGCGCCGTGTCGACGCGCAGCGAGGTCGTGGCGATGCCCGTCTGCTGGTTCTTGGGGAAGTTGAGGATCATGGTGGTGGACTCGTCGGCGCCGGTCACGGGGTACTTCTGCACCGAGGCCAGCACCTCGGGGGACTCCTTCTCGGGCTGCAGGTGGTACAGCGTCTGGAACAGCCACGTCAGGGAGTAGATGCCCAGGTCGAGGAGCGCGCCGCCGGCGAGCTCGGGGTTGACCATGCGGTGCGAGTCCGCAAACGAGAGCTTGTCGGAGCCCTCGGTGCAGTTGTTGAACGACAGGTCGGCGGTGGTGCGGTAGACCTTGCCGATGGCGCCGCTGGAGATGAGCTCGCGCACCTTGATGCTGAGGGGGAAGTAGCGGGTCCAGACAGCCTCCATGAAGAAGAGCTTCTTGGCGCGGGCCGTCTCAATGAGCACGCGCGTCTGCTCGGCGGTGACGGTCAGGGCCTTCTCGCAGAGGACGTGCTTGCCGGCGTCGAGCGCGAGCATGGCGTTCTGGAAGTGGTGCGAGTGCGGCGTCGCGACGTAGACGATGTCGACTTTGGGGTCACGGACGAGCTCGGCGTAGGAGCCGTAGACGGTCGTGTCGGCCGGGGCATCAATCTTTTTGACAAAGTCGCGCGCCTTTTGGGCGTCGCGCGAGGAGGAAACGGCGGCGATGCGGTGGGCAACGTCAGACACGTCGCGGGAAGCCGGGTTGGTGAGAAGGTCCTTGCAGAAAGCTGCGAGAGGTTAGCTAGGGTCAGCTGGACGGAGGGGTTGTGGCATTGGAGCTGTTGGTGAGGCGAGGGGAGCCTACTCTCGGCGATCCAGCCGGTGGCCATGATGCCCCAGTTGACTGTGTGCGGCGCCATCTTGAAAGTCTATGCGGGGGGGGTGATAAAGTGCGTGCTGTTTGGATTGTGAAAACGGGAAAAGAGTTGGATAGAAACGCCAATGGCTGGGTATATGAAGGAGACCGATACTGAGAGAGAGAAACGCAGATGGGACAAACGGGTGCGGATCGGCGAGGATGCCTTTTCCCTTTTCAATCCCGCATCGATTGTCGCCCCTCCACTCCAGCAACCCTCGGAGGGAGCTGCTGCGGGGTACAAGAACAGCACAGGGCAGGGGTTGTGACGCGGAGCCCCCGACTGCTTTCTCAAGTAGGACGATGCGACGACGAATCGACGCGATCCCGCCGCCCAACTCCCACGAGCGGGTAAATTCAGAAAGCTCGGCTAGGTAGAACGCTTCACCCAGCTCCGGCACTCCGCGATGACACGTCGATCTGGGAGCCTCCTCGACAATGCAGAATAGCCACGGGCTCCACTCTGCGAGCCGTCTGCCGGCCGACTCCTAGACTTTCCCTTTTGGGCTGATTTGGAGAGTGGTGAGCGAGAGCTTCGTGAGGAGGGGGAAAGGAGCAATTGAAGGAAGATGGTGGGGTCGCCGTGGGAGGTCGGACCGTACCCCGCGGCGGGGCCTTCTCTCGTTATCGGCGATAAGACGTCATAGACGAAGCTACGGACATCAATCCCGATGGGTGGAAATGCGATGAGATGCAGCCGAGCTCTCGACTTTGTGAGACGGTCTACGATTCGACTGTGAACTTACTGGCATTGTTTCACGTTTGGGCTTGACGGCCGCCACTGTGCCTTGTTGCTCTGATCCCGCGACAGTCCCTCATTGGCGTTACGCACAAGGAATCACTCAATCACCCGCTCACCCTCATCTCATTCTCTCATTTCCCTCGCAGTCCCGCATCGAGGCTTACACTCGCAATCAGTATCACAAGCCCTGCGTCCTTCAGCTCTTAAGCCGAAAAATCACCTTAATCAACATGACCAACACCGTCGCCCCGATACCGCGCCTAATCTACGGCACCGCCTGGAAGAAAGCCCAGACGGCGCCCCTCGTCGCCTCGGCCCTGTCCGCCGGCTTCCGCGCCCTCGACACCGCCGCCTCCCACCACTACTCGGAAGAGGGCGTCGGCGCCGGCCTCCGCGCCTGGCTCGCCCAGAACCCGGCCCACGGCGTCCCCCGCTCGGGCCTCTACATCCAGACGAAATTCTCCCCCCAGCCCTCGGCGCTGCCCATCCCGGACCAGGTCCACGGCTCCGTCGCCTCGTCCCTCAAGAACCTCGCCGTGCCCAAGGGCCTGTTCGCCCCGGGCCCGCCGCCGCCGACGACGAAGACGACGACTTCTACCTCGACTGCGTCCTCCTGCACGCCCCTACCCCTCGTACGCCGACACCCTCCTCGCCTGGCGCGCCCTCGAGTCCTACGTGCCGTCCCGCGTCCGCACCCTCGGCATCTCCAACGTCGACCTCGACGAGCTGCGCGCCCTCTGCGCCGACGCCGCCGTCCAGCCCGTCGTCGTCCAGAACCGCCTGAACCCAAGGGAGGCCTACAACACCCCCGTCCGCGTCTTTTGCCGCGACAGGGGCATCAACTTCCAGTCCTTTTGGACGCTGACGGCGAACCCGCCGCTGGTGAAAAGCGCCGCCGTCGGCAGGGTCGCCGAGGGCGCCGGCGTGAGCAACGAGGTCGCCATGTACGGGCTCGTGCTGGGGCTGCGGGGCGTCAGCGTGCTGGACGGGACGACCAACGAGGCCCGCATGAAGGAGGATCTCGAGGGCGTCGAGAAGGTGGCCGCTTGGGCCGACGGCGACGGCGCAGACGTCTGGAACGAGAGCCTGGCGGCGTTCAAGTCTGTCCTCGGCGACCCGGAGGGAGTCTGAGACAGGAAAGAAGAGAGGCACAAAAAAGAGGCTCGTGAGGCGTAAAGAAATACCCAATAATATTCTATTTCCGGACGGAGAAAGCCTCCCCCCCCCCTCTCTCTCTCCGCAATTCCGCATCGAAAAACGCCCAAGAAATGCACTCTGTCCTGGGGTATTCCACCATCCTTCGCATATCCCCTCCCGCCGGAGCCCAGAGTCGGCTCTCGTGCAAAGACATCTCTTTTGATGCTTTCGTTCTTGCTAGTCCCCCCTAGTCCAGGAAATGTACCCGGAAGAAACAAGACTCGCTGTGGTATCTCAACAAAGAAAAGCACGTGCCGAGATGGTCAATCGTATCGTTCCCCCAACACCTCCTAATTTCTTCGTCCCGTCGATTCATCATTACGAAAGAAAAGAATAGAAAAATACGTTTCTCGTGCAGTGTCATCAGTCGTCCGTGTTGTATTCTTGGTCATCCACGAGAATCACAACCGTCAGTGTTGCCGCGTACGCCTCGCGGATAGCGCATGCCATGCTATGCAACGTTAGCTGGATCCTGACGTGATGGGAAACGAAGCGCGGATCCCTCGCAAGGAACTCACCAGGTTTTCCGAATATCTGCAATCACGGCACTCAGGCCCCAGTGTGAACACCAGGCGCGGGCCAGGACCTCATTGTCTCTGACGCCAAACGTCTCCACCACCAACACTTGCTCCTCGTCAATTTGCTCCTGGCTGCTTGCAGTGTGTGGGCCTGCATTCGAGCTTGTCCTGGAAGTTCGCGCGCTTGGAGATTGCCCGTAGAGTCCGCCCCAGTCCCTAATGTCCATGATCTCGTCGGCCTTGACGGTCTGAAAGACGTAATCGAAGAAGAGCGGGTGCGGGCCGTCCGAACAAGGCCACGCTGAGATGAAGGAAACATCGTAGGTCAGACGCATGGGCCAGGAGACTCCATCGACAGCAAACTGGACCGTTGCATCAAACACTTTCGGCATCGGCGGTGGCTCCTGGAAACGGTCGGGGACGGCCTTGAAGCTGAGCAGCTCGATGCGCACCGTATCGACTATGTCGTCCGCGTCCGGGGCCACAAGCTTGTACTCTTTGACAGGAAACACTTCTGACGGAGGTCCAAGAGGGTCGGACCGCTCGCTCATCGACTGCACGTCCTCGGGTGTCATGCGTTGACGGGGGCGACGGGACCGAATGCGGGCGATTTGGGATCGGCCGAGGTCGGCGGTTGGTCGGGCTGGTCCGACCCAGCCTGCCAGCGACCGACAAGTTGGAGCGAGTACCTTGCCGACGATAGATGCAGCAGTCCAGTAGGTGTAACTGTTCCTATACTGAAACCCGCAATGAGGATGGAGATGCGTCATCATGGCCAGTGAGTCGGTGGCCTTGTCGGGATCAATGTCGATGAGGGTGTTCATGATGAGGAACGGGAACGTGGACTGTTCAGCGTTAGCCAAAGGTCAGAGACTCGATCGGGGCGCCAGGTACAACTTACCCCGGGGAGGACGAGGCCGCTGAAGAACGCCAAGGCGTCGGAGCTGATGACGTCGAGCGTCGCCTCCATGTCCCTCTGCTTCATCTTGTCCAGAGTTTGACCCAGGTTCGGCCACTTCATCATCTGGGCGAAGCGTCGCAGCATCTTGATCTGCCGCTTTTTGAGTCGGAAGCGTAGGTTGACTGCTGCACGTTAGTCTTGGTCCCGAAGGAGATTCCAAATCACTTACTCTGCTCCACTGTCTTGCCATATCCCTCAACCCTCACGTGCTCCCGCCAACGCCTCGCGAGCGCGAGATCCCACTGGATGGTGGGCGGCAGCTGGGGCAGTAATTTCTCCTTGGCCCATTCGCCATGCAGTCGCGAGTTGATGCGCAGGTCCAGCTCCATGCTGAGCACAAGTTGGTGGCAGAACTTGATGTACTGATGTTGGCTTGCATGGCTCGGGTCGAAGATGAAGCGGGTGACAACCTGGTTCTTGGGGTTCGTGAAATCGATCCAGTCCGGTCGGGACAGCACCATGATCAGATCGGTAATCTGCTTCTCGAGTCCTTTGTGCGGGTTCATCATTTTGTCGGGGTCGCGGAGAAAGCGGCGATATAAGCTCTTGTACATCCAGTCCTCGTCGTCGTCTTCCAGACCCGACTCCAACTCCTTGAGGCGCTCGAAAATACGGGCCAAATCGACCTCTCGGGCCGTTACACCAGAATCCCTCAGGGCAATCGCCGGGGGCATGATGCTGGATAGGCAGGCCCACTGATTCAACGTGATGGTGCCCGGCTGCTGTCCATAGAAGAAGGCAAAACTCGGCTGCTCGAGCGTCTCCCAGGGATAGATGGCTGCACCGCCACCCTGCATACGAAGGGTCATCAGCTGGGTCATGGAGTCGTGCAGGTTGACAACGTCGGACTCTTCGGTCTGGTTTCCTGCCGAGGTGGTATACAGCGCGTAGTAGTGATCGGATGCGTGCGGGACGGGGCGCTTGTGTCCCTTGTGGGCGGGGACACCGCGCGAGACGAGCTCCATGGCATGGCCGAGAGTGAGCTCTTCTTGACTGGACATGCCGGACGGCGGCCATTCGGTCAGCGGTCCCTGTTCGAAGACGACGCCGTTGGGATGCGCGCGGCCCTTGCCTTTGGCTCGGGTGGGATCCGGCCTTCTAGGCCGCCGGCGGGAGCGGCGGTGGTCTGGGTGCTCAGGTTGACCGTTCGGGGACTCGACCGTCCTCGAGGCCTTGGGCAGGTCGGCAAGGGACCGACGTCTGCGTGGGGCGACATCTCCGTCACTCGCTCTGCGCGATTCCGGATTTTCCTGCAGCAAAAAATCAGTACAAAGCCGTCGAGATGAGGGGCGCGCGCGTCTATGGCAGCGCAGTGTTTGGATCGCCGTACCAGTCTCCCTTTCTTCGCGAGGCTTCTGTTCCGGAAAATGCTGCCCCAAAAGCTCTTCTTCTCACCTCGGCCCTCTCGGTCTCTCCCTTCCTTGACGTCGGCCATGTCTCATTAATGAATTACAAGCGAGGATCCTCGAAAGCGCGTTAGCCGGCCGAGGTGATTGTTCCGATGCGGGCGGGATACAAACAAGCAAGTGTTTGCTGGGGGTCGAGTGAGGCCTGGGTGAGAACGGGGGCGAGTGAAGTCGTCAGTCGGGGTGGCTGCGCACCATGCGCGTCACGAGGAATGCGCCTGTCGCAGGTAGACCAATCCGTTCAGCATCGGCTCAGCGTCGTCTGGCAATGATGTTGTTGGCGGTTGTCCAATATTTCGCAATCACGATAGCGATTGACGCATCACCTCACTCTCGAGCCCGGCAGCAGGGAAGAGAGTCCGCCGGGGTCAGAGCGCTTTGATTGTTATTGTTGTTGTTACTGTCTGGATTGTGGTTGTCGGAGGTTGGGGAAATCAACGGGTGTCTGTGTGGTGAACGTCTGTGAGATGGTCCGAAAGAGATCAAGATTGCATCTCAAGTTCGAGGTGTCGGCAGGGTGGGCGCAACGCGGTGCATGTGTAGCCGTACCCGTAATCGCAGGCTCGCGGTCGTAAGCGCAGCGGTCCGCCCGCAATCCAACAACGATCGGAAAAGTCAAAAGATGGGAGCAACAACGGCGTATCCAGTGGTGGCGCTCACTCGAATTCGAAGTGGTGGTGGTTCACGTGTCGCAGAAGCTTGAGATGACGGAGTACGTCCGGGCAGCGGCGGCGGCGGGTCGCTTTGGGGGGGGGGGGGGGGTTCGGGTGGGCGAGTGTGAGTGTGAGAGCGGGTGGGCACCTGGTAGGAAGTGACTGGACGGGAAGGCACATTGACTGAGGCGAGGCGAGGCGAGGCGAGGTGAGGTGAGGTGAGAGGTGAAGCAGGATGCACGACAGCTTCCGTGTCTTTTTTTGCAGTTGGCAGGTCATTCTTTTTTCTTTCTTTTCTGCCACTTGTATTGCAGGGCTGCAGTTGCTCCAGTTGTTGCTGCGGAACGTCTCGCTAGCTAGTCCTCATCTCCTACGTTAGTCGCTGGTTCCTTGCTCCCTTCAGGCCCGTCTTCGTATGCATTCTATCCATCGGCTTAAAAGAAGGGTACCTTGGTTGAAGTACAGTACGGTACACGCACGACCCAGTGCCACCTCACCCTGGCTGCTGTGGTGGTGGTGGTGGTGGTGGTGGTGGATGCTGCTCATGTAAGTGGCAGTCGATGCAACTCTGATTGCCATCCATACATACATAGAACGCGCACTCTGACCGCGTAGCGTAGGCAGGTGTCGTAGCCGCATTGGCTGGCGTTCTTGTCGAAGGGGGTGAGTAACAAGAGCAGATATGCACTCGCTCCCCAAACCAACTACCGTGCCATGCCGTCAGTGGGATCCAACATCAGGTGGCTGTGGGGAAAAAGTCAACTGCGCAACTGCAGATGAGGTTCGTCGTGATAGGCCAAGCCGCCCGCGATGCCCGAGTGCACAACAGCGAATGGGCCTGCATGTTGCACGTCGGCGAAGGGAACAACCCAGTCTCGCTCGCTGCGCGTGCGAGAAATCCAAACCTGCCACGTCGTGTGTCATCCCGCTCCTCTCCACGCACGCTGACTCGCCTAGCACCAACCCCAGGGCCTTGCGTCTGCCCGAGCTTCTTCGTCCCTGGCTTGCCTCGCCTTGGTCTGCTTTAATACGCTCCCTCATGCGGTGGACAGCGCGCTTTCCGGTTCCCGAACCTCCAAAGAGACCCTAACCCTGGCAGTTTTCCAACATTTACCGCCAACAAGAAACCACTTTGGCCTCCTCCTCCTCCTCGCCCATCTGGACTAGGCCGACGAACCCCATTCATTTACCGCCCTCGACCATGCACGTCAACACCCGAATCCACCGTCCGATGCCACACAGGGACTTCGACGCCCGTTCAATGATTCTTTGATCGAGATCGGACCCCTCGAGATGCATCCTTGTTGCCCAACCGCCCAATCAATCTCTTACGTTTGCTTTCGGAACTGGTTCCTGCCTGGTGCCTCGACCGGTCCAAGAGCTCGGAACAGCTTTCAGGAACCGCCATCAAGGACAAGACCTCGACCCAGAGCCAAGTCCCAAGTTTTGGTCTCCGGCTCCGGGCCCCAACAGAGTCGAATGCCCGCCGCCGACCATCGAGTGTGGCTTCCGCAGAACCAACTTCCGACACTTCCGCCACCCGGCCCGTCCGCCGCGTGCATGACCGCCCTGCGTCCTCTGCTGCAGCCACCTCACGAGTTCTTTCTACGTCATCGACAACACAATTTTCCCGTGCTCTTTTCCCCCGAGTAATTGACGCGTCGGTTGTGATGCCTTTTTTTTTGTATTTTTTTTTTTTGTATATGATGTGGCCCAAGGAACCCATGATGTTGCTCCCCGCCGCGATCCTCGGCGGATCGGTGGCATGACATGTTCATCCATCTACAGGATCTTCCTGGTGTGACTCTGGATCTAGCGTTTCGACCTGTCACCCAAATGGTGTGACGCCGGGGTTCAGGGTCTACGGCGCTTCAAAATATTGCTCTTCCGAATCCACACTATAGACCTTGTATAGACCTCCAAATACCCGTCCGCGAAAAGCTCGCTACATCTTTAGACTCTACACGGCTGCGGCAAATCTTGCTCATTCCTCTCATGTCTCGATATCCCAAGTACTGTAAGCCTTCGGAGCTCCGAGCTCCATTAAGAGGGTGGAAACCCAATGCGATTAGCTAGATATGCTTTGTTCAACACGGCTCACACCAAACGCCCACCTCCAGAACTAACAGCCCGAGAACGACGGCATCTCGCCTCACGAAACAATATGTTGGTCAGAGATCAGCCCAACTTTCAGGCCGTGGAGGAGTGCTCAGGGTCCAAGAGTCTCCCGGTGCTTAGCTCAAACTCTGTAGATAACCTCTGGCGTGCCAAGGCGCCCAGGGCTCACCATACTCGTAACATTCGCCTATGCCTTGCATCCGTTCCGTGCAGACGCAAAGTCTTGCCCAAAGTCTTTGCCTATGATGCCTTTTCCCCTTCCGTGTTTCGTGGTCTCCTTCGGAGTGTGGTCCGCTCCGGGCCCACCAGGGTGACCACCTGCCGTCAACTTCATGCGTTGGGGCATATAGCATGTTACAGGCAGTTAATATCGACTACAGGCGCTCGATCGATCTGTGACGGCTGGCAGGGTCAGCCGGTACCAGTAGGCTGATCCGAACGGGTCGTTCGTTTTACCCTCCGCGAGACAGTTTCCTGGCTGGCCTCGTTGCCGCAACCATGCTGGCACCCATGAACACTAAAAGGAAGGTTTGCGTGCTTCGAGAAGCGTGCCTGGTTACTTGGAGTTCTGAGGTGACCCTAAGCTGCAGACGAGGACTTACACATTCCCTCCTCTTGCTTATCGGCGTAAATGACTCGTGCTTCTTCCATGGCGTGCTCTTCCGTGTCCAACTTATCTCTTCGTTTTTCACCAGTGTTGACGGTGATGAGTATCGCGATAAGCCCGCGGCCGTTCTCTGAGAGGCATCTCACGGAGGAGGCTACGGCGTTGCCAAAGAAATGTACTAGACCCGTTACAAGAAGCGAGGCCGTGCCTCTCGGTCCGAACTCGAGAGACTTTGCTGTATTTGGTTCACAGTTCGGCAACACATCCCATAGGCCAGAGCGATCAACTCTCCGGCGCGCCTCCGCACCGGTTTCGTCGGTGCTGGACTTTCTGCCCTGAACCCGTGAGGTTGGTGAGCCTCGGCGACGCCTAATAGCCTCGGAATTCCAAAAGGACGTCTTTGTGATAGATACAGGGGGGCTCGGATAATGGATGTGGAAAGTAAAATATGGGTTGTATACATTGCATCGCTAAGCCAGTTGTTGGTCAGTTTGTAGGTGGTGTGGTCGATAGGACCAATCGACCAAGACCGAGGTCGTATCATGGCAGAACGTGTAATCCAGGTTGTTTTCTGCAACTTCTTGACGCTGCCCAAGGAGGTACTGAGATGAAAACACCTTGCCGGAGAGAGCATGTGCCGGCCCTGGTGGAAGTGGCTCATCCGAAGATGTTTACCAGATAGTTTTGCCTTCGTCAGCAACCGCCGTAGAAGATATACAAAGGCGATATGCAGCTTCTACACCGGAACAAATCCTCTCAAGGGCTTGTGCTTGTTTTGATATGACTAACAGACCAAGTACAGGGTGGTCTCTGAAGGGACAGCGCGACCGCATTCTGGGACGGCATGTCCCCATGTTGACCTTGGTCGTTTGTGAGTATCCATGATTGAACATACCAGGACACGTAGAGAGTATCGATAACAAAGGACGCCGAAAGAAAAACTTCAACACTAGCCCGACGAACGAGTTTGCGATTGTGTTGGGCTTGTTACGGGCGATACCAGAAATGAGGCAAAGTCTAACGTGGGATGGTGAAAGAACCAAGCTTGTATGTCTTGTATGGGCAGGTATCGCTTCTATATTCGGGGATTAAACTCTCAAAGAATTATGTGGGTGTGAATGATGGTATAACTAGTGTCGAGATGATACGGAGAAATGATTGTCTGCACAGAACCAGCAGTCTTGACAACGATTAACCTTCAAAGGAGATGTTCCTTCTGATCTCGTCCCTCGTTGCATGTTTGCAGTGCCATGTTAATACTTCCCTATTACGTGTCAACCGACACCCAACTAGAACAGCAATCCTCAGAAGACGTTGCTTAGAAACAGTCTATCGGCCTTAGTTCATAGGTCCTCTTACGTCTTCTCCTCTGACAAGAGAGAGTCCCAGTTATGGTTCACGTACAACGAGGCGATAGTCGTGATGGTAAAACTGCTGACATGATGGACATAATGGACGTAATATAACAAACATGTAGGTAGGTCGTGAGTGGCGTTGACCTTCATCTCTGGGCACCTGCATGAATGTGAAAGCTTTCGCCCAAGGCAATTGGGTCTATGGCGTGAGCTGCCTGAAAATTCTGCTGCTCATCGGGAGTGCGTCTTGTCGAAAGCGATGCCTCATCGCAACGTCCACGGTGCGACTCTTGCAGTATTCGGAATCGCATAGTCAGGATTTGAATCGGCAGCCAAAGTCCATATCAACTGCCCCCAAGATAGACGTTACTAAACAAACACCAAAGATAGGAAAGAAACATAGACACCAAGTCACCCCAAGCCATACGACGGAATACACAGACAAAAAGCTAACATGGCCCAAATAAGAACCAATTTTCCAAACATTCTCCTTCACACATGTTATGTTGGCAACTGCCAACCTGAAAGAGCTTTGGAGGACTCATTTCATGGGCGCCTGGAATGACCAACTGATCTGGATTGTGTATCCTCTCCGTGCACGAGTTGTTGGGTCATGAGTGCAGTTGTCGCTAGGAAGGGATTGCTCTTTGAAGCTATAAAACTGCCACAGAATCAGCGTACCTTGTCTATACGTGAGCACCCCCTCGACTGCACCGCCTCGTATGTTAGACAGTTTGCATATAAATCCTCGACACCCACCAGTGGTTCTCTTCCAGGTCTTCACTGTCAAACACTAATCCAAAACCAAGTCAACTCACGACCAGCTCGCCGGGACATGATATCCCAGAACTCCCGCCTCCAACCTGCAGCAGTAGGGTCGACAGCCCCATTGGACAAAGAGGAGCAACGGTACATCGATCCCTGATCACCGTTGGCGGATTCATCCGCTCTTTAAGGGTTCAGATTTGGATCCCAGCAGGGTCTTCAACCTCGTCATCAGTCTCCCAAGCGTACTTGCATCGAGACCATGGGCAAGCACTCAGTGGACACATGCGGAAACAAGTGCTTTCATCTACACCTGCGTCTATACCCTCGAAAGATGGAGCAGCAATATCGAATCCTGTTCTTTGGTTCTTTAGCAAGACAGGGCGTCCTCCCGAGGGCTTCAGCGCGTAGGTGATCGAGAGCACGCCATGGTGCTTCCGGCTGGAAACCAGGCGTAGAAGTCAGCCCGGATACGGACCATCGGCGTCTCCCGCGTATTGCTCCTGGCGAAGACGTGTGTCAGAGAAGACCATTGTCACCAGATATCTTTACTGAGACCAGCCACCAAGACATCCGCAGTCTCGTTCGGTCGTGATTCAGTAGGACTGGCACTCGGCAGACCTTTGAACCCAACCTTTACGCCGCGTCGCCGTTGGCTCTCGGACAATTCGACGGCCGTCTCTAGAAAAGCAAACCCAGCATAGTCACGGCACCCTTCGACGCCAGTTCTCGTCACGGATCGTCAGCCTGTAAAGCCAGCACGACGGCCGAGGCTGTAGCAATCCGGGCCAGAATCCCCATTATCCACATCTGGTGCCGAGTTCTCCACTATGACACAAAAAGGATACACACGGATACGATGCCGTGGTTCGCGTTGCTGGCATATGGCACACCGGCAGTGGTATCTGAATTCACATCCCCGTACCGTTCCTATCCAAAGGCCTCTAGCCCTCGTCCCTCCCCAGTATCCATTGAAAATACAGCCATGTCAGCAAAGAAGGCCCAGCAGCAATCGATGGTTCTCGCGTTTCCGCCCGCGTGCCTCCTGATCACACGCCAATTCCCCAAACCGCGGCTTCCCCCTCGCAGTATCAGCCCGCCTCCAGGACCTCCACGATTGCCGCCCCAAGCTCTTATAAACATCTTTGGCGCCTGTTCCTATCACATACGACCATACCCACTGGAGAACTCGGGATCCCGTCCGCTCTCCCATAGATAAGCCAGTGAGGGCCGGATTAGTAGTTGAGTCGGTGACGATCAGCGAATACCTGGTGTTGTATGTTTTTGCGTTTTTAAACCCGTGAACTGCTTGCCCACTTCAATCAAGGCGCGCGTCATGCCTTTAAAGTTTCGCTTGGCCGACCGCAATGGTAGCCACGCCTCCTTTTCGTTTGGAGGTACTAGTGAAGGTCAAGTGTTATCCTCTTCTTTGTTGACTACACCACAACAGTCTATTGACAGCGGCCGGACTGAAGATGATCCGATTTACGAGCTGATATCGTCACTGACAAGAACCTAATGTCTTCGCAGCTTCCTACTCCGCATCACCAACGGTCCTGCATGGGAAGGAACAGGGCGGCAGAGAAGCCCTTGGAGATGTTGGGCCTAAGGCAACCATTGATTGGCCAGGCTCGACTAACACGGAGTCGCAACAGGCAATCGCAATATCACGGTGATCAATGAATCAGGAAGACGAAGAGGACATGCGCAGCAGAAGAAAGACGCAGGAAGATGGTAAAAAGGTTTCAGGATGCTGGTCAGCACTTTAGGGCATGACAACGTGTTGCAAGCTTTGAACATGGTTTAGTTAGGATCTTTCTGGTTTGTCATTACCTTGCCCGCATCTCTCTTAGTTTGTTCAACATATCACCTATCGCTCCGCAAAAAGATTTACTGCCCTCATACAAGGCTTTTTGTAGACTTTGAGGAATTCAAATATCGATTCTGTTGTGTTCCCACGACCCCGGCAGCCTCACTTCTCCGATGCAAGCCAGCAGCACATTTTCCCACCGCAGTCTGGGACCCAACTGAAGGAGTATCTCTCGCTCTAGAGAGGTCTTCGACCTCGGTCTTATTCATGAACGGACGCAGCTGGAGCTCCTCTTCACTTGTGTTGTAGAACTGCGCAGAGTTCCAAGACCCAGAGCAATCGATGTCTTCAATTCAATGCCAGAACAAGGCCAGAGTACATTAGATTTTGCCATAAAGAAGCCTGTTTGCATTCAGTTCGTTCGGCCCAGGCACCTCGTCATCCTCCCCGAAATGAGTGTACCAGGCCAAAAACTCTGGAACTGTCTCAAAGATCTGCAAGCCGTCAACCGCCGTAGATAAAGTGTATCTCCACTTCCAAGCGTCCTCGTCAGACTTGCGGCTATACACAATGCTGAAATTGGCATCAGGCCCTGTGCCTGGTGCCCACCCTCCCGCGATCTGCCAGCACTCGGGGAGATTTGCGTGTTCCGTGAGCTCCTCAGGCGTCATCACCCTCTCGGCGTGCAGGCCCTGGTCGTCTCGGCAGCCCCACCAGAAGGCTGGCTGGGTCTCGTTCCGGAAGACGGGCAGCCCGTAGCCCACAATACCGTCAACAAGCCCGGCCAGCACACGGAAGTCTTCAGGGATCAAGATAGTCTCCCGCACGTCCTCTCTAGACTTTTGCTTCAGGTTCTCCTCGATAACAGAGAGGTACTCGCGGCGCGCGGCCTCGCGCTCATCAGGGGTCCCCTCGTGCATCACGTAGGTGCCATCAAGGCCAATCTTTGACACCAGCTCATCATAACGCGTGAGAACCTCGCTAGCCTCCGAAACGTCAAAGTCTTGGAGGGTGGTGTCAAGAAGCGTGTTTAGGCCGTCTAGGCGGAGCTCTTCGACGTCCTCGTCGTCTTCCAGGTCGTCGGGCACCGCGGTGGCGATGAATGGTACATACACCTCGAGAGCGCGACGGTTCTGGGCTGCGATAAATGAGCGGTAAGCTGCGAGCGAGGCTGCGATGTCCTCTGGAGACGAGGCCATATTGGAGGGTAAGAGGAATGATTGGAGTTCGAGAATTCGACCAGCCTGAATCACTCACATGAACTCCAACCAACACACTTTAACTGCTTAGTTCCAACAAGTTGAACGGCTGTTCGGCAAAATGTTCCATCGTTCACGCTGCATAGTGGAGAATTTGCGGATTTGAGTTCCAGAATGAGAGAAAGTGCTGCGGACCAAGCCTGAAACCAATCCGCTAATTACTGACCGTGTGCCCCCATGCAATTGCGTCCTGCCCAGGGTCATCGGCTTCATCTGAGGAGGCCAGTTCTAACTAGTGATCGATATGCAGGTCTTGCAAAGACTCGATTCTGCATGAGTCCGAAAAAGCTATATGTGGGTACAGGTACAACTTTCCGCATCGCATCAACCCCAAGAACAGCGAAAGCCATGGCGAGCCTACCGCCAGAAGGTCTCGCAACACCGCGAAGGTAGTAAGCCAAAACGTGCCCATATACGACGATGGAGCTGATTACCAATGCAGATGGGGAGCTGTGCCGCCTTTCATCGGTGACGGCTGAATATTTCGTGTTTGTCTGTATCGTGTCTGGGCAAGCTCTTTGCTTCCAAAGCACCCAAATCAGGCTCAGGATGATGAAACTACCAACCAAACCTCTTTCCAGCAATTGAGTGATATGGCTGTTTTGGAAACGCCCCTTTTGCAAGCCGATAACTTCCACGAATAGCATCTCCTGCGGTCAGAATCCGAACGAGCCATGATGTTCTGACCGAGGCTTTATGTTGAATGACACCTGCAGGTAAACTAGACATTAACATATGCCAATACAAATAGCGCGATGGTTAATTGGCCTTATCCTCAATGATGTAGAAGGTTGAGGCTTTCTTTGCTACGCCATGTGTACAGGTGGCTTCGACGGGCCTGTTGAGCTGCAAGCTCACAGAGTCGTTGCCCTCCCCACCATCCCAGTCGTGATACGGCCTGAAACTTGATGACAGGTGGCAGCCGTGTTGTTGATTGTAGAGGCGAAATCCCCAGTCTGCGTGAGGGTCGTACTGCATTAACCAAGTTGTGTTTGAACTCCTCAGCTTTTGTCCCCTGGTTTGCTCATCAACAGCATCTAAATCTCCAGGGCCAACGAAACATATGACTCACGCTACTTGAAGGCGACGAAAGCCATCTCCTGCTGGCTTGAGGGCGATTTCTTCATCGACGATGGATCTGTGTCCCGGGACGCCGAGGTAATGCCCGGTGACACGGCCCCGGAGATAAACACGCTCCCCCGCCCAGAGGTGACTTGTGATATAGTCTTGTTCTTCAGCACCGAGATCGTCCATGTATATATCCTGTTCAAACGCCCAAGGGTGTCGTTCGGCGATCGGGTCCGCGAAGAAGGCTCTGTACAGGGGTTTGTCATCGTCGTCCTGCAGCTCGCTCTCGTCCCCCCAAACCCCAATCTTGGGAAGCCTGACGGCTTCGTCCTGCCAAAGAAACCCGGCCTGTTCGAGATACAGCGAAACTGGGACATACGGCGCGATGGCGTGGCGGGGGTAGCTGTGGTTTCTCCAGTTCGGGATTCTCGATGCCTAGCCCGCTGGGGATAATGTACGTCTTGCTTGTGGCGACAGAAAATGAAGATTGTAGTTGCCACCAGCTGAAACCTCAGAGGCTGGATATAGCATTCCGAGCGCGACCATCCATGTCAACGACGGCTGCAGGAGACTGAAGACAGTGACCAGACCGCTGCGCATCATCACGCCAACCTAGCGAAAGTATCAGCAGCGCTCACAACAACCAAGTTGATCTTGATACTGAAGGGGGGAAATGACATACTTCTAAGCCGCCGGCTTTCTGTTCCCATCTACAGGGTGTTGTCATTGCCGATAGATGGGTGACAACCATAGCTGTCACAAGGCCTACCAGGTTGCAACCAAGTAGCCACGCAAAAGCCAAAAGGCCGTAGATCAGACTAAAGCGGACGTATGATATCGAAATAAAGGGTATGTCGGTCTTTGCATCAGCCACATAGTGCGATGTGCAATGCAATGAAAGGACACACTCAGCCAAACTAGAACAGGCTTCCAGAATATCCAACTGCATGATGGTCGTACAAAGACGCCATCCAGGAGAACGCCTTCCGTGTCCTTGCCATTGTTGAAAAGTGCAAACAAAAACTGGCGTAGTCCCTCAAGAATCTTAACGCCAAGTTCGCCTCCTTTGTTGACTTTGTAACCGTATGGTACAGTCTACCTAGAGACACAATCCACATCTTTGCCTGCATGCTCTTTTGCATCCCAAACCTTGTCACTATAAGCCGTAAACCGACCAGGATTAAAAAGACTGCTTCAACGTGGAATATAGAACACAGCTATTTGCTGTACTTGTTTAGCTAGAAATCATAACTTTGCCTCCTAGGACCAGTTGAAGAGGCTTGCTGATGTTTTGCTTACATCTTTTTCCTTATACTGACCTGTTGACCAACACCGCCAGGGCTCTTCGAGACGGCGCATTATCGGCCGCCAAGGCATTGATGGGACTGCAGTAGGCATCACGCGGGGCGACATCAACTTTGTCTTGAAGCCATCCAGTTTTGCGCCAAGGTGAGGCTAGGAATTCTTTGTCGGCGGGAACGGCGTTCCGAAGGCCCATGTGCTGACTTACATAGGTAGTGACTTACATAGGTAGTGACTTACATAGGTAGTGACTTACATAGGTAGTGACTTACATAGGTAGTTTCTATATAACATACTTGACGGAGGATTGATGGATACTTGGGGCATTGAAACCGGCTGTGGTGCTGCTGTCATGGAGCAAACCTGTGCCCAACTAGAAAGTAGCGTCTGCGTCAAAACTGCAGTGACTGTATATCACAACTGCACGGAGACAAGCCGCCCATCAGGTAACGGGCGGATACTCTGCTCGTCCAACACGGTCCCAGGGTTTGGGTTGTTTGACAATGCGGACCAATATCTGTTGTATTGCTACTAGACAGGACACAATTCCACACACACATCCGAGTCAACAGCTTCTCTGGCCCAACCTTGAAGTCCAACCTGGAAGCTCAAAGCAGTCATGCAACCAGAACCACATCCCTCCCAAACCTTCAAGGCTAATGCAGAAGAACAACGGAGCGTGATCGACAGTTCAGAGCCTAAAAAGACTTTTTTCCTTTTATTAGCCCCCATAAAAGGTCATTGGTCAGCTAAGCAGGTGCAGTGGCAAGGAAAACCCCAAAGGGAAAAAAAAAGTACCCGGCTCCTTCTCATCCACTTCATCCGCTTCTTTACTGAAGATCCGCAGAACCATTAGAGGAGTTCATACCTGAAAAGCTCATCAGTGATGAGACATGGCTGTTGACGTTGGGTCTCGGCTTCTGCTGGAGCCTGACCGTGAAACTGCAGCTCAAGATGTCGTCTGAGATGAGGCGTTGGCGTAAGGAGCGATGTTGAGGAGCGAGGTGGACTCGGATTGGGAGGAGATGGAGGTACTGCGAGGAAGATGTCATGTATGAGGGCGAAGAAGACGACGATAATGACGAGAAATGGGAGACTGCAAAGCGGACGGCAACAGAAGAGATGGGGATAGAGGATGGAGATAGAGGACGAAGATGGAGGCTGGAGGATGGAGGTCGATGTAGTTTATGTAGTCCTACAAATCATGCGTGCTTTCCGTTCGTTGATTCTCTGTCCTTGGACCTTAACTTCCTTCTAGACTACCAAATGGAAGGAAGGCCTAAATCACCAGCAGTCTAAAACAAAGCCTATCGTCAACAAGCCACAGTCTGGCATAAAGTAAACCGCTAGCAACTTCTATGTTTCCTTCTGCCTAATAAGTCACTTTACATTGAATAACTAAGGAAACACCCTCTTTAATCCTGAATCATCCTATTTTGCTGACCACCCTATCTATAAAGACCTTTGTGTTAGACAAGCTCACGGCTACCACTATCATTAAGTAGATTGAGAAGCATAACAAGCCTGGTGGCGCCGTCTACCCTGAGTGCCTTGTCTACCTCAGCCGCTACTTGAAGGAGCGTGTTGACTTTTATAATAAGACGCTTGCCGCCCTTGACTGCGCCTTGTGGCTTTTGATCTTCCAGGGCGTACTCTGCTCTGACTAGTGGGCCCCTGAGATTGCTATCCTTGAGGACTACTGTGAGAGCAACCTGAAGCTCTAGAAGAAGCTCTAGCGCCTTGTTAAGGCCTAAGATACTAGAGTAATATAACTCTAGGTTTTCTAAGAGTAAAAGGTCTTTTAGGTCTAGGTTGCTAGTATAGTACTTTATGCCGTAAAATGGGGCTGAGATGGAAGCTTTGCCTTCCGATGATGGAAGTATCATACTTCAAGATTAGGAGGTCAAGTCTCTCACAGCTAACACTTCTGGCTGTTGACATCATCGACGCCCTTCTCTTCCTGTGCCAGCACGTGAAGGGTATAATCAACTTTTACGCACCGTCATACCACATACGACCATACCCACTGGAGAACTCGGGATCCCGTCCGCTCTCCCATAGATAAGCCAGTGAGGGCCGGATTAGTAGTTGAGTCGGTGACGATCAGCGAATACCTGGTGTTGTATGTTTTTATTTTTGCTACTGTTTAGTAGTGTTCTGCGCGAGAGACCCGGTTGAATCCATCTGCGCCACTGCATCGACGACGCCCAGTGACGGCTTTCTGGTGGACGCAGTGCCTTGATGCTCACTGTTGATGGCATCTCTACCAAGGACTCGTGGTACCCACTAGACGGTATGCGGCGTGGGGCCCGCGTTGCTCATTCCTCCGCTCGGCTACCATACTAGTTATCAGGCGGCGATCCCGTGTGCCCCCTCTTGTGCTGATAGCATCTGGGCACCACAAGGTCGATGGGGTTACGGGAAGGCCTGTCTAGTTCCCTGGGCTCGATTCCGATGTGGGTTTCATCTTCACGGAGGGAGGAGGAGGCTATCGCGGCCACGTATCCAGCGGCGAGGAGCCAAACGACGTAGCGATGACCGCGCTGAACGACGATTCATATACAACATGAGAGAACAGACGGGGCAAAACAGAATTCGCGGGCCTCTTGACGTCGTCGAATTAGACTCGGAAGCCAAAAAGCCTACGTGATTCACAAATATGAGGCGTTGCCCGCATTGATATTCACATTGATTCAACCGACACGTCGTGCCCGGACCTCGTGCAACTTTTGACACCACTGCTCCTTCTCACGCTATGATTACATTCATACACAACGGCACGTCCTCGCGAGCCAGGTATCACGAACAATACCGAAAGAGGACAATCACCAAGTCCAATGCAGCACACCAAGCCAAGCCCATAACAACGATACACCTATACAAAGGGGAATACTTCGCCGACACTCGCTTCAGCTCACTGCAACCCATCTTCGGCGTCTTTGCTCCTAGATGAGTTCCTGACGGATCGGCTCGCCAGTGACGTTGTTGCCACCAAGCACGTCCTTGGCCTTCTCCATCTTCTCGAGGGCGGCGGTGTACTAGACGTCAAGTTAGCACCCGGCACTCCGACCAAGAACAACAAACGGGGATGCAAACTTACAGCAAACACAAAGTTCGACACCAGAGCAACCATCATCGCGATGCTGATAATCAGCGGACCAATCAGGTTATCGAAGTCCTTGCCGCTACGGGCCATAATCATCTTCCTCCGCAGGCGCATCATGCCGTAGCCCCAAACACCCGCGAACACGGCAATGACAATGTACGCGACACCCATGACCTCGGCCAGGAAGTTCTCTCCAGCGGCCGTGTACAGCGACACGGCGAGCGCGCCGAGCAGGATGCAGATGTGCTGCCACTTGAGGAACGTGCGCTCGTTGGCCAGCCACACCTTGGGCTCAATCTTCAGCTCGCCCGAGTTCTTGATCCATTCGGTCGGTTCGACGACGCCCTCGGGCAGCAGTTGCTGGTTGTTCTGCGCCCGCTTGGCCTTGGAGTACTTGGACAGCGAGAAGCCCGGGAGAACGGACGAAAGGGTGCCGTAGCTCCTCTGCTGCTGGCCGGACGACCCCTCGCCGTTCTGCTGGGACGACGACTGCTGAGACTCAAGGTTGGAGGGCTTCGGGCGGGAGCTGGACTCGGCGGCCATCCTGTCTTGCAGGTACGACTTGCCAGCCGGCGAGCTCTTGGACACCTTGTACGAGTTGAGCTTGTTACCCAAGAAGCTGCCTACGGCCATCTCGTCCTCGGCCTTCTGAGCCTTGCGTTGCTCTTCGGCCTCGAACGCCTCTTGGGGGTCCTTGCGGATGTCCGCCTCCAGGTCGCTCAGCCAGAAGGGCAGGTTGTTGACGTAGTCCTCGAACAGCGAGGCGACACCGTGGACGAACTTGGAGAAGCGGGGCGCCGGGTGCACCAGGTGAGATCCCATCAGGTCCGTAATCCACGCGGGGCGCTTCCGGCTGGGGTCCTCCTTCAGCTTGATCTCGAGGATGGCGTACGGGAACCTCGAGACCTCGCTCTGATTGATATCCTTGAAGGGGTAAGTCAGATTCCGGGCGTCAATGTCGAGACGGTGCCACTCGGCCGGGTCGCGGCATGGCCTGTCCTTGTCCAACGTGTCCTCGCGGATGAAGGCGACCTCGGTGTCGATGGAGATGCGCACACGGTCGTCCGCGGGCTTCTGGAAGGCCGTACGGACGTAGTTGGCGCGCAGGACGGGCTGCAACTTGTTCTCCTGCACGAAGCCCTGCAGCGACTCGACTGTGTTCTTGAACTTCTCAATCTCCTCGGCCTGCTGGCCCTGGCGCTCCATTTTCTGTATCGTCTTCTCCATCTTGTAGGTGCCATCGATAAAGGGCTTGATGTACTTGTCCTTGATGGCGAACTTGCGCTCCTCGCTCGATCCGTTCTCGCTAACAACCTTTTGTTCGAGGGACAGCTCGGGCTTCGAACTCAGCTGGCCGTACCACCGGACGCGCAGCGACGCGGCCTCCGACTTGCGCTCGACCTTCTTGCCGTACAGGTCGAATTTGGAGTTGTCGAAGTAGAGCGAGGTGATGGTCGGGTCGTTGGTGCCGTCCAGCTCCTTGGCCGACTGTTCGCTGTAGACGAGGGCCGGGAGCTGCCTCATAATGTACGTCTTGACCTCCAGCAGGTTCTCCGGGTGGACCCAGAACTTGTGAGCCGTGTACCGCTCGCCGTGGCGCGTCTCGCCCTGGCTCTCGAGATCCAGCGGCTGCTGGTCGGCGGCGTCCTCGTCCAGCTGCTGGCGAATGGCATAGTACATGATGGACAGCTTGTTGAGCAGAGGCGAGTAGCCCTGCTCCGAGTTGAAGGGCCGCTGCGACAGGCTCAGCTGCATCATGGGCCGCACTTTGTAGCGGTCGCCCCTCTTGCGGTCGTGCTTCTTGACGATCTTGAGGAAGCCCGTGTAGTTGATGTTGCTGTACTTCTTCAGCTCCGAGATCTCGGTCGTGATCTTGTCGAGTTCCGCCTCGATTTCCTTCAGCTTCTTAGCCGTCCCGAAGTCGGGCTTCTTGGCCTGGACGTTTCCCGCGCCATCCTCCTCGCTGGGCGGCGCCAGCTCCTTGAGCTTCTCGAAGGCTGCGTCGATACGGTCTTTCAGGGCCTCGAACGTCTCCTCCTGGAACTTGGCAACCTTCTCGAGCTGGACGTTGAAGATCTCCTCGCAGAAGCGGCTCTCGTCGTCCTCGGTCCAGGGGACCTCGTCGTCATCGTACTTGTCCTCCCGCAGCAAGGACTTGAGCTTCGCGTAGTCGATGTACTTGTCCTTCCAAGGCGCGTAGACGGCCTGCCGCAGCGTCTTTCCGAAACGCATGGCGGCGGTCGGCAGTAGGCGGTTGATGGGGGGTCGGGGAGGTAGTCGTAGGAAAAAGTAAGGCCTGCTCGGTGGCTTTGTTTCTCGGAAGATTGTGTATTGAGCACGGGTAGTGCGGCGGCAGGTCTAACGGTGGAAATACTCGATCAAAGCGGAGCGGGGGCGTGGGTGTGGGCGTGGGCGTGGTGGGTGTTGTACAAAAACAAGCTTTGGGTGCGACGAGATGATGTCGGGAAAGGCAGCCCAGCCCAGTCCCTGCCTCGCGATTGACAGAAAAGCTCGGACGCTAAAGCTCGTCCGTCGCTTCGTTCGCTGATATGTTTCCTTCTTGCTACTTGCTTGCCGCCTTACTTCTCTCAATGGAATATATCGAGGACCATACCGGATTGACCGATGAAGAAGGAGACCATAAAAGAGACAACAGAGAGATGGAACAGACAGCGAAAAAAAAAAAGCACATTCCATGATCGATCTCCCTGCAGTCTTTTCGTATCTGACGATTGTTCCTCTCGCGGCCCCACCAGTCTCCCGCTCCAGCGCCGCAACGTCCCACTGTCCCGCTGCGTAGCGCATCAGCCATTGCCCTATCAGCTGCTGTGAACGCAGGCACGTGTGCTCGCTACAGATGCAGCTTCACAGCAACGAGACCACCCCTCTGGTGGGGGGCCTTTCTTCGACCCGTCGCTAAAGAAAAGATGCGAGGGAAACGAGTGGCTGGACCGCAAAACTATCCCTGTTGTACCATGCTCTTTCGCCGCAAACACACATAGAACCGAGGCAATCGTGTTGATCAGAGTCTGGATGGAAATCTCTTGATGAAAACTCTTTTGTTTGGTCGTTAAGAGAATGACTATTAACATTATCCCTGCAACTCCTTGAGCAACCCATCCAGCCCAGTGAAGCATCCAAAACCCATACATACATCTAAAACCATGAAATGCCGTCAACCGTCTAAGCCGTCCTTCAGTCATGAATCCCCCCATCTGAAACGCTTCAGTTCTTAAGCCATTGATCCACGGCGGCATCAACCTGCTTCCTGTACTCCTGCTGTGTCTTGCACTGCTCCAGGAATACTTGGTACTTGGCGTCGAACAGGAACTTCTCGCCTTTGAGCGTGCCGGGCTTGACAAGCTTGCCGGGCTTGCTCATGCGGTCCATGATGGACCACAGATCCTCTGTGGAGCCGTCGTCGGCCGCCGTCGCCGCCTTGGCGCCCAGCATGGCCGCGCCATGGACGACCGCCGCGTTGGTGTAGCGCGGCACCAGCACCGGCATATCGCAGATGCTGGCCATGAGGTCCATCAGCAGCGGGTTCTGGCACTGGCTGCCGGACATGAAGATGGTGTTGAGCTCGTGGCCGGCCGTGTTCATCGCCTCGACGATCTGGCGCGTCTGCATAGCGATGAACTCCATCGTGCCGTAGTACCACAGCGCCAGGTTGTCCGTGGTCTTGTCGCTGCTCAGGCCGACGACGGCGCCCTTCATGTTAGGGTCGGCGACGGGCGATCGGTTGCCCCACAAGTCGCCGTACAGGAAGAAGTGGCGTCCCAGGTATGAAATCGACGGCGCGCCGCTCTTCTCCCGCATGTATTCCAGGTGGGCATTGAGGAATTCGTAAATGTTCTTCGACTCGGCCGTTGCAAGCGCGTTCGTTTCGATGAAGGCGGGGTGGATTTCGATAATGTGTCGGAGAAGCTCGCCGGTGGCAGACTGGCCACCCTCGGCCATCCAGAAATCGGGCAGCAGGACGTCGCGGTACGGGCCCCAGACACCGGGCACGAAGACGGCGTCCCGGGACATGGCCAAGTGGCAGGTCGAGGTACCGGCAACCGCCGCGAGTCTGTGGAACGCCTGCGAGAGATCGTTCTTGGGCTGGTCCGCCTCCAGGTGGCCCGGGGGAAGCTCGACCTTGGCTCCGACCGTACCGATCCAGCCGGCGTAGGCGTCAATCACACCGCCACCGACGGCGATGCCCTCGGGAAGCCCGAGCTCGTCGGCGGCCTTCTTGCAGAGCACGCCGACAAGCTCTCCGGCGCTCTGGTATTTTCCGTTCTGGTTTGGTCAGTCAATTGGTCTCCTTTCGTTCGCGATGTAAAGGCAGAAGCGGGGTTCAATAAAATAGGCTCACCACCCCGTTGACGCCACCAAGACGCTTAAAGTCGTCCTTGACGAGATCCTCGAGCCCAATGGTCGTCAGGAAATCCTCTTGCCAGCCCTTGACGCTGCCGTCGACGCCGACGGGGACGTAGCCCTGCTTGCAAACGGTGCTGCAGAAGCTCCGCGTCTCGTTGCCAGTGGCCATGTGGGTGAGGGCGTCGGCGAGATCGTAGAACTTGCAGCGGTCAAAGAGCTCCTTGGGCATGTTGTTCTTGAGCCAGAGGACCTTGGGGATCTCCATCTCGATGCTCATGGTGCCGCCGACGTATTTGAGCAGGTTGTGCTCGGTGGCGTTGATCTTCTCCGTCTCCTCGACAGGCCGGTGGTCGAGCCACAGGATGACGTTGCGGTCGTTACCGTCGGCGTTGTCAAAGTCGGGCCCCGTCACGGCGACGGGCTCATCCGTGTCGTGGCTGAAGACGGCGAGAGAGCAGGTGGCGTCGAAGCCGATACCCTTGATCTTGTCGGGGTCGACCTTGGATTCGTTGAGGACCTGCTTCACGCAGTGGCAGATGCACGCCCAGATGTCTGATGTCGATTGTTCCTGGTGGGAGCGTCAGCAGAGCTCGACCGCACGCGCGCAGGCGACTCCAGGGAATACAGAGAGCAGGTAAGGTTCAAGGAGAGCCTACATAGTATCCGGTCTCGGGCTGCCACAGCTTGATGGGCTCGCTGGCAAGGCCCTTGATGTCGCCGGTCTCGTCAATGATGCATGCTCTGGCCGACCCAGTGCCGACGTCAATTCCGACGTAGTGGTCCTGTTCAATTGCTTCGAGTCAATGGCCTGCGGCTCTCGGGGGGGGAGCACGAGCAAGCTCCAATCGGTCAGACTCACGAGAACCTGAGGTGGTGCGGTGGATTGAGGAGGCCTGGCGAAGACTTGTCAGCTACCTGGGCGCTTCACGAAGCTTCTAAACCGAGGGCCCGACGGCGTGGTCGCAGGTCGCTTGGTGTGACGGTAGAACTTACTCCATGATGCGCGATGTGCAACGCTGGGAATTTCACCTGAAGACGGGGCTCTATCTAATCACACAACGAAGAGGAGACGGTGGGTCGTCTCGTGTCAATTGGCAACAGAATCTACAGGACAAGAACGCGGAAGGAGGAGAAGATAGAGCTCCTGGGGACGACGCGCAGCTTTTGTTGATCAACAAAATGGATGACGGGGAGCTCTCTGCTTAAAAAGAACACCTCGACACGGCCGGGAGGGCATGGCAGGGACACGTCTGGTCAACCAGACCGGATTTCCATTCTCGGCACACACCACACACCCCTTCATCATCCATTCCTGTGACCAAGGGGACGTCGAGCGGGGAGCTTGCGCTTTCCGCTGAGCTGGGTGAACGAAGTGCGTGAGAGAGTGCACCGGTGTGGTGTCTGCCCAGGACCTGGACCCCTTTTGCCCCTCCATCGAGTGGGGTAAGGATGAGAGGTAGGTACCAGAGCTACCCTGCTCGGTATAAGACTGCATGTACATGATGCAAGAGGACTCAAGTGTCCATCCAGCCGCGCGGATGGCAAACAAAAAACAAAAAAACTGGAGGAAAAGGGAAAAAAAAGCTGTCTGGTGTGTGTGTGTGTGTGAAAGCTGCAGTTCCAAGCGCTATCCGGGGTCCAGCTGGGCTCACCCCCGCACCGGGGGCAACAGCGGCAGACGGGATGGAGGGCAGTGGAGGGGCAATCGGCCAGGATACATCGACATGCCACCACCACCTCTGGGAGAGGAATCAGCTGTCAATTGTTTCTCTGCCTTTGTACATACAATGCGCCTGCGAACCTGCTCCTGTAAGCTAGGTGGTTGTGCTCTGTAGATCCGGTCTGCATTGGGAAACCCCAAGCAGCCGGCAGACGACGGGGCCGCGACTGGAAGCAGATGCGCTTGAGGGGAGAACCGGGGGATGCTCGGGGAACCTGGAAGCAACTGGGAAAGCCGGGTAGGTCCCTGGATGGCCAGGCCGCATGGGTCCCCCAAAGCCCCAATCAATGCTTCAACACCACGGCCAGAACGGAGCTCAACCACAAGCTGGGTGCGTCTGGGTGGTTGAAGCCCGACATCCCCGCCGTCGCCCGTCTGGGGGCAAAAAAAGAATGGAAGAAAGGGATGGAAATCCGACCCCGCCATGACCGTGTTTTCCCCACATGGTTCCAGACGAAGCGTTAGCTGTGAACCCAACGGGCTGCCTTTCTCAGCAAGAGCTGGGTCATCCAAGCATCATGTTGCAGATGGCATGTTCCGTGGGCTTTCGATACACACTCGGACTTTCTTTGCAGTTTCTTTCTCCTTCTTCCTCGTCCTCGCCCACCGCCATATTCAGAACAGAACCGTTGCTCCTCCAGCCCTCACAAAACCCGGGGGTTACGCTCTGATGCAGATCGATTCAGTTCGACGGGTCCGAGTTGCAAGCAACATCCCTGAACGGACAACGGGTTCGACCATGAAGTCGCCAAACCTGTTGACTCGAAAACTCGAGAGGAAACATGAATTTTTTGATAGAACAAGGAGAACGCGGCAGCCCAGGCCAAGCCCCCATGTAAGACACCCAATGTAAGACATCGAGAGATAGAGAGACACCCGACGCCGAACTTCGGGAAGCCAGAAATGGTGGTCCGGGAAGGGGGCGTGTGGACATCCACCGTTTCTCCCTGACTATCTTGCCTCTTCAGCATGAGGCAGCGGGCCCAATCAGCCCGAGCTCAATCCAGATTTCCCAACCGCCGCGCTGCCATCGTCATCCACCGTACCGTATTGCTGGCGCCAGAAAGCATGCGTTCATCCCACGCCATGGTGGCTCATCAAAACAAAACCACCACGCTTCTCCATATTTTTTCCATCTCTCCCGCCTCCATACGACCCAATTGTTGCCCGACACTGCCCCCCCCCCCAGACTTTTATTGGAATCCCTTTCCAGTTTTGAGTAAAGAGTGAAAACACACTTGAAAACAAAAGTGGTTTTGCCAGCCCGCCCAGACCCGATCGACCCTCAGGGCCGCTCTAGCCCGCCACCTTACTCACCACCGGCCTTGCTGTTGGACCGACAGATTCGGGAGACCGGTTTGCGTGGGAGGCCAGCAGGGATTCTCGCAGATGGGTGTGCCTCCGTCGCGTGCGCCTAGGTAGCACAGAGTCTAGACTGTGGAGAATGGGAAACGCATTCACTCAACCTCTAAAAAAAAACATGGGTCACAAGAAGCTCGTGTGGAGAAACATTTCCAAAATCATGAGCGGAACTCCTTTTCCAACGCGAGTGCAACGAGAAACGTTCAAGGTGTCATTCCTCTATTTCCGCTGCCAGGGCTGCATAACGAGCCCGCCGCTAGCCTGGGGTGGGGGTTGCCCGTTTTATTAATAAAGTCGGATGTCTCGACCGCACGATAACACATGATGGAAATGTCTGCGTGTCCATGTGAGCAGTCGACCAGGCTGCCCCTGATGCTTGCTCCCGCAGCCACTTGTGCAGTGTTGCGGTGTGCTCCGCCTGCCTCCGGCCTGTCTTTTCTTTCCTCCCCTTCATGAGCAGGTTGGACGAACACGCAGTCTCCGCTGATGTGGCTAGCCTTGCCAAGCATGTATGTCGACTGCGATACCGAAGCTCCTTCTGCCGATCACTTGCCCGGCAGCTCCGACCAACGGAGCCTCACCACGCTTCATTGGTGTCCGCTCTCCGGTGTTCCGTGCGTGCCGATCCCCTTCTCCCATGATCGACTCCCACCCCGACCCCATTAGATTTCTTTTTCCCCCTCTGTCTCTTGGACGTGTTGGCATTCCCGTGTAGGGTTGGGGATTTTCAACTCGCCTCACCGCTTTGGGGTCGCACGGTTCGTCACCAGCCGACATACGTGGCTTGGCACCGCGTAATGCTTCCGGGAGGCGTTTCTCGATCGTAGGCGACGGGGCGGAGGTGGCTTTCGCGAGCTATCTAGTGCAATACAATATTTCTCCACGAAGCCGTCAGGTCTTCGAAACGGCCTTCGTCTGTTTACTGGATGTACTTCTAGTAGTCGAGTTCTGTCTTGGGCCATTTTGCTGCGTCTTTGTCTTTCTTCATCCTGCCGCGTAAGGACTTCAAGTCACCCTATTGGCATGCGTCAGTCCGAGCTCGTAATAGTCCACGCTCATCCATCAACTCACCTCTGCTTTGCGCTTGCCCAGCACCGGCTCGGGCGTTCCCCTCGAGTATACAGGTGTGCTCTCCCTGGCCTGTGTCGCTTCCGAGTGACAGCTGTAATGATATGCTCGGTTGCCGACCAGCGTAGTGTCCAACCAAACCCACTCTTGGGCAGTATCCAACCACTTATTCTCGAACTTCTCCTGGCAGATGGGACAAACGCTGTTGATGCCGCTTGAGGCGTCCGGCACCGGGATGTACCGAGGCTTGGCCTCCTTCTTCGCCCGACCGGGACTGGATGATGAGCTGTCCGCTGATTGGGCATGGTCGACGTCGATGGCTTCTCGCGATTTGAGCCAGTCCTGCCACGTGTTAGATATCACTCACGCTTCTCATCGGTCTCGGTAACTCACATTGCTGTCGACATACCAGCTGCGGTGCTGGCCTCTCTTTTCTGCTTCCGCAAGACGTTGGTGAGCCTTGAAATGCCAATCCATGTGTGCCATCTTCTTCTTTCTGCCTTCCTCGTCCGTTTTGAACCGTCGGCCGCACTGAGTACACTGGGGACCCAGTTGTTCAAACATGGAGGGAATCAGGTGTGGCTGGAACCTGCAAAGTGTTAGCACTCATGGACCACGCGTAGGCCCTAGAGACAACTCACTGCTGTTTGAGGGCTGTGGCATCAAGTTGGTTGCCGTTCATGCCCCCCAGCGGAGGACGCGGCGGCAGTTGACCCGATGCCAGCAAGCTTGCAAGGTTAGGGGGCAGCAAGCCGTGAGGCAGCATGGGCATTCCGGGAGGTGGTACTGGTCCCAGAGGAGGTGCCGGTGTTGGCGTTGCGTTCGGGGCTGGTCCAGGAAGCAGTCCAGCTTGTCGCAAGCCGGCCAGCAAAGCCATGGGATCCGCTGACGGCGTCGCACTGGGCTGCCGATACGGCTCAACCTTTTGCGGCGGAGGAGACCGGATCGCCATGTTGGTCAGGGGAGGCGGTGGTGTAGCAGCCTGTGGTGTAGCTGACTGTCTCGACAACAACGCAGCAAGAGCTCCTTGGCCGAGGAGTGCATCAAGCGTCACTGCACCTTGCTGCTGTGGTGGCCCGGACGTAACTACAGGCGCCGCAGGAGGCGGCGGTGGATGAGAGGGGACGGGTGTAGCAGCAGGGGTTGAGCTCTGGGCCGAGAACGGCCTCACTTTTACAGCAAGATCGGCTACTTGATTCTTAATCAGGATCAACTGGTCCTGGGGCAAGTTCTGGTGTTGTAGCAAGCTCTGCACATCCAACAATGCCTTCAGTCTTTGTTGAATACTATGATCATGTGGGTTTTGCGCAAACTCCAACTTCGACGCATCAATCAACTTCTGGATATCTTGTCCCAGAGAGTCTTTGCTTATCCCAGCAGCTTGAGGCGGACCCGAGAGTCCAGCCGCGTATGACATTTGTGGAGGGGGCTGGTAGGGGCCAGGGGCCGCTGAGGGCTGAGCACTGTATGACGGCGGAGGAGGCTACGGTTCCTGTTAGTATCCGGTGAAGATGGCCAAGAGAGTGAGAACGACATACCGCGTAAGGGGCCATTTGCGGGTGATGAGGAAGCGGCGCGCTCGGAGGCCGATTGCCGTTCGCCTGCGGCATGGGCGGGGGCTGGCCATATGGCCCCGGTTGATTCGATCCAGGCCGCATGCCTGGCGGTGTCGGGGTTTCGCGGTAGGGTGCAGCAGGCGGTCGACCGCGGCCAGCTCCTCGTCCTTGTTGGGCTTGGAGAGCCGATGTGCGGGCCTTCAGCAGGGCATTCTCGATGGGTTGCGTTACCTCGGGGGCAAATACTGGGCGCTTATCGAGAGATCCGGGGACTGGCTCCTTCCATGTACGAAGCATTTCGTCCATCTTGCGGCGAACCTGACCGTCCACAGCGGCGTACGCCTCCATGAAGGTCGTGTATAGCTTGGCTCCGAAGAACAGTGTGTACGGAGTGCCGACATTCTTGACGATCGAATCGAGGACGTAGAGGGCCGGTAGCTTCTTATGTGCTGGAGCCTGCGGGACATGTCAGTAGTGGTCGAGTCGTTCGGTAGCTACAACCTCGCGGCTTCAGACGCCGCGGCTGGGAACAAGGAAGCAGACGGCGCGCGTGCGGGCACCAAGAAGCAATGAGGAGTATGGCCTACCTTCAGAATGTGGTCCTGCAAAACTTCAGAGATGACCTGGGCATGTTCGGTTTGCTCTCTCGCAATCATCGTCAGATTGCTAATTTCGAAGCGCACGTTGGTAGTCAAGTCTTCAAGAGCTTGACGGTAGTCCTCTGCGACCTCGGCGGCGGACGATTCGTATGACATGGCTGCGAACTGTTCCTAGTTGACGATAGTTCTGATGAAAAAAGGTTGGTCTGTCAAGAGCACGCGATGGCGAGCGGGAACTGCTGAGAAGCGAAGACGCAGTGGCAGCGGGGAAGATTCAGATCGTCCTCGACCAAGGTCAAGCAAGCCTCCTTCACCGTATGCGATTGAAAGCACAATAAACCACCCTTATTATGGAAGCGCGCCAGTCTGCTGCTTTGAAGGAGAGACGTCGCTGGTAACCTAAACTGGGAGGGGCCGCTTTGCAATTTCCAATTCTCGCGTCCAGACCCTCTTTCTGCTCAAGTCCTCCGCACCACAAGCCAACCAGAACCAAGCAGAGAGCGAGGAAGCCGTCACGACATCATCCGATGGAAAGCTATCGCGATCGCTTGGGGATTGCAACGAGAAGCTCGTTGATGCCGGCGAGCGTATGGGAGCGTCGCGAAGATGGCGAAGACAAAGGGCAAGGGGAAGTGGCAGTTGGGCAGTCACGAGGAGGCTGTCGCAGCGACAGAAGAAGTCAATGGGCGCAAATAGAGTTTGGCGACTGGCAAGCCGATTGTATGCGGTTTGTGAGTAATTGGGAAATCGTCGTATGGTGTTGTAGTGGGTGAGGGAAAGAAAGGTCCGATCGGCAGCAAATTTGTCGAAGAGGAGATTGACGTCGGGTCGTCCGTCCAGTGTTCGGAAGTAAGCTGAGGCTGCTGGCGGGCGGCGGAAAGCGACAGCAAAAGCAGGGCCTGGGCCAAAGGCGGGCCCACCCGAGCTGCTCACGTGCTTTCAAAGCACAGACCAGAACCAAGGGGAAGAAGGGGCAATCTCGTTGGGTTGGACTTGATTGAGCTCAGTTCTACACTGACATTACTGAAGCTCCATTATTTAATCTCACTTGCAACAGGTGTTTGCTGCTATTTGATCTCGTGAATCAGTCGCTTCGAGGCCGCACAGTAGTGACTCGAAGCCAGCATGAGGCTCTCTGGATATGGCGGCCGGCTTCCCAGAAGAGATGTCTCCGAATGGAAATGAGGCCAACCCACCACTGGGGAGGTTGCTTTGCTTTTCTTCTTTGATACAGTTTCAACTCAATGTTCATTGTCGCACAAACCGGAAAGAACAATCCAAGATGCTCACTCATTTATTTGCCATACACAGTTAGCGCCCACCGGGGTATCGGGGAGTTCAAACAAAACCGTCAGAAGAACCCAACTTTAGGAGCTCCCTGTGCTAATTATCGTCATCGAAAATAAGATATGAAATAATCATGTGCTGTTTGTTGGCCAGTTCTTATTTGAAGGCGGACGTTGAAGATGAGTCCTCGCGGGGATGCAAGCAGGTTATTAAAGCGTCCAGGGTCGGCTTCCTGTTCTGCTGCTTACTCGCGCCATTCCAAGGGCAACATGGTTACGCGAGGCTCCCCCCGGCCTGCGTGCAATGCTGGCGCTTAAAATCACGTTTCCGAAGTTGGAAGACTGACACCGCACCCCAGGGCGGCTCAGATTAGATGCGAGTGCTTTCAGACCCGACACTGCCTGCAGGGCGGCTAAGTCTCTCAAGCGCGGACGGTCTTCCTCGTATCCAAGTTAAGACCTTGAAGGCCGAGACCTGGGCTAAAGATGGCATCATGGAATAGGTGGTACAGGGCGGGCGCTTGTTAGGCGACCTTCCAGCAAGTCTCAAGTCCACAAATTACTTGGATGCGAAAGCGGATCCCGTCCGATGCGCCGGAAGTCTCTTGAAGCACGGTCATTTGGAATGTCCAGTCTTTCTGGTTTTCTTTTTCACGACCGAGTTTCGTTTGATCATGATGCAGCATGTAAGCGATCATGGCGTCTGGGGGCACTAAGTTGTCCACCTCAGACGGACGCCAGACAATCGCGCGAAGAGCTATGACCACGTCTAAGGTTCATTACCTATCAAGAGACCCGAGGTTGAGGTCTTCAGCTGGTAACAGTTATCCCAACGACTCTTGTTCAGCTGCTTGGTGTTATTCTTGACATTTTGTAAGGTGCCTCGGCCAGCCTTCTATGCGCCTAATGAGACCAAACCGTACGATGATGGGCTTCGTCCAACTTGACCAGAAGCTGACGGGCAAGTGGTACTACGTCAGACATCCTGCCACTAACAGCCTAGGCGCAAACAGCGGCGTCACCACGATACTCCTCTCCTGGCTTTCGAAATTATATCGAAACTAAGCGTTGGCTTCGCCGAAAGAGGAGGTGTTGACTCATGTGCTCTTCAGTCATCGTTGATTTGGTAGTAAGAGTTCCGCACAGGAGGTTTGAGGCTAACCCGTGTGATAGAGTCGCATTCGGGAGAGCCAAAGACGCCATGCGGTTGAGGATCAGTAACGGCAGGGGCGCACTCCGTGCCTCTGTCGCACTACCTACAGAGCAATCCGATTACTGTGCAGAAACCGCCCCAAACCAAGCCGACGCACATGTACCTTGCGTTGCCGCTCACACTGGAAATTGCACCGTCCAGCCCACCCGCCCTGTAGCGAATCGGTACTCGTTGCACCCGCAGGGGTTTGCCAGCAGGCCTCCATGCCTGACATGTTGGCCGGCGGCTGTCTTTGCTAAACTCGCATGAAACAGAGCGTCGTCGCCCGTCATCCAATCAATCCGGCGTCGAGCCCGAAAACTGAGAACCTGCCATGTCCCTTACACGCACGCACGCTCTCTCTCTCGACTGTCAACAGTCAACAAGCAACATGTTTACGAACTGCACGCAACAACGGTCCACCCTTGCCGCTATCTAATTAGCCCACGATGCTGCTTGTTATCCTCTTAATGTCTGGGCCTCGATGCTTGAACATTCGCCTCCTGTTCCGCATCTTTGCCGCCCTCTCATAGGACCGTCTTGGCTGCGCTTGCTTCCCTGGCCCTTGACGAGCGCTGCTGCGGTCAGACTTTCAGCGCACGATTGGATGAAAGCGACCCACGGCATGTTCATGCCACACACATGGCCTCTACCCTCCAGGCCCCTCCTTCGTCTCGTCTTCGCTCTCGAAGAGCACTGGGGGATCTGTATCGAGAACCGAGAACCAGAGGACAACAGCAGCTCCACGGGGAGAATGGGCTCGCTCACATGCCGCAGGCCATCGCTGCCCGACCATATGCGAATCGTATCGTGGCCAAGTGCCAAATGACTGACAGATGCCCCCCGGTCTAGATAACCAGCGCTGCAAGTGCTCGATCAGAGCACTCGCGTTGAAACCGCGTCAGAACGCCGCCGCACAGCATCGGCTGGAGCCTCAACCGCAGGAAGTACAGCTGCTTCCGTTGCCGCCGCTGTTCGAAGCCTCCCATGTCTCCCTCCCCATCCCCATCCCGCATGTCCCACACCCCCGTAGCCTAGTCCTCGTAACGCCGGGACATCGACAGATCGTCCAAGCCGTTCGTGAGAGAACCCTTGAACACTCCATCGTCCCCAGCCGACACATCCCGGCCTTGATGGCCCCTTCGCGCTGCCAAATCGATTGGCTGCCAGCTGCTCGAAACTTTTTGGCTGCAATGCGAAACAACGAATGGGGAAGGCCGCCGGGAGACTCCCTCGGTCAAACAATACCTGAGTTTGCTCTTGCCTTCTTGATGGTAAGAGGAAATTTCAGGTGACGTGCTGGACGGGAACAGTAGCTCTTCTCCCCTACCTTGCATTATCAGTTTCGCCCCATGTTTCTTTAAGCTTGACAAGGGAACACAGGAACACTCGGGGTATTGTCCGTATTAAAGGAGAAGGAGCTCCCGTCCCTCCTTCCTTTGAAGTCGAACCTATCTACCGGTCCTTTGGCAGGCGCTTCTTCCCCCCTCCTTCCTCCCATTGAACACTCGTGAACAGATTCTGTTCTTGGGAATCTACTAATCCTGTTCACATACAATCCTTCTCGCCCCCATCGTGAAGCTCTCCACACTTTCTCTATATCCCTACCTTTGCCTGGACTGGTTTCCAGCATCATTTCCTACTTGTCTGATAATCATAACACAAACACCCCCACTCAATACGCAATACCGAATTGCTACTCCGTTGGATCTCTCAGTCTGCTTAGTAGGACTAAGAATTTGCTACCAACCTCATCACCATCGAACTCACCGGTAGCTACTTGCCTTGGAAACACTCCTTACTTGTTAGTTGCCTCGCCATTCCGAGACGACGAGCTCCTCGCTAACAACGCCTTCAGAATCTTCAGTTGCTTCGTCCTTATCGGTCCGTTCTGCTGCAGGACCTTCGGCGTCTTCTGCTTCTCCAGCTTCTTCAGCTCCTCCGAACTCTTCGACTTCTGCCTCCCGTGCGAACCCCAAGAAGCCTTGCTGCGGACAGTGCAGAAACTGCTCCTCCACGAACCCCAAGTCGCCTGGTAAAGCTTGCTGTGGAGAGTGCGCAAACTGCGACCTCAACAAGCCCCCAAAATGTTCAACCTCTCCGAGAACTCCAGCCTCCGTGGCTCCGGCCACATGATCCTCAACGTCTTCCGGGCCTTCAACATCATCGGTCTGCTGGCCGTGAGCGCCTCGACCTGGGTCATGATTGTCATGTCCATTCTCAAGGGCCACTTCGCCTTCTTCGTCTCCATCTCGCACTTCTTCATCTTCTCTATCGCCGTCTTCCTCATCGTCTCGGAGCTCAACGTCTTCCGCAACTACTTTGAGCGCAACTGGCCGGTCCTCTCGTGCGAGCATGGGCTCAGCTGGCTGGGCATCGCGATGATCGTCATGGGCTGCCACATCCTCGCCAACATCACCAACCCTGCTTTTTCCGCCGAGACCATCGGTCTGCCCCTGTGGCGCCTCATTCTCGCCTCGGGCATACTGGTCATCACCTTTGGCTTCTTCAACGTCATCTCGTCCATCGTCTTCCGCGACGGTCACAACGGTATCAATGCCCGCAACATCCGCAGCGATGGCACCCTCGCCTCGGGTAAGAATTCGTTCGTTGACGGTTACTCGGTGCGGAGCAACTCTATTCGCGATGAGAAGCAGGCGAATAAGTTCAAGCGCTTCACGCAAAAGTTCCCTACTCCCTGGAACAAGAGCAACACCACCACCACCACCACCACCGCTGCTCGCCCCAACATCAGCGGCCCAATTATCCCCGATATCGAACACGGCCATGCCTCCGACTCCGACAGGGACTGGGACGAGGACCGCCGCAGCCCCATCATGCCCGAGATTAACCGTCCACCCACCGCGCTGCATCCCATGAACACCGGCAACACCCGCTTTACCAAGTACAGCGAGGTCAGCGACATGACGCGCTTCTAAGTGTGGGGGTTGTTGGGGAATCCGAGGAGGTAACTTCTCATTACGAGAAGAAAGACAGTCAATGGCAGATGGGCAATTTGCATAACAGGGCTGACACAGCAGAGTATGCATACCCAAGGGCCATGGGGAACGGCGTTTCACGGATGATTTAATTTGGCTTGGGAGGAAAAAAATACCCGGCAGATTGGCATGTTGTACGGCCAGGAATTTGATATTTGGGAAATCTTTCTACAGACCGATCAGCTGCACTCAGATTTTGCAAAGAAACAGGACAGACGGAGACGATCTGGGATGACAGAGAACAAACAGTAATTATCAAGCTTCGTTGAAACATGAAGTTCCATGCATTCCCCTGTGACCCGTGACATTTGGACGCAGAGCCTGTCATCCAGGAAGTCCCAAAGAAAGGTTCCAGCCATACTCTGTGGCCGGTGGCAACGAGGTGCTCTGCGCAGGACTGATCCTCGTGATGGTCGATGGGATCGTGCTGAAGGCGGCAATGCGAACTGCGTGCCCCGCCCCTTTAACCATCCCAGCTGGTGATCCATGCCCGTTGGTCTCCACCTGTTTGGAGTCCTGTTCAGAATTTTCACCTCAACCAGACGGGTCCCTACACCACCAGGAATGGCGTCCAGGGGAACACGCATAGCAGTGCTGCTGGATGAGGTGACAGATTAGGCAGAGCCGTCCTGGAGGGGTTGACACAGCCGTAGAGGCGACGACAAGCCGCAAGCCTGGCCAAGTCGAACGAGGATGCCTCATCCGCCAGGGCGAACGAAACCAGGCGGATGGCTGCTTTTACGATGCAATCACGGGGCGAAGTGGAAAAGGGGACGGGAAGTGTTGAAGATTTCTCACAAATCACATAATTCATCATTATACGCCCGCCCGTTATGTAAGAACCTCGGAAAAGTCTGTTCCATTTTTCGTATCGATTTGAATTTTGTCCCTCCCGGAGTCTCAGACCGGGGGGAGAAGAACACTCCAGCGCATGATATCAAGTGCTTTCCCAAGTTGTCGTCGAAGTAGCATCCCGAGTACCACCCATGATGAAGATGACGATCCACCGTAGCCGTCCTTGTGTCCTTGCAATCCGTGAACACCACACCCGGCAGCCGCCGTTGTTTTTGAAGAGACGATGATGTTGTCGTCGGGGCGAACCACCACGTCAACCGCGGAATCCTCCATTGCTGGACGAAACCGCTTACCGGTAGCGCCACAGGGAGAGGGTGTTGTGGCGCTTCCAGGTCTTTCTGCGGCCGGCCTGGGTCTTGTTGTAGCGGTGGCCCTTGTTGAGGCCGCGGGACTTCTTGCCGGTGGCGGTGAGGCCGCGGGACTCGCGGTGCTTGTGGACGGGGGCGACGATCCAGTTGATGCGGGGGTCCTGGCGGATGGCCTTGTGCTGGGGGTCGACGAGGATGACCTCGAAGTACTTGTAGGTCGAGTCCTGGTTAACCCAGTACGAGTTGAGGACGCGCAAGTTGGCGCAGCGGCGGCCGACACGCTCCTCGGCGGTGGAAGCGAGCGAGCGCTGGTACTTGAGCTGGTTGACACCCTGGTTGGTGGGCTTGCCTGCGGTTCCAATCCTGTTAGCAATCTCTTCTTCCACTTCCGGTTGCGACGGGACCACGACGACCGCTCGGCGGCGGGGTTCGTTCCGTCTCGTGGGAGTCGATTCAACGTACCGAAGGTGGCACCCTTGGCGACGGGCTTCTTGCGGCCTCCACGGCGGACGCGGACACGGTAGATAACGTAGCCCTGCTTGGCCTTGTAGCCGAGGCGGCGAGCCTTGTCGGGGCGCGAGGGACGCGAGGCGCGGTGGATGACATTCAGCTGTCGGAGCTATATTGATGCACTCTCAGCAAATGTTCAACGAGTGTATAGCAGGAACGCAAAGTTCTCTCGACCTCTCCATGCCTCCCTTCCCTCTACCAATTCTCGAATTGATGGCCCCTCCCAGTCGTCTGGGAGGGGGGATCAAAATTCGACAATCGGTATCGGTAGGGAGACAGGAGAGACGAGTGGAGACTTGTCGTGCGTCCACATGGATCGGAATCGGGTGGTTTCAACGTACTTCCCAGCAGCGAACACGCAGAAGGAAGCGCATCACATCGGACTGCTTCTTCTTCTGGAGCTCTTCGACATACTTGAGGGCACCCATTTTGACTGCGGCGACGGCGTCAGGTTAGCCTCTTGAATTGGCAGACGGAAAAGAAAACGAAAAGAGCGGCGGTGTTGTCGGGAGGGAGAGGGGACAAACCAGCTGTTCACGTAAAATCCGGCTGCCGAGGTTTTGGTGGTGGTGTTGATGAAAAATTGGCGACGACGATTGAGAAAGTTCGAAAGTGGAAGTGGGAAAATTCAACGAGAGTTGTGCGATTCTCAGTAAGCGATGTGCTAATCCAAATGTGGCTAGCGCCATTGGGTTTGCCCCGAACCTAATTGTGGAGCAATTTTTGCCGTTCGGTGAATGGTGTTCGGTGAGTGGCCTCGGTGTGCTCATCTTTCGGTGAAACATCCCCTACGATGCTACCCGACCCAACCAATTCCAGCAGTTCTTGTTTCAACATCATGTCGTTAACCAACGTGCTCTGGAGCATCAAATACCTCGCCTTTTACTCAGAGACTCGTCCGCCGGTGGAGGAGTTCTGTTTCTATCTTTCTCAAGTCGGCAGTCCCAAGTAAGCTTGTTCAAGACCAATGGCCCTCATGAAAGTTTTTTCCACCACCAACGTTGGACTTGGTATTCCGTTTCGGCTTGTCCACGTTCGCAGAGCTCGATCAAAAGCTGAAGTGCTTCCAGTGTGGTTTTCTGTCAAACAGTCCGCTGGCACTCTCGGATCTTTGACTGAATCCCGTCCACTGCCTGTCTCGTCAAAGACTGTTGACGTGCGAGCTTTTCGATAGTGGTGGAACCCGTAGATATGATTTGCTATCAATTTGTCTGAGAGTAATTTCTCGGCTCGTAGGAGTCGCTCGCCAGCGACCCATTCAGAAAGCTCGTCTGGCATTCCAATGGCGCCGAAATGCAACTGCGCATCTCTTACCAGCCTGGCCAAGAAGTCTTGACTAGTTCGGCCAGATCAGGGTTTGTCGCGCAGTGGAAATGTGCCCCGGTACACTCACCTATCTTTCTTGGTTGTTGCCAGCCCTTGCAGGCATCCATCTTGGACCCGGTCCGTAGTACCTTGTCCTACGTGCTGCTCCTCTCTTTGCTGGAGCCTCCTCTGCAGAAGGGCGAGTGACCGTAGCTCAGCCGGCGAAACTGGCCGGCTAGCTTCTGCCAGGTCTGATACCACATTCGTACCATTTCTTCTTTGAGGTCATCGCCTTCAGGCATGCCAATGCCGAGGGTCTGTGGTTCTCCCTATACATCACTCATGATCAAGTCTCCCGCCCCCCCTTGTGAACGTCAGATATTCTTGTATCCTGGCGGCGATTTTTCACAGAGTCTTAATGCTGACATCAGCCAAATTCCTACTAGACTGGCTGCCATAATGACCGGCCGGCATCCTTTATTTCCCCATGCGTGCGACGGCTTTGGTCTGCGGACGGCTCTGTGGTCTCTGGCCGACGACTCGAGCGTGCGGTTGTCGGTACCCGGAATTAGCTAAGGGCTTCGCGGATGCAAGTCTGCGCAACGGGGTGGTCTGATGGCCCAAAGATCTCAAAACTGCTAGGACCGCGAGCTATAATGGTGGCTGTTTGACTCTGTCGTTGTCGAGACGCTCATTGTGGAGGGTGGAAGAGAGAGAAGGCCAGCTTGTTGTCTCGGACAACAGGACATGTTAAAACACCTCACTTGCACCCTCCCGTCCCCAAGTTGAGGCAGGGAAATCGACAACTGGTCGTGAAGTTACACGTCGTGCCTTGCTCACGTGGTGTTGCTGGAAAAAGGACAGACAAATTGTTGCGGGCGCCTTGTGGGTGAAGCAGTCTCGCCAGACAGCGGGTCAGCACGGCAGTTGCTTGCAACGATGAGTGAAAAGACAGGGTCTTCTCATGGTATCCCGGTTATCGAGAAAGCACGTGTGAGCCGTTTTGTACGGAAGAGGACCCTGTAGGACAGAGCCAGGGACATACATCATGCCTTTCGGCGAGGCATCGGCCTCTCATGCTGTCCCTGACTCACCCGTTAAGAGACGCAAATATAACGGATCACGCGCAGCAAGGTAGCAAGTTTAGATAGCTGTTAAATCGTCATGTTCTCGAAGCCTAAAGTTGACGGAATAGCAAAATCTTTCGTACAAGAATCCGACACCGAGCCATTAACCAGAACCACAACCAGAAACACAAGTCCCTTTTTGATCTCAGGTTACACCATGCTCGTGGGGGGGTGGGGTGAAATAAAGTAGTAAAGGAAGTCTCTCTGTCTATGTCGGTAGTGCCCTGAGTAGTAGTGAAAGTCTCTCAATGTCCTCTTGAATCTCTCATCATCATGAATTTGGGGGAGGGTAAGGCCGTGGTTCCTGAGTCTCGAAGAAACAAACATAAAAAGTGAAAGTGTTTTGGGGTTCAACATGTCTCTTTCCGTTTTTTCCCTTTATGTCTTCTTTTTTTTGTCTTCCGAAAAGAAGCACAAAGGTCCCACCGTTTTTGACAATTTAAAAGCAGAAATGGAAACCTTCCAACGCCAACAGTGAGAGAGAAAAATATTGCCGGGCTCTGCAGCCATCGGCTATGCTTACAACACCTCAGCCATGCTGACCTTATCCATGTACGATAAGCCGTTATGGCGACAGTGCGTTTGGATATGTCGAGGGGCGAACAAAAAGTAAAATGCTCATTGAGGAGCTCGACCAGTCGGCGAATGTAGAATGCAGATCAAAAGTTCGCTGTCGAAACGGAGAAGGTTCCTCAACGACTGTTCAACGAAAGACCTTGAAACGCGGCCGCCCAGTCGCTCTGAGGGTTCATGGTACCTCCGCCCGGCTCGTGTGGGCCGGCTTCAGTTCCCGGCGGGAAACGGGATCGCATCTGGTAGTCGGCCGCTCCTGGGAAGCTGTAGTTGTCGAGCGACGGAACGACTCCCGGCACGTAGGGCATGTTCCCAGGCCTGGGCGCACTGCCCATGCCGCCCATGTGCGAGTAGGGATAGTTCGGTTGACCGAAGCCGGCAGCGGGGCCCCCAGGTCTCTCTCCGCCGAACGGTGGAGTGAAGGAGTTTTGGAATCCACGGCCGGTCGGACCAGGGCCACCGAATCCTCCAGGTTGCTGGTCCTGCTGCTGCTGCTGCTGTTGTTGTTGCTGCTGCTGTGCAGAGCGTCGCTCGGAGTTGTTTGAACCACGACCGACACCGACCGCTCCAGGTCCAACACCGCTGGGAGCTTGGATGCCCAAGGTCGGGCTGGCAAAGGAGGCAGGGTTAATGGCCGACATCCAGATTCTGGTCTTATAGATCTTGAACAGATCCGTGACGAGAGAGTTGAAGTTGATGTACGAGTCAGCAAAGTAGTAGAAAGTCAACTTCTTCCAGTCCCTGTTGATGGTCAATCTCATCATTTGTTATCTTGAGTTTGTCTTGAAGAACTCACATCTGGAATTCGGCATCGAGGATCTCCATGTTCAATCCATGCTCCTTGACCTTTTGCATACAGACACGCTTCGCCTTGGCCTCGTTGCCCTCCTTGTCCCGCAAGGCGTGGATTTCGTGGCTCTGGGCCAGACGCTTGATCAGCTTCGGCTTCAGCTCGCCAGCATTGGGCTCTTGCATGTGGTGTTGGTTGGGTGGGCCCATTCCGCCAACAGCGCTGCCCTGGAGACCGTTCGCGGCCGCCATAAGGCCGGCGCCTGTACCATCCTGGGCAGCGGCAGCGTTCTGAGAGTACATCATCAGCCACTTGTACTGTTCCTCGGCGTAGTGCTCCTTGAGCTCTTTGGCAGTCTGCCAGTCGACGTTATCCCGCGCGACGGTGCCGAGGTCGGTTCCTCGATCGGCCTCTACAATGACCAAGTCACCCGGCTTGACGGTCAGGCCGGTGCCCTCCTGGATGTAAAACACATCGGCTCTGGCGCACTTGAACAGGACGATGTGCAGCAGCTGGTTGTGACGCGGCTGCGACATGCCATAGACGTTGCGATGAGGCGACGGTGCACGGTTTCCATAAGGAGGGTGCATCGCATACGCCGACGGGAACGGGTTGTTGAACTGCATGCTCTGGGGAGGGGCCGCAAGACCTCCACCGGGAGTGAAGTAAGCAGCTATTACCCGGTTAGTCTCGTGCGTTGGGTAGCCACGCCAATGCCACTTACCAGTGTTGCCGAGAGGGTAGTTCTGGTTCTCGGAGTAGCCCATGGAGAAATCCTGGGAGTGCTGCTGCTCGGCGACGGGGTTGTCGAGCGCGTTGAACGACTCGTTAATGGAACTGATGGAGCCCTGGCGGGTCGGAATGTCCGCAAACGAGTGTCTTCGACTCTGCTGTCCCTCGGGGCCGCCAAAGCCAAGAGAGCTGTGCCAAAAAGCCTTTTTTACATTCTCCAGCTTCCGGTTCTCGTACGGCGACCGGAAACCAGACGCTCCATACTCACTCATCCTTCGACCCAAGGCTCTCTTCGCCGCCATCTCGTTTCCGTCGTTGGCCTCGTCTAGCTCGTCAATGGCAAAGTCGGACTCCTCGGGAACAGACTCGCGCAGAGCGTAACCGTTGCCAAGTCCGTAAGCCGCACCAGTCGAGGCTCGCGGGCGGAGTCGGTTCTGATACTGCTGCTGCTGCTGCTGCTGCTGCTGTTGTTGCTGCTGCTGCTGCTGTTGTTGTTGTTGTTGTTGTTGCTGCTGCTGACGAAGCATAGCGTTTTCACGAGCGAGCAACTCAATCGTCTTTGCCTCCATGGACTGATGCATGGACCCCTGCATGGATTCCGTCGCACTCTCGTCGTCGTCGTCGTCAACTTCCTTGACCTTTCCAAGCAGTCCCCCATCGTTCGACATCTCACTCAGCATGCTGGGACGGGAAGGCCGATGCTGCAGACCCGAGTGTCCATGGGCGCGACTGCGACCTAGGATCGCAGAGCTGCTCATCGCAGCCGAGGGTGCGTCAGGCTCCAACTGGCCGACAGAGTATGACTGAGAGCGGTAGGTCTTGGGGGTAGGGTGGAGAGGAATAGCAAAGGGGATCTGAGCGTTGGGGCCGGAGTCTCTCGGCGCGGGAGACGTCTGGCCATAGTTGCCGTCAGTATTGAAAAAAGAGCCTCCGGCTGAGCCAGGCGGCATCGTGGACGTGGGCGAAGGCAGGACTTCGCTCAGGCGCGAGGGAGGGTCCTTTCTCTCGTTGTTCCAGATGCCTGTTCCCCAGGTAAAAGAGCCCCCGGAAACCGGAGCGCGACCCATGACGCCCGATGGCTGAGGGTGAGTACCCCAGGGGGCGGTTCCTTCCGCAGAAGGGGTGCTTGGGTGTGAGGCTGTAGGAGACATGGAACTGCTGGCGAATGAACCTTTACGGGGTCGAGGAAGCGGTTGGGTAGTGTCGTTGAGCCAAGAAGCGCGTCTCACAGGCTTCTGCGGCTGGGTGGCCTGTTGAGGGGCTTCCTGGCGATGAGAATCAGCCTCGTCGTCCGAGCTCGCCAGAGCCTCAGAGTCGGGCGTTGATCGACGGTTGAGCTTGTCGAGGAGAATGGCGTGGTTGCTGACCCCAGAGAAAGCGCCCTGACCCTGCTTGGATGGCGGGCCGGGTTTGGCGGTGCTAGCGCTCCCCGTACCAGAACTCATTGTCCTCCTGTTGGGCGTTCCAAATGAAGGCTTGCCTCTGGATCAGCTCACACTGCGACTTGGCCAGCCTCGAAATTGCCAGAAGCGAGCTGATGATGGCTCTGGAAGGTTGCGAAGAACAATTTGTTCAAACGGGATGAGAGTGAGTCCTGAGCTGATGAAGTTGGTCAGGTGGTTTGTTCCAGGCGGTTAAAGCCGAACGAGACTAGTCGTTGTGTTAGCAGCTATGTCATCAAACGTTAAAGGCAAGCGCTGTGAGACAGGATGAAAGAGACGAGTTTCGCCGCAAGCAGCTTGGGCATCACGGCGAGCTGCGGCTCAGGCTGCAGGTCAAAGCTGGCGGCCACTGGCGAAGGGGAAATGGAAGGCGCCACGAGGTCCGAGCCACGAGCCAGAGACGGTCAAAGGCCGGCGCACAACGAGGGGTAGGGAAATGGATGAATAGACAAAAATCCCGAAAATCGAACCCCAGGTACGAGATGCGATGGGCCGGGTGGTCAGGAAGGGGGGGGGGGGGGCTCCCAAAACACAGTAGAGGGGCGAGATTCATGGGTGGGTTGGACTGAGGAGGAACCGGTGACACGCGCAAATGCAGTCAGACAGACGGACGATGGTGCCCGGCAATGTACCAACGGGCGGCTGTGGAGCTTGCCTTTGGAGCATTCTCCACCTGGCGGCGGCAGCAGCAGCAGCCTTGCCATAGGAAGAGGTGATTCGCACAGCAGAGAAGTGAAAAGGGGTACGTACCGAATTATGGGATACCGAGTAGGTCTATCGCCAGGGTATCGAGGTGCGCGATCTCTAGATGCTGAGGAACGGGTTGGCCGGGACCGAGGCGAAATCGGCGTGAGAAGGCGCGCGTGAGGTTCGACTTGAGGCTCGTGAGTGACGCCCGATGCGTGGTGTGGCGCGGTAGGTCGGGTCGAGACAAGATGGACGAGTGCTGCTCTGGGCGGAGTCGCAAGCGCAGGCAGCCGGGGCAGGGAGAGAGAGGGTGTCCCGGCAGAGAGTGACAAGATTAAGGCGTGGATGGAGTGAGAGTGAGAGTGAGAGTGAGAGTGAGAGTGAGAGTGAGCGCGCGATGGAGTATGAGAGTTTGGAAAGAGGAAAGAAGATTATGGCGCGCGTAGAACGGGAGCCGAAAAAAGCGCGAAAAGTCGTCTAAAACCAGTCCGTCTAACCCAGACCCAAAGTTGCCCAAAGGAAAATATTCAACGTTGTGTATGACGAGGGGTCGCGCAGCAAGCTGTGGCGGTAGTCGTCGTGGTCGAACGCTGGTGTGCGTGTGCTTGTACGTGTGTATTGTATGCGTGCCGTCTAGAATCGAGGTCCGGTGTCGTTAGCGGAGGGGATGGAGATGGTAATGCGACAGAGAAGTTAGGCGCATCCCATTGTCGTCGCGTAGTGGATGAGAGAGCGATCGCAAAGTGGAATGCGGGTTGGGAGTTGCGGATGTGGATGCTGATGCGGATGCTTGGGGGAGGGGGGGAGATGAAATTGTCTTGGGCGGCGCCCTCGATCCTTGAGGGTGGGACGGGCTTGAAGGACGGATGAGGAGAAGCAAGGAGAGGGGAGGAAGGGGAACAGACGGGGAAGTGTTGGAGAGGTTTGAGAAAGCGATGGAAAGAGGTCCCAGTTGTAGTACGTTGACGGAAGCGGGGGAGGAGAAAGACGTTGCGACACGAGACCAGAGCTTGTCCAAGTGGCTGGTGCGTACCTATGGGAGTGGAAGGGTCCGGTCCAGGGTATCCGTAAGGTAGTGAGTATGTGTAAAGAGGTCAAGAGGTAGGGGAATAGGGCCACCAGGGCGGGAGGTAGGCGGAGGTGGCAAGCTATCTGACGACACAAACCGCACCGCAGTGAGGGGAAGGGATGTGTGGTGTGTGCGCGCGTGCGTGTGGTGTGTGCGTGTGTGTGTGTGTGTGTGTAGACTGTATGGGTGAGGGGAGCTGGATAAGGGACCGTAGCTCGTAACAATGCGATGCGAGACGAGAGAGTCGACGAGAGGGAAGAAGAGACAAGGAGGAGAGGTCTAAGGCGGTTCCCGTTCTGTACCGCAAGGAAGCCCAGGGTAATAGGGACAGAGGGAGAGGCAAGTAGGGCCAGGTTCGGTAAGGCCAGATCAGGCCATAAGAATAAAGAGTATATAGTGTGGTAGCAACGGGAGCAAGGTAATGTGCAGCGTGCAGCGTGCAGCAGCGAGTGAGTGGGAGGATGCAGCCCGTCCCCAGTTGCAGCTCCAGCTCCCAGCTCCCAGCTCCAGTTCCAGGTCCAGGTCCCAGTCCAGTCGAGCCCAGCCCAGTCTGATTTGGTTTGGTTGGTTTGGTATGTCTGTCTGTGTGGTGTGTGCTTCAAGCCACGGGCAGCATGCGCACACACTGTACGAGTGCCAATGTCAACCCCAACCCCATGCCCGGGGTATGCACGCTACGGAGCGAACTATGCCCTGGTGGTGTTGGCCTCGAGGTACCTGTGCCTACAGTTCGCAATATGCCCACCCACAGTGGGAGGGCTGCATATAGTAGACTCAAGAGAGCAAAGGCAGCACGGAAGACAAGGCAAGCTTGTGTCTTTAAGGGTCGGCGGCGGATTGTCAGGGACGGGAATGTGCGTGCGGGCTGGTGGATCAGGTTGGATAATAGGTACCTCTATTGGTGGAGGGGCAAGTGGGCAGGTCCCAGTTTAATGTCGTACGGGAAGACGGTGGAACGCGTCGAGCCGACGAAAGCACAACGACGATGTTGAGATGGGGAAATAAAGAAGACGAGGAAAAAGAAACGGGGGCCGTTTGACGAGGGGACAGGAGCAACAGCACATTTGCATTTTGGTCAGGGTATTGATCATCCTGCATTGCCGAGTCTTCTGGCCTGTTTTCGCCTCAGGTCAGGGCTTCTAGTAGTTAAGGGCTTGCCATCTCAGCAAGCCATGAATACCTTTGGGTCAGCAACGACGTTGCGACTGGGAGGCTGGACCTAGAGCTCCGTGCAGGTATTCCGGCCCGTCGAAGGGGGAGAATCCAGCAGAGGTGCGGTGTGGCATGGCGGCGAGAATCTCTAACCCTCCAGATCTAAAGGACAGGCTAAGTCTTCCAACGAGACCACTGCAGAATCGAAGATGCAGTCGTTTTCCTGAAGGAAAAGCATGGCGCTACACCTCTAATAGCCATCCACTTGGCAGGCGAATACTTGACGGAGCCAGGATGATGCCGAAGAGGGTGAGTAGAACCAGACGTCAAAAACAGCTGATTCTGTTTTTGCCTCAAGTGTCAGAGAGCAGCACTTGCTGTAAATCCGGGGAACGAACTGAGCAGGTTCAGTTCTTCGGCTCATCCTCTCTGCCATGTCCCATGGAGCAACGATGAGCACCCAACGATGGCGACGCAGGTAGGAGAAAAACGGCAGGTATCTAATCACCTGCGGAACATGTTAGGAGCTTTGAACGGCAGCCAGGTCGAAGGGAAGGCAGCTTAACGTTTGTGCAGCTGGATGGTTCCCCCCTTCTCGTCGAAGGATGCTGAGTGGTTGAGATGTTTGCGAAAGGGTGTGGAGCAGAAAGCGAAAGAGACGATGTGAGAGAGCCCGAGGCAAAAAGCTTTCCAAATGAGCAAGAGGCGGCGGGAGGCGGGAACCATAATAGCCCCAATGTCGGAGCGGAAAGGAAGATGAGAGGAAGTCATCCAAGATTTGCCGCTAGAGGAGTTGAATCAAGGAGAAGGAGGGGTGTGGTAGTGGCGGTGGTGGTAAAGCTCAGTGCTACTCCTCCCGGGGCCACCTGCAGACAAGAACGTGGCGCGCTGAAGGAGCGGTCTCTGATGGAGATGAACACGCGTAGGCTTGTCGACGTCAGAACGAAAAAAGCGGAATAATGCTATTTTTCTTTTCTGTTGGTTTTTGACGGATGATGCGATCTATACAAGATGCCATGGAGAGAAGGATTCAGGCCCCTCCAAGCACCATGCGAGGTCAGGCAGGCGGGAGCCACAAGGCAGGAGGTACTTGCTGCCCAGCCGCACAGTGCAAGAAATATCCCGCCTTGAGTGGTGGGTCCAACCTAACCGCACTCGATCACCCGCAGGTACGTACTGACCAGCATCTCTGCGGTTCCCCACACTTTCTCCAGGTATGGACCCACTTAATGCTCTGTGTCACTGCCAGTCAGAACCGAGCTAGCCAGGCCAGGCCGGGCCTGTCAGGGCTCAGGGGCTATGGATAGTGGGGCCGTGGACTTCCTGAGAGCCAATCATCTTGTATTGTTTCCTGCACTACTGCCCTTCTCTCCTTTGTTCCCCGTGGCAGGCGATGAGAATCTGAGAGCTGCCTCGACACCTCTTGGATTCCAGACCGAGCGGGAAAGAAGCGGGGAATCAAAAGTCAGAACGGCGCACCGCAAATACTGATCAAAGGGAAACAAGCCACCTAGACAATGCTGGGACAAAAGAAAAACAAAAAATAGCAGCCATGGCAAAGTATGGGAGCCTCCGTCTTCCCCCCCAGACACATCCATGGACCCCAGTTATTCCATCTGAGCTACCTGCTGGGGTCACCTCAGTTCTCGACAAGGCCATCCTGTTTTCACTCCAATGCTCTGCTCGACTTGTTACTGCCGAGTACCTAGGTAGGTCGTAGCCACCTAAACCTATAGTGTACAAATGCATCTGCAATACTACGATACAGCTGCTTCTATATGTGCTGCCATACCTTCACGTCAGCCGGCTGAGATCCCGACTCCGAGTCGGCCAACAGACGAAGAAGCTAACGGGCAACGGCCTATCCTCCGTTCTCGATCAAGACCCGCCGCCTCAGCGACCAGGAATCTCTCCGAAGAAAGTGGGCTGCGCCATCATGTCGCTTCGACACTCGTTCGTCTGCGTCTCTGCAGGGGTTGAAGGCATACTCACGTAAGATTCTTCCGATGCCCTCGACTTCGCAACTTCTCCAGGTCTTCGCCCCTCTCATGACATGCGATGCCTGCAGAGAAGAGGTCGATGTGGCACGTCTGCATCCCGCAGCCATGCACCCTGGTCGACAACGGCATGTATGCACCTTAGGTTATGGCCGCCGCGGTGCACCCCCATCGATGCTTTGCCGTACATACATAACAATCGTTGACCCTCGTTTTTCCGGGCTTCCCCTCGGCCAAAAGACGCTGTGTCGTGGCTGGGCATGCGGTTGAGCATCGAAATGTCTCGCCTTTAGAGGCCACGCGACTGACACGCAGGCCTGACCATTGGGTTCAGGAACCCAAACTAGTAGCACGCAGCAAGGATCGTACCTATTGCGAGAAGAGCACCTCAAAACGTTCCCGACGATGCCGATGATCCTGCAGTTCTCTACTCGCATGCTTTCCCTCAGCCTCTACGCATGGGAGGCCATCCGATCCAAATGCGGCTGCGACAGGCGGAGCCCATTCGTCCATCGCCGATCCTTCAACCTTCGCTGTCTTTTGCCCCTCGACCAACGCCCGGCCAAGTCCAACTTTGGTGAGCGGTGGCATAGCGCAAGGTCCTACAGGTGTCATCGCGGCACTGTTTAACCGCCAGTCGGCCGGTTTCTTGTCTTCTTCGTCCCAAGTGCGTCCATGGTGCCTCGCCCATTCCCATGAGGTCGACGCTGCGAACATGAGACACAGTCGCTATCCCGGTATGTTTGTTTTCTGAAGGCAGTACAACGCACACGCCGCCCTCATGCCCCGGGTCGTGGCGGTAGCGGGAGCCACGGTCGAGGTTTTCATGGTCCTTCCCTGGATGGAGTTATTGGGGTTCTGCCGTTGGAGGCCGCGACTTGGTGAGGAAACTTGCAGCTGCTCGCTAGCTTTCGTCCAACGACCCCGCACCAGAGTCCGTGTTTACCAGCTACGACACTAGGATCTCTCAAACAGCACCAGACGGGGCGACGTTGTAGAATCCTTCGCTGTCGAGGACACTTCTTACTACCGGAAGAACCTGGCTTGCGTTGCCGATACGCCAGATGGTGCTATGGGCAGCTACACTACACCGATGGCCACCCAAGTCCAACACAAGGGCTCTTCCCCCCAGCTCATATCAAGGCAGAGCCCTGGAAAAGACTGCCATCTCTGACGTCGAAAAGGACCACAGCGGACGCGCATATGCACATGCGGGCAGGAGGTTTGGTGTTGAAGGTCTGGGTTCAGGGCTCCTCTCCGAGACCGAGAGGGGTAAGGGTGCATGGAGCAGGCGGGTTGCTGCAGCTTGTCACGCGCACCCATTTCGAGCTAAACCTCGCTCACCCTCAAACGTCTGTTCGATTGGACTGCTTCTCACTGGCCTCACCGTGGTATCATCCAGACTTCCCACATGTGGCACGCTTGGAGGGCCCAATATGTTGAATGAGGTGTAGTGTCGACGACAGTGTGCAAACGCACTGCCGGCAACCGATGAGCCAGACGGACGTGCGCCGAGTGACGGATACCTATATGCAATCCTGGGACATATTCCGCCTGCATGTCGACACACTGATGCACGTAGAATTGTGCGTTTCGATTGGGCCACCCGGGCTAAAGAGAAGCAGAGTAACGTCTGCTGCTGCCTCTGGTTGTGATCGGCCGTTCGTCAGCGTTGGAGTTGACTCGCTGTGGGTTAGCCAATGGTCGAACCTAAACGGTCGCACAAGAAGCGTAGAGCATCTCCAAAGGAAGATGAAAACCTACGGCCAGACTACCTGAACCACATCACAAGCAAATGACCGTTTCTGCTGCAGCCAAATGCGACCAACCAAGCACGGCACCGAAACGCAACGCACTGCACCGCCAGCCGAGATCGAGGACGACCCCGAGCCGATGGAGGGCGAAAGTCAAATATTAGCCAGGGGGCTTTACCCCGGATTATCATCTCGTCATTAAACTCAACCTTGGCGGCTGCTGTAACGGCTCCCAAGGAGCCAGAAGCCAGAAGCCACAGAGGATGTCTGAGCGGCGCCAAACGTAGACCAGCAACGGCCACACCTTGATTGAAGGGAACAACCTCGGGTCAATTTTCTGGACGGCTACTGTCTTCGCCGTGCTACTGAATCTGATGGGCCCGAGGGCTCCAACGTCGACCTCTTCATGGCGCTGGCAGCGCACGATATCCCCCTGCGGATGTGCTGTCTCGGCTTGCAGGTGAGATGCTCCTGAGAAACCTCGCAGCGGCTCGATATTCTCTGATCAGAGCCGACAGGGAGGCTTGTCGTTGCTTGTCAAGAACACCAAGTTGTACTCGGTGCGGAGACGGGACTGGCATACACCCGGTATGTAGCATGACGATGAGGAGAGGTGGCACACGATCAGCGGAAGTCTGGGAACTTGGAACTGTGCAACCAGAGAGGACAAGCTCCTCCCGGTGAGTTGATCCTCTGGCCCTGGCGGAGAAAGAGGGGTTGGAAACAAGCCGGGCATGGCCGTTTGACGAGGAATAGATGCTAGGATCATCTCACAACACACTCTCAATGCAAAGCAGGTGGATGCAAGGAGCTGAGGGGTTCCTGCACGGCGGCCACCTCGTAGCACATCCCCCGGTTTCCCCGCCCTGATCCGTTGCAGCAGCGCTTGGCCGGCCAGAGTCCAATCAGCGCGAAGGGGGAGAAGAAACCGTCCGCCGACCCTGACCGTTCGTGACGACGGCCACCGGGCTCGAACGCGGCTGTCTAGCTTACGACGGCGATCTTTGCCCGCGCTGTCGAAGGCGTTGTCTGATTCTCAATATGCCCGACGCCGGCGTACGAGTCGCAGGGGTCACAGTGGCTTGCTGGGGCGCGCGTGCAGACGGACCGGTCTCGGCCAGGGACGAGAGTTTATCTGAAGCGACCCGGTCCGCATTGGCAAGGCCCCGTGTCTAAGCGAACACGAAGCCTCGTGAGCGCGCTTCGTCAATTGGCGGGCGATTCCAACGCGGGCCATCGTTCTCGATCTCACTGGGCGAGGCTACGAGGCTGTGATGAACGACAGTGTAATGGGTATTGACCGTGTCACCAGCGCAGTGCCGGATGAGTTGTTGCGCGTAATTATACAGCATTTGTTTTTACAGGAATAGTACCACCCCCGAACTCCTCTCTACTCGTCATCTCCGCGGCCTCCCGGCCCCATGGCCGATTACCGACCTACGCCGCGGTCGCCTCGGAGCCCTTCTGGGCCTTGAGCTTCTCTTCAAACTTGGCAAACTCCTGGATGGCGATTTCCTCCTCCTGGTCGAGGATCTGCTGGACGCCCTTGACCTCCTCGATCTGAGAATGATGTCAGCGCGCGGTCACGAACACCTCTGAGGCTGCGAAAGGGCGCAAAGGTAAGAGAGGGGGGGGGAAGCGGGTGCGGCTTACATAGTGCATGAGCATGCCCTCGATGCCGTTCTTCAGCGTCACCGTGCTGGAGTCGCACGTCCGGCACGCGCCACGCAGCTTGAGCAAGACGATGCCCTCGTCCGTGAAGCCGCGGAACTCGATGTCGCCGCCGTCCTCCTGGATGGCGGGGCGTATCCTCGTCTCGAGCAGCTCCTTGATCATGCCCACGACCTCGCTGTCGTTCTCGTCGTACGCCAGGCTGTCCTCCTCGCCGTGCTGCTGCTCCTCGCCGGCAACGCCGCCCTCCTTCTTGTCCGAGACGTTGACGATGGCCTGCCCGAGGTGACGGCCTCGGTGATGAGCGCAAACACCTCGGGCCGGATGTGCGCCCAGTTGGCGTCGGCGGCCTTGTTGACGGTGATGAAGTCGGCGCCGTAAAAGACCGAGGTGACGCCGTCAATGTTCATGAGCTGGGCGGCCAGCGGGGACGGGTAAGGGGGCGCGATGGTCGAGCGCGGGTTGAGGTACTCGATGAAGGGCGTCGATATGTTCTCGGGCAGGATGCGGTGGTTCGGGAGGAACTTGATGGCGTCCGCGTTGGGCGTCTGCTCGGTCTGGATGAAGATTGTGCGGACGCCGCCCTGGCGGCCGGCAAAGGGAGACCGGCGCGCGGCGGCTTGTGGTGCGTGCTGTTGTGTTGTGCTCCGGGGGAGGCGGCTCTGTTGGAGTAGGCCGGCGGCGGCGGCGGCGGAGGAGGAGGAGTGGACGCTGGCGAAGGTCCGCGATTGCTGGAGGGGCGTCGCCGCGGTTCTGGAGGCGGGCTTGGATGTGCGCGCGACGGCGCGGAGGGCCGTCGTCGCTGCTCTGTAGGATGACATTGTGTGTATCGTCTTCGGGTTGTGTTCGAGTGTTCAGCGTCGACAGCAGTGTCGAGGGAGGGGGGGGAATTCGCAACGTATTCGAGAGGGGGGGGTTGTCGATGGTAGGTTGAGAAGGCAAAGTCTACAATTGTATGCAATGACGAGAAAAGGTTGAAAACGTTGGATTACTCGATTGCACAGATTATTACAGGGTCCAAGTTTGTCCCCGGCATTGCACCCGAATGCTGAACAAGCCAAAAGAAGCCCGGCTAGACGCCCTGGCAAGCTTCCACTTTTTTTTCTTTCCTGTCGCCGCTCAATTCCTAAGCGTTGTATTACCAATCATGGGTCCTCCCCTCAGCCGTTAGCGTCCCCCAATCGGAGGGACGAAGAGTTGGTCCCGGGGGGCAGAGAACAGAGGTTCTGGGGCCTGGTCAGGATGACGCACGAAGCAGATTTTTTGGCCCGTGGAATTCCCGAGTCGACCGAACCCCAGGGATAACTTTACAGTGGAGAGCTTCCAGGCGGTCAAGACTGACTGTCCAGGGGGGGGGGTTGGGTGGGAGGGCGGCCCCGCTGGAAAGTTCTCGAGCATCGTTCTTGCGGCAGCGCTAGGACCGAACGGCAGAAAACTGAAGGAAAAAAAGAAAAGAAAAGAAAAAAGCCGCCAAAACGTCAGGTTAAAGCGCCCATAGCTGAGCTGCACTGCAGGGAAACCCAGACGGATTTTTTGAAAAGGGGAAGCAGAAAAAAAATAGAGTAAGAGGAAACGCGGGGTCCAAACCAAACCAACGACATAGCATCCGACACTGAAGAGAGAAGAATACCGTTGGTCCGCATCCTTGTCTGGTCAGCACTCTATTTACTATACATTTTGGGAGGACGAAAGAAAACATTGCAACGATCCCACCACCGGCTCGCAAACGCACGGCGTACACGAGCAGTCATCAACCTCGACGAATTCTGCCAACACACCACTCACCCGGTCGAATCGGACACAGCTCAAAGGCAAAGGGCGACTGCACCCCGGAGCACGACAGGCCCCCTGAAAAAAAAAGACACGCCGCGACGAGGGAGCTCCCGCGCCGCAATCCAGCAATGTCGATCCCCGACGACAACCCAGCCGCCGCCGCCGCCGCCGCCGCGACCTCTTCCTCGACCCCCGATCCCCCAAGCGCCCACAGGCCGACCTCGAGGAGCTGGTCGAGTCGGCGAGCAAGCGCTCCCGCGCCGCGAGCCCCTCGGACGACGAGGCCAAGACCCGCGCCACGACGGCGGCCATGGCCAACACCTCGCTGACGGAGGAGGGCGAGGACGCGCGCGGCGGCGAGATGAACACGGACGCGGAAGGGCATGGTGCCTCCGCGGCGGCCGGAGGAAGAGGAGAAGGAGGAGAGAGTGCCGCAGCGGCTGCCGCGTCACAGCCCTCCAAAGGAGAAAACCACGACAAGAACCCCGACGAGGAGGCGGCGACGCGGACAGCACCAAAGAGCAAAATGTGCGGCGTGTGCCACGAAAAGGAGGGCAAGTACAAGTGCACGCGCTGCGCATTACCATTGTACGTCAAATCTCTACCATTACTCTCGTCTTCCGTTATACGTTTCGCTCGTTATATACATTATCTTTACTGACATTATCGTCGTGGCGCGTAGCTGCTCCGTCCCGTGTAACAAGATCCACCGCGAGAACCACCCTCCCGACCCCGAACCGTCCGCCGCCGCCGCCACCAGCGCCGGCGACCCGACCCTCGAACCCCTCCGCCCGGCGCGCCGAAGCCGCCTCGTGACCCCAAGAACCCCTTCAGCGTCCTCGACGACTCGGATCAGCTCCGGTACCTCTTCCGGCGGTACCCGGGCCTGCAGACGCGGCTGCTCGACATCATCGCCGCCACCGAGCCGCCGCCGGAGCTGCAGTCCACCGGGAGCAGCCTCAACGACATGATGAAGGCGCGGGCCATGGCGGCCGCGAACCCCAAGAAGGAGCAGTGGACGCACGACGTCGGCATCCGCAACGGCAAGGAGGCGCTGCGCAAGGCAAGGAACGCCGCCGGCGAGGACGGCGAGGGCGTGCGCGAGTACATTGAGCTCATCAACCACCTCATGTCCAAGGCGAACGCGGCCGCCGAGGCAGAGGAGGTGATTCGGAAGCAGGCTGCCGAGAAGGACGCCGAGCTCATCAGGCGCCTCATGACGGAGGACCGGGGTTGAGGGGCGCGGTGGCTGGCTATGAAGGGGAGGGGCCGCGAGTGCTTGTCGTTTGGATCAAGTTGGAGAAGCCATACACATTCGAAGGGTGTGCTTGAAACCACCGTGTATGCATAGAATGGGGGACCGGCTAGATCGTGTCGAGAACCAGGTAAGGGCCTTCTGTCCCTGAATCGTCTTCCCAACTCAGTGGTTGACTTTGAAGCGCGAAAAGAAGCCGCTCTTGGGCGACCTCAACGTGTCAGACGGCGGGCTGTTGTCCCTGGAGCGGTTCTCCTCGCGGCCGTGCTTGGTGAAGGCCCCGAGCTTGTTCTTGAGCGCCCAGATGGAGTCCGCCTTGCGCAGCGACGGCTTCGACTTTGACTGGGGCTGGTTCTCGTCGCTTTGCGTCCAGTCCACGCGGTGCTCAAGGGGCTTCTGTTCTGGCACCTCGCCCGCATCGTAGGGATACGGCGACGAGTCCTCCGAGTCCCAGGCCATGAGGAGGTCGCCCGTGCTCACCCGCCTCGCGGCTCTCGCCTGGTGCGTCTCGGCCGTCCGGCCAGCGCCCAGGGACCCTTCGATTGTGTGCCTGTGGTGGTTGCGGTCACGATGCGCGCGGTCGTTGCCCAGCTCGGCAATGTCCGGGATCCGCTCACGGTGGACGTTGCCGCGCTCCTGATGTCTCTCGCGATGGACTTGGGCGAGTCTGAGGGCCGTCCTCGACAGCTTGCGGACCAGGCCCTTGTTTTCCGACATGTTCTCGGCCGTCGTAGTGCGCGCGAACTGCGCAGCGGCGAACTGCGGGATGAAGTGATGTCTCTCGCCGTCGGAGCCCTTGCGCCGAGACGAGTCCTGTCCGGCGGACTGGGAGCTGCGGCGCTCGTCGTCGGGCGTTTGCGTTTTGGACTTTGGCCAGGCGGAACTGGGGTCTGCTGTCTCCTTGCGAGGCTTCGGAGCGGAGGGCTCAGCGCGAGGTTTGGTGGTGGGGTGGCCGGGCTTGACAGACCCCTTTTCGAGGTACTCCCTGGCCAGGCTTGTGTGCGGCGGTTGCGCATCCGGGGCCGGGGGGATCGCAGACGTTGATCCAGCCGCGGCGGCAGCGGCCTCTGCTCTGGCTCGCCTCCTCCGTTCAGCATGGAGCCTCTGGTCAGCAAGAACCTTGGCGAGCTTCTGGGATAGCTCTTCGGGGTCAAAGGGCATCGGCTGGGAGCATCGTGGTCTCGGCCGAGCGGCGGCGGCCATGGGCTTGACGGGTTGTGCCGCTGGTACCACCGGCTGATCATGAGGGTAACCCATGTTGTATAACATGTCGATCAATGACGTGCAAAGTGCTCCACTGCGAATCTCGAGATGACCCGGTACGGCTGGGAATATGAGTTGCAGATGAAATTGCGTGCCCGGAGCTGCTTGCGAAGGCGCGTCGAGGGCAGGAAAATGGTCTGCGAGTCAGGGCGCCCTTATCTCGAGCTGGCGAACCGAGTGCGCGGGGTGGGTTGATTGCCAAAATAAGTAGGGATGGCAGTTAAGGTTGTTTGCTGGGGGAGCAGGGGTAGTCGATCACGTCGCATCCACTGGCAGTACGGCGGCGGCGGGCGTTTCCCTGACGTGAGCGACGGTCCGTAATGCAAAGTGCCCTGGAAGAGTAGGAAAAGACTCCAACGTGTGGCCTGGATGACAGCGGTCTTGGGACCTGGGCCTATGTATATGTCATACGACCAAGGACACGCTCCTCCTGGTTCAAGCGAGTCCAGTCCAGCGTCGGAACCAAAGCAGGTGATGTGCGTGTGTGGTGGGTGTGGGTGTGTGGGCCGAGAGCTCTCACAGCCAGGGTCCAGAGTGTGTCCCGTCGGCTGTTGTGTGTGTAAGGCGCTGGACCTGCGTTGCTGCGTGCCTTGGTATGGTTGGCGGTGGCCCAAGGTGTGTGAGGTGAGGTGAGAAGGGGTGGTGTGCGTCGTTAGTCCGCAGGGTCCCAGACAATATGTACCTCACGGGCAAGGCTTAGGCAAGACCCGTACAATGCCTCGATCTCCTGGGAACGCGCGCGCGTGTTTGGGAAGTCAAGGGGATCGGACGGCTTTGGCCGAACTCGGACGAGGCCGGACGGAGAGAGTGAGGGAGACAACACACGCAGAGAGCGTGAGAAATGCGAGGGCAGTCTAGTGAAAGACGGAGGAAAGAGATGAGAGACACAAAAGGACAGAGACAGGAAGGAGAAGGCGAGACAGAGAGCAAGACAGAGAGCATGCAGAGGCGGGTGTGTGGGAAGGTGAAGAATTAAAAACCACAAGGGGGGGTTCACGGATGTCTTGAAGGACGAGCGTTCCATAGGGTACATTTTTAGACTGTTTATTGGCTTGGGGTCTGGTCTGGTCTGAACTGGCGGAATGGATTGTATCGGGGGTTGGATTTCCAGACTGGCTGGTCTCTTGGGGGTTTTTTTTGTTTTGTTTTGGGATGTTGCCCACCCTCTAATTACTTTCCCTGTCCCAGTGTGATGGCTTAATGCTTGGAATCACTCACTTTCCGCTTGGAGCCCCTTTGGGATTGGAGTTAAAGCAGGTGGGGTTGGCAGTTTTTGGCCACTTTCTAACTTCAAGCCTCATGGCCCGAGGGGACCAGGCGTTGCTGAGATATGAAGATGGGGATTGAGAGGGCGTCCTCTGGGCCGCTCTCAGCGCCGGCCGGCACGCAACGCATAGGAAAGCCATCAAACATGCATGCCACCAGCAGTCTTTTTTCCCCCGTCTCCCTGCCCTTGGCCCCAATCCAATCACGCTGGGTGGGCAACGCACCTCACGCACCACCTTATGTGACTTGTGACGGGCAAATGCTGCGAGCCGAGTTCCGTGCTGGTCGACATGATTTTTTGATTGGGGACGGCGTAGCATGCATGTGGTTGGGGTCGCATAAGATGATAAGAACGGATGGTGCTTGGGAGACGAACCGCCTAAACGGCACCGACCATTCCGGAAGCGATCACGATCGTGACCTGTGATGGACCAAATAAGGTAGCAAGCCCTCCTCGCGCCATGATGCTTAAGCCTGCCCTTGGGATGAACCGCCTGGACCAACACGGCATGGTTCGAGCTGGTAGACGTCTCATCGATCGTCCGAGTTGCATTGGGGACTGTGCCGCCAGTGATCGGATGCCGCTTTGGGACACTCTCTCCGGGCCATTCCCACACTCCGCTAATGCTTCACGGAGCCGGCTGCGTGCGCTTGGGAAACATTTATCCCACCTCCCCTCTCCCAGCATGCACGCTGCCTTTGGACACTGGTAGCGCTGCCTGTTTTGAAACGCTGATATCCTCTAAGCCCTGCCTCTCTCTTTGGGAGCAGGGGTCAAGTGTGGGCAGCACAGAAGCAAAAGCAAGCATATCTCTGGACGTGGTGCTTCAACAGTTGGAGTGGAGGCGTGTTGAGGTGTAAGTGGACGTCAGCCACGACAGGGCAGGCGTCCTGCAGTGCGCTCCAAGTGTCAGATGCTCAAGGAGGGCTGGAAGCACTGCAGTCTGCAAAGGAGCGAAAGGGAGGCTGGCTCATGTGCGGCGCGCGACTGCAGAAGCCGGCGTAGGTAGTCTGACTGGTGAGATGAGGTTGTGTGTGTGTGTGTATGGATGGGCGGGAGGAAATGCCACGTTCATTGACGCCTTCGTCTCCCCCTTCCCACCTCGCCCCCCCCCAAACCCCAGAAAAGGGCTGGATCACTCGATAGACGAGAACCGGACACAACACATGCACGGTCGCCGAAGCTTCAATCACCCCCCAGCCATTGGCCAGGGTGAGGTTGGCTTTAGGGTCGCCCGGTGTCTCAGAGCCACTATAAGCCCCTCGACTAAGAAGCCAAATAAACCCCGGCGGCGGCTCAGGGTGGTCAGTGATGGCGAACGGCTAACGAGCTGATATCTCTTCTCAGGCCAGAAACGCTGCAGATGTGTATGAAAACGGGAAGCCTCGTCGATTCAAACGAATGGGCGGCGTGTTTGTCCAGCCTCTCTCGAGCTTCTTCACCTGCACTTGACTCTTCAATTGGGTAGCTCTGTTGTTGGCGCGCTCAGTAGCTGGTAATAGACGTTTCCAGTCCGACGCAGACCGCACATCTGCGCGTTTGACCCCTGCGCGATTCCTCGCTAGTTGCGGTTCCTGTTGACCGGCGGTATCCTAATTCACGACCGTCCGGGACCAACGCACCTGTCTCAGCTGATGAGGAGGCAAGGAGGTCGGCCGTGGTGAGAAATTCTGCGTGCCATCCGAGGGAGTCGGAAAGGTTATTTTTTGATTTCCCTTCCGTCTGCTTGTCGTCATCGCCCTACAACTTACATACAAAAGTGCCGCGAAGCGGTTTCCCGACGAGGCCGGCCCGGTCTCTGGGCATAACAAGAAAAGACCGAGTTTTGCTCTTGGTGGGAGAGAAAGAGAGGCTGCTGCGACCGCTGCGTCTGCGTCTGCCTCTATCTCTGACTGCAGTTTGCTGCACGTCCTGCATGTCCCGTCCTCGTATCGCCCTCCATGTAACCCCCAAGCTGCGCTTCACGAAGGACTGACCTGCCATATCATGCGGCTTGGCGATGCAGCCACTGCTCCATTCTGTCTACTGGTGGCCGATACTACCTTGGTCTACTATCTACGCACGAACCCCACAAGCCAGTGCCCTCGCTGCGTTGCCGGTGGAAAAGGACGCTTTGTGACGCCACAGCTGCACGTTTTCAAAAAAGGTTGGTGGTTTGAAGCTCCAGTATCGGCAAGGTAGTAGTAGAAGCAGCAGCGCCGTTGACATCTCGAGATCAGTCATATGGCCCTCTGGCTGCTCCGAAATTGGCTTGGGTAGCCGTCTACCCATAGCTTGAAAAACCTCAGAGGCTGGCAGGAGAGATTTGAAGCTGCCGCCACCGGATGCAATTGAGGACAAGGCTGTAAGTTTTGGGGGAAAGAATGAGAATCCAGTCGCTTTCTAGCTCAGCCGCCGGAAGGGCAATACGTTCGTAGGATGCGAGGCGGATACTCTTCTCGACGTACCGCCGCCCCAAGCCATGGGCTGGCATTTTCAGCCTATCGAGATGGCCAATGCCACTGTCGAGCGGCTTATCGTCCATATGGCATGCCGCTACAGATAAAAAAAGAAGAAAGGTGTGGTGGGCGCTGTTGTGTTGCATCGGCTAAGATCAGCTGGCAGCACTGTGGGAGCGACCGCCATCTTGCTTGCCATGTCAGCTGATGGTCGAGTCCAGACGCTGCAGGCGTTGAGAGATGATTCGATGGGCGCACCTGGAATGCAGGCACACGACCATCGCCCAAAAAAGGGGTCCTCCAGTGGAGATGTGCCAAGAGCGCGGCCATACGTTAAGTCCACAACGTGATTTCCACCGTGATCCGTGAGTGCCAGCTGTTGATCCTGTCATGTTGAACTTCCGCGTAGTAAGATGCTCCCATACTGTGATGGACCGGATGGCTAGGCGCCCGTCGGCGAGGAGGACAATACAGGCAGAGCTGGTGACTTCTAACTGTCTGTTTGGCTTCGGCGCGAGGCTTTGGATGCAGAATGACGGTAGTCTGGGGTACCTACCATCGTAGCGAACCGTGCCCACATCTTTGACAGAAGTTTATTCGGACCAAGGCTCAGTAGATTGATGCCGGGTTGATGCGTCGTCATCTGCTCCCAAGCAAGGCAGTTCGATTACCCAAAGCCTGTCGACAAAGTTCGATAGATGTTGCGTGTAGAGAGGAAGCAGAGATTGACTCGCAACGGCATGCCGTGAAGGGACAAGAGGTCATTGAGCGGCCCATCCCATAGGCCCCGCTGACGGACAGAGCAAGAGAGATCGGCGAGCCGGGTTCGACTCAAGCTGCCTGGTAGTATTCCGCGTCCCGAGCTACCGGAAGCCCCAGGACGCGGGCCAAGCTTGCCATCCTGAAGGATCGTCCAACGTTTCTAAACTCAGATGGTTCAGGGGTTCAGGGTCGGAGTCATGTCTTCTCCCGTTTTCTAGGGAAGCAGAGGCTCCCTGCTTTCACCAAGTCATACTATTTCGAGCTTGAAAGAAGTCGACGGCTGGTTGTTTCGTGAGCGCGACTAATATTGACAGAAACCGCCGCTCGAACCTTGTGGTGGCTAGGTCGGGAGACATGACTGGCTCGCCGGCCATGTGTCGACGCGGATGGCGGCGACCTGGGCGCCGGGGGATCATGGCACCGGCCGGCCTGCTTCATCTTGAGACATGAATGGTGTCCGTACGCGCGCCGGCTGAGTTGTGTTTGACAGGAGCTTATCGATTATAAGTTTGGCCTTGCAGGAGTGGGTGAGGGCGAGCCGGAGGGGAAGGGAGCTGGGTGCGTACGTCATTGGCGGCGAAAGGCGAAAGGGTACTTGTCAAAGAAGACGCGGGATACTCTTTAGGGACAATCGAGATTTCAACGTTCGGTATGCGCGGACATGTTCATCCTCGTCTGGGGTCACGTAAGGTTTCCAGACCGCCAATTCATGTTGGTCGCAAAGTGGAAACGTAGATCGGAGTTGACCCCGGACGACACACACGGCCACGAACTCTGAACTGGGCTTGGTTTTCGGTGGATGAAACCGCTTGCAAAGCAAACACACAAGTGACGGCAAAACAAACAAGCCGGGCGTTGTTGGGCGGGATTTGACAAGCAGTCTTGTCAAGGTCGTGCCTGGCCCACCCGCTCTCTCAGCAGATCCCTAGTTGACACACTGCTAGGTAGGTGTCTTGCACTCTCTGATGCGTGCCGGACGGTTCTCCTCTGTACTCTGTACCGCACCCACAGAGCAAAGGTACCTGGCTTGGAGCGAGAGGCTGGAGCCCACTGAGGGTCGTTGGCAGGGAGGACGAATCGGGCGACGGTGACCAATCAGTCAGAGGCGGTGTTCCACGAAAGGCAGACCCCTAGGTAGAGCACAAATTCCAGGTACCGTGCTCGCCGGCGCATTCTGATTGGACAGATGCGGTCCGGATTACTGTACATACTGTAGTGTAGGTATATATGTAGACGGCCCTGGGCCCACTGTCACGGTGCGGTGCCGGGGCCCCGAGCTCCTTCCACGGCCTGGCACCTGCTCTGCTTCTGGTAGCCAGTCAGGGGAATGGACTCGGAGCGCGCAGGGCGCAGTGGAACATCCCTTGTCAGTTTCTCCGCTTTTCCCTCTTTACTCCCGTCCACTTCCTGTCATGGACCCCCGTTGTCGTCCATTGCCCGCCCCGTCGCTGCGAACCTGCCGAACTCGAGTCGCCGTTCTCCGTCAGTATCTGTTGGCGTTCGTTTTGCTTAGGAAGGACTACGGACTCTCTTGCCCGTGTTCGCACACCGTTCGTCGTCCTCTTGCTTTTTCCCCTGGACCCCCCCGAGAAGTGCATACTGTAGACTAAGCGCGTCGTTTGTACCTCACACTTCCAGGCGAGGTACACATCGACTTGTCTCTCGGCCAGCGGTCCTGATCATCGCGGCCCTTTCCCGCTCTCCCGTTAGTGTCTCGGTCAGTCTCTTTTGCACTAGGTAAGTACACTTTTCCCCTCTTCCTCCTCCTCCTCCTCCTCCTCCTCCTCCTCTCCCGCTTCCACCACTCCCCCTTTCCCTTCCCTCATCTTACTTTGACAAGTCCGGTCCGAACTAGCACAGCCTAGGATTCAACCATCCACAGGCCATAAACAAGGTGCGTAGGCAGCGAGCCAACCCATCCCCGAGCCCCCCAACGAGGCACCGGAGGCAGGAAGAGGGCCTGCCGTCGTACAACACTGGGGCGCTATTGTTGTTGGTGTCGTCCGTTATTGGACATGTCGGCCCTAGTCGGTTCGATTCGAGAGGGCAAACCGCACACCATCCACCATTAAGCACCCCAGAGGATCGCATCAAGCCCGGCCCTGCACTTGCAAATCCGGCGCCGCCTCCTAATGCCCGCCTTTGTGAATTCCCACCCTGGAGCTTGGAGGGGGCCGCAGCCCTTGGCCTGGATCCGCGACTGACCTCATTTGCTGTGTCCAGCATCGTCGACCGCCGCTCCCATCCCGTCACTTCTCAGAAGCCCGACATCTGCGCACCAGTGGAGCTCCTAGCGAGAAAGGGGCCCCTTTTTCGAACCCCGGTCTGCCGCACCACCACGCGAAGCTCTCTCCTGTCCTGTCAGATCCCGACGCACACAGGACCTACCTGGCGGATCCTCTCCGTATCTGACCCGACGAGCTGCAGTCCCGTTCGTGCCTAACACTGTACCCTGCTCCGTCCGTTGCGAAGGTTCCTCACCAAGGAGCAAGGTACGCACGAGGCAGACCACACTAACAACGGCCCCGGTGGGTTTGCCATGCCTTCCTCGAGGCTCTGGAATCCCGACCTTTAGTCAGTGCATCCACTGTTGCAAAAGTTTGGTTTTCACTCAAGGTCTGCCGGCCTGCTCTGTCGTTGTCGGGCTCTGGCCCTTTTCAAATCTCTTCTTCGTCTCGTTGTATGTCTGTTTCCCCCGAATAGCCTCAACCGCCCCTGGTCGTGGCCATGGCGTCCGATCGCATGGGAGCTCGCAAGGCTCACAGGAGTTCAGAAGGCTCCCACATTCCCCCGAACCACTGCCACGCCGAGAGATCCACCGCCGCCGACGCTGCTGCCTCCTCGCCCTCCGCCCGGAGAGCCGACCGCGACGCTGCCCACCGATCTGCCCCGGCCGCTCCCAAAAGACACACTCCCCATTACGCCGTTCACCGAGAGTCGTCGATCGAGCCCTTGCGGCCTTCTGGACAGCCCGCCAACTACCGCGACTCCATTGTTTCCATTGTTGACGACCCTTTCTTCCTGCGCTTCGACGACCATAACCTCGAGGCCGCGCTTGCGTTTGACTCGCGCTGGACCACAACCACACTGGACGACGACCCCGGCGAAGGCGACAACGCAGACGACGAACACGAACCCGAGGGCCACGGTCAGGGGCGCCAAGGCGACGAACAAGAACTCGCCTCTGGTAGCTTCCAGCTCCGCGATGACGACACGCCCAACGAGCGCTGGCCGCCCCCAAGAAGAGAATCGTTGATAATAGGACATTCCTTGTACTGGGTAATACCGCCCCACCAGACACAGACTGCGGGGTAGCTGATGAGACGGCAAGTGGAAAAAAGGGGCTGACGATCATAGCAACCACCAACCTCCGCCATCATGGAGAGCCTCAACATTGCAGTCATTGGCGCGTCGGGCGTCGGCAAGTCGTCCTTCGTCCAGCGCGTGCTTGGCCTATCGCGACCGCCAATCACCAACGCCTCCAGCGTGCGCATGGTCGTCGACAATGTCACCTACGGCGTCACTCTGATCGAGCTCGACCTCGAATATTTCGAGCTGAACCCGTTGCAGCCCATCCAGTGGCCGAAGCAGATCAATGGCCACATCGTCCCGCGCGTCGATGGCGCCCTCATCCTCTACGACGTCATGAACAAGGAGAGCATGAAGGAATTGCCCCAGACGATTGGTGAGCCTCGGCTCGGCCTTCGGCTTTGACGCGTCGCATTGCATCGCTAACTTTGGACTAGCTGCGTTGACAAAATCTGGCCTTCCCGCGATCCTCGTCGCCAACAAGTGCGACAATCCCGAGAGCGAACGGCAAGTCGATTCGCAACGCGTCGCTAGCCACGAGTACTTCAAGTCGTGCGTCGGCGTGTTCAACCTCTCGACAAGCAGCCCAGAACGGGCCAGAGCATGCTTGAACGCGACGCTGAAAGCCGCCATCGCTTATCGCAAGGGTGATTTGAGTCCCGGAACCCCAATGCACTAGCCGACGTAATACTGATTGATTGTGCGGCCAGAGTCACTATCGGAATCTGGCATGTCCCGCCGTCGTGCAGCCTCGGCGGCCAACCTCGAGGCCCACGACAGCATGAATGGCCGGCCGCTAAGTCAGCACAGTAAACATAGCCGAGCGAGCTCTGATTTGTCGCTGCTTCGAGGTGTTCCCCCCCCATCCCCGATCACCTGCGCGGCCCACCACCTCCAAGGAGCCCGCGCCTAGCCGACTTTGGTGGCGCGCCTTCCAGCTCTGGCTCGTTCGGAACATCAGACACCATTGAGGAAGAGTCTCAGCAAACCGTATCGAGCCAGCTACGGACACCCGGAATTCGCCTCGACCGTGGACCAACCGACTCATTCCTGGACATGGAGGAGTCGGATGCCGAGTCGTTCCGGTACTCGGACGAGGTCCCCATCCTGCAACGGAGCGACGAGAGCTTCCTCGAGAAGCCGGCCAAGTCTGCTGGTGTGGCCTTCGATGAGCTCGTCGACCGCCTGATTGCCCCGCGCATGACCAAAGCCGACAACAATTTCTCGGATGTTTTCCTCTGCCTTTACCGAAAGTTCGCCGCGCCCGGCGAGCTCTTCTCGGCCATCCTCACGCGACTTGACCGCGTCAGAGACGACAAGTCGGCGCATTATCTCTCCAAGACCGCGACGCAGCTTAGGATCATCGAGGTCGTCGCGAAATGGGTATCCCTGTACCCCGGAGACTTTGCACGGCCAGGGACACGGCGAAACCTCGAGGAGTTCATCAAGCACCTTTCCACCGAGCCCATCTTTTCGATTGCAGCCCAGCAAATCCGACGACATCTCGAGCACAGCGTGGTGGAGGACGACAATACCGGCTGGGCGAAATCAGACGAATTGGCGGATGAGGAAGGCAGCAAAGTCCTGTCCAAGGACAAGACGCTATCCTCATCCGAAATGTCCGACGGAATGATCAGCCTTCACCTTGACGGCGACGACAGCAAGCCGGCCGACGAAAGACCGTCCGGCAGCTCCGACTTTTCACACGCGGACCGGACCAGCAGCGTCGGAACACACGTTTCGTTCCACTCGTACGACGAATACGAAAGAGAGGCAGCCAACATGGAACCTACCGATGTGCTGCCCATGAACAAGTTCCGCTACCACATTTTCATGGACATCTCGGACGACGACATTGCCGACGAGATGACGCGCATCGACTGGGTCATGTTCTCGTCCATTCGCATCAGAGACTTTGTGCGACACGTGAGCCTGTCATTGGATCAACGATCCAAATGCAAGAGTCTCAAGAACGTCAATCGCATGATCAACCACTTCAATCATGTGGCCAAGTGGGTTGCCAACCTCATCCTGCTGCGGGACAAGGCGAAGCACCGAGCGCAAATGCTCGAGAAGTTTATGAACATTGCGCAAAAGCTGCGGCGGCTCAACAACTACAACGGTCTCGCGGCAGTCCTCGCAGGCATCAACGGCACCGCGGTGCATCGGTTGTCTCAGACATGGACATTGGTGCCGCCCGAGTCCCAGAAATCGTTTGCCAAGCTGGGCATTCTCATGGGTACACAAAAGAGCCACTTTGCGTACCGACTGGCATGGGAGAACTCGCCATTGCCCCGGATACCGTACATCCCCCTGCACCGGAGAGACCTGGTGTCGGCCGAGGAGGGAAGCAAGACATTTGTGGGGCCCGATGGCGACAGGGTCAACTGGAAGAAGTTTGAGGTGCTCGGTGAGGTTCTGCTGCCTCTCATGAAGAGCCAGGGAACTGCTTACCCGAACCTCTCGAAGCACGAAGCAGCCCGGGAGCTGATTTTGGACTGCAGAATGCCGACGGACGAAGAGGTAAGCGAACCGGTTGCGGCAGCCATGTCAAGGCAGCGCTAACAAGACGTCACAGGAGATCTACCAACGCAGCGTCCAGGTCGAGAGCACCGCAGGGGGCGGGGCCGACATGAGCAAGAAGAAGTTCCCGTGGTTCGCCAAGTAGAAGTTGGCCAGCCGGCGGGGCGTGTCGGGGGGGGAGGGGGGAGACTCTAATGGGTGCATAGACACGCGATGGCGTAACGTTCCGGGGCAGGTTGTGGCCAGCGGCCCCGGGCTCGCGCGCGACACATGTGGGCGCATGCGGGCGTATATATAAACAAAGACGGATTCATGCAGCGTTGTGGGACTGGTTCAACTTGGAAGGCGATTTGGCTCGATTTCGGCGATATAGATATCCTGTTCAGCAATTGATATCGGGGCCATGACGGCCTCGTCATTCCTCACGAGATTCGGGGTGATGTTTTGCCACGGCAACCGGCGGCGGCGGCTCTGCCCTCGTCTTGTACGAACCGTCTCAAGATTGGGCCGGAGAAGCTCTCGAGCCGCACTAGGGATGGTGGACTTGAGGCTCCCCGCCCCCCTCCGGGACCACGTTTTCTCGCCCTTCCGAGTGCCTGATTAACAGCGGCGGCCATGTCGAAAAAAACAAACAAAAAACAGCACTTCATCGGCGATCCATGGGCACCTCACTTCCCCTGGTCGGTCGGCGCGGTCCAGGCCACGGCCGGGGGCCAGCGACGGCCCAATGCGTTGCGAGGTGGCCGGCGAGGAAGGTGCCCCGCTAGGTTGGATTGAGGTGCGCTAGAGCCGGTTGACGTCATGCTTCTGAAAGCTCTGGTTTTAGCGTTTCAAGGAGAGGGGCAGCAAGGGGAGACGGTAGCTGTGAAGTTGGAACCGGCCGGGACAGAGGCGGAATCATACGGTGAGGTAGATAGGTAGGTGATGGCATTCTGTGGAGTAGCTGCGTCGTGCGGAGTACCTGGGCAAGATACGGGGTTGAGGCATTGGCAGAGCTGCGAGTGTGCTACACAGGCTAGGTATGGCTGATTGTTGCTGGTCCGAGGAGTGGAGGTGGAGGGGGAGAGCGAAGGATGGGGACTGGAGACTGGAGTCGACCTGGATGCTGGAGGTATTTTGAGTGGCCGTGGGTGCGGGACAAGAAAAAGCCCCAGGCATTCCAGATGGGCAAACAAAATGGCATAGCTCCTCCAATGCCCCGCGGTCGCCCCCTTAACCTTGGCTGCCGCGGCGTGCTGCGTGCTGCGTGCTGCGTCCTACTGCAGCCTGCTCTTACTCGTGCTGCAGCTCCTCGCGCCGCAGCTCGCGCCAGCAGCTTTCCTCAGTGCTCGCTCGCTGTTACCTCCGCTGCCACTCCGCACAGCCGTTTTCGCTACCTGCTGAGACTCGAGGGTGGCCTAGCTTTGTTATCGCCCTGCTTGGTTGGCTGCTAATGCTTGCTGCTGGCCAGGTACATTGTCTCCAGGTGAGGGCGCTATCTCGTTCTGGCGGACCAGAGCTCCCGCCGTCGCCCGTCCATCCCAACACGCCGGGTTCTTTGCTCATCATCACACAGCGAGAGTGAGGCACATAGTAGCTGCATGCTTCTTTTTTTTTTCCCTTCCTCACTCTCTCTCTCTCTTCCTCACCCTCTCATCGCTCGACCTTCTCTCTCCTCCTTCTCCCTCTCCCAAATACCACCACTGCCTCGTCTCCGTACGCCATCTCGCCCTTTGCATTGCCGGCTTTCCTTCCTCTGCCTTGCCAGCTCAACGACTCAGGTGCGAAGCTGATCGCCTGCCGCTGAAGCCATCGTGATACGTGACGTGCCCTGCCGAGCTGTTTTTAGTACCATTGCTGGGGTGTGTCTGGCACTTACTAAAGGTCACCTCTGACCCGATCCCGCACTGCATCCGGGAGCAGAACCTTCACCCTCTCTTTCTCGCCACAACCCACAAACCTCTACTCGTATCCCTCCTCGCAAATCTCCCAATTGCCTCTCTTCAGCTGCCCGCACTTGTCGTGACGGCCTTGCTGCCTGCCACCTTGCCTGTGCTCTCCGCGTTGTGCCAATTCAACCACCACCGCCACCATGGTTGTCTTTGACGGGCACGAGTACCTCACTGAGGAGGAGAAGCGCCTCAGCCAGGACAGGAAGCGTGAGAAGTACTGGAAGAAATGGGGCCCCTACGTCGCCGAGCGTCAATGGGCCACCGGTGAGTTGCAGCTCTGCTGCTGCTGCCCTGGCTGCAGCCAGCGGCATTGGAACGATCACCATCTAATCAGAGCTGTGTCGCAGTGCGAGAGGACTACAGCCCCGACGGAGACGCGTGGAGTCGTGAGGATACCCCGCCATTCTCCACGATAGGCCCCAATTGCAGCCCGCTGACAGGAACCCCCAGACTTTACCCACGACGACGCACGATCCCGAGCCTACAGATGGGGTGAGGATGGAATTGCGGGCGTTTCCGACACCCACGGCCTTCAGAACATTGGCTTTGCTTTCTGGAACGAGGAAGAGTGAGCCGGACCGCGTCTCCAAGACTTTGCGTCGTTGTCAACATTGCTGACCATGCCGCAAGTGATTTCCTCAAGGAGAGACTGTTTGGTCTCTCGAACCCCCAGGGCAACCACGGCGAGAGTATCAAGGAAGCTCACTTCCACGTCGACAACACACCTGTAAGTAGCTCCAGGTCGCCCTCGAATCTGCCGCCCAGTTGCTAACAAACACGACAGACGGTAAGCTCGCAATGGCCGGCCTCGCGCATGGCTCGTACTGACTGACTGCTCGCAGCACTCCTACATGAAGTTTCTGTACAAATACCCGCAGAAGAAGTTCCCCTACAAGGACCTCCTGGACGAGAACGCGAGGCGAGGCAAGGAGGACCAGGAGTACCAGATTGTCGACACCGGCATCTTTGAGGAAGACCGGTACTGGGACATCTTCATCGAGACGGCAAAGGAGACGGACGACCCCGAGGAGATGCTCTTCCGCGTCACGGCGTGGAACAGAGGTCCCGACCCGGCACCGCTCCACATCGTGCCGCACATGTGGTTCCGCAACACGTGGGCCTGGGGCCGCGAGTCCGAGGACAAGAAGCCGTCCATTGAGCACGTGTCGGAGGGTTTGGCCAAGTCCAAGCACCACTCGCTGGGAGACCGATACTTTTTGATGTCGCCCTCGCCCGGTGTCGGCTCCAGCGGAGAGGACGTCCTGCCCAAGATGCTGTTCACCGACAACGACACCAACTACGAGCTGTTGTACGAGCAGAAGAACAAGACCCCCTACGTCAAGGACGCCTTCCACCGGCACATCTGCGAGGGCGAAAAGGGGGCCGTCAACCCTGAGGAGAAGGGCACCAAGTGCGCCGCCTGGTTCAACTTCAACGAGGATGGCGGTGTCCCTCCTGGCGAGTGCGCCGTTGTCCGTTTCCGCTTTTCCAAGAAGAACCGGACCTACTTTGACGAAGGCGACTTTGATGACCTGATCGATCTCAGAATCGCCGAGGCCGACGACTTCTACTACCGCCTCAGCCCTCTCCCCATGGCCGACGACCTCCGCAACATCCAGCGCCAGGCCTTTTCCGGCATGATGTGGACGAAACAGCACTACCTCTTTATCTGGGACCAGTGGGCGAATGGTGACCCGACGCAGCCCCCTCCGCCGCCGAGTCGAAGGGACATTCGCAACTCCCAGTGGAAGCACATGCACTGCGACGACATCTTGTCCATGCCCGACTCCTGGGAGTACCCTTTCTTCGCCGCGTGGGACAGCGCGTTCCACTGCATCACATTGGCCATGATGGATCCGGACTTTGCCAAGAAGCAGCTGGATCTCTTCACAAGAGAGTGGTACTGCCATCCCAACGGTCAATTGCCGGCGTAAGTTGATCCAAATCTGGACGAGATCGAAATGAGGGGTGCTGACTCGGCGCAGATACGAATGGAATTTTGGCGACGTGAACCCCCCCGTCCATGCTTGGGCCACATTCCGCGTGTTCAAGATTGAGCGCAAGCTCTACGGACGCCAGGATCTGGATTTCCTCGAGAGGGTGTTCCAGAAGCTGTTGTTGAACTTCACCTGGTGGGTCAACCGCAAAGACGCCGAAGGCAAGAACGTCTTCGAGGGAGGTTTCCTCGGTCTCGACAACATTGGTCTCTTCAACCGCTCCGAGCCTCTCCCCACCGGTGGCTCTCTGGAGCAGGCTGACAGCACCGGCTGGATGGCCTTCTACTGCCTCAGCATGCTCAACATTGCGCTCGAGCTCGCAAAGCACCGACGGACGTATGAGGATATTGCGTCGAAGTTCTTCGAGCACTTCATCTTCATCAGCGACGCCATGACCTTCAGGACTGGCCAGAAGGACGAGAAGTCTCTGTGGAACGACGAGGACGGCTTCTACTACGATGCCATCTCGTGGGGAGGTCCCTGGATCCAGCAGCTCCCGGTCCGATCCCTCGTCGGTCTGATCCCGCTCTACGCAACCCTGACCCTCGAGCCCGAGCTGATTAACAAACTGCCTTCGTTCAAGAAGCGGGTTGACTGGTTCATGGAGAACCGCTGTGACTTGGCCGAGAGGAACATGGCCAGTATCGCCAAGCGTGGTAAGGGCAACAGAATCCTGCTGTCTATTGTCAGCAAAGACAGGCTCGAGAAGATTCTCTACCGCATGCTCGACGAGAAGGAGTTTTTCAGCGAGCACGGGATCCGGTCACTGTCCAAGTACCACAAGGAGAACCCGTTCTCGATGGAGGTCAACGGACAGATGTTCTCCGTCGGCTACGTCCCTGGCGACTCCGACAGCGGCTTGTTCGGCGGCAACAGCAACTGGAGAGGCCCCATTTGGTTGTGCGTCAACTTCCTCCTGGTCGAGTCTCTTCAGAGGTTCTTCCTGTTTTACGGACACGAGTTCCAGGTCGAGTGCCCCACTGGAAGTGGCGATTACATGCATCTGGGTCACGTCTCCGAGGAGATTCAGCACCGTCTGCAGCATCTCATGACCCGCAACGACGAGGGTCGCCGCAGCATCAACGCTGGCAACGACCTGCTCGACTTTGACCCCTACTGGAAGGACTACCTCTGGTTCTACGAGTTCTTCGACGGCGACAGCGGTCGCGGGCTCGGCGCCACGCACCAGTGCGGTTGGACTGGCTTGATGGCGCGCA